TCAAGGTCTTGAGTTGTTTTGTTTTGCCAAACAGATGGTTTTCATTTGTCCTTTGCCGGCTGTGACGGCCACTCATATGGTCTAGGAATTATCTGTCTGAGTTGGCTAGCTAGCCTTTGCCAAGTGGAAACATGGCCCGGCGTCTGTCAGAGGACCATTGTGAAATATTTCAGAGGAGGTCTGTAATGAAGTAAATAGTTTCAGACAGTTTCAGTTCCTAAACTTCCCTTACATCATGCTGGCTAAAGGGCATTTAATACTTCAGTTTTTATCTTCCCAGACTTGTTTCTTTATGGCAGGCCCAGATTTATAAATGCAGAACTGTAGTAATGGCATCACGCCGTCTTTTGTATTCATCTGGCAACTACAAAGATAGAATTGTCAGCCAAGAGTGCTGTTCTGTCTTGGAATACGTTGGCCTATAGTGGATGCAAGAATCATCAAATCAGTACATGAGCACAAAGAAATTTCACTGTGCAAAGTGGTAGCGAAAAGCTCAAAGTGTGAATCTATCTCCTTATCAGTGGAAGATTTCTGAAATCAGTTCCTTCACATACTGTTTCTTGCTAGGTGTAGTGTGATTTATGAAGACTCCTTGCAAAAAGACTAAAACTGTTTTCAGTACAGCCTCAGTACTGTTTTCAGTAAGCTTTGAATTAAAAACAAACAAGTTTGAAGCCTTTCAGTGATGCACAAGTCTTTCAGTGTTGAACTCTGGTGCTTGAATGCGTTCCTCCTCTTCTAGCTGCACGTTGACCTTAGCCAGCCAGCATGCCAGCCGTTGATATTTGTTTGAGGCAGAATTATTATTTGACATCACAACAAACTTACTTTGATCAAGGATAAAACTTAGGGCATGCTTAGGTATAATTAATAGTAATCCTATCCTAGTTCAGGGTAAGTTAGGCCAGCAGGGTACATGGACCCCTGACATGTCCATTAAGATCCCACAAAGAAAGGACCCCAGAAGAGAAAAGAGCCCTGTGGAAAATAAAAGGTTGCTCTCTCTTTGTTCAGTATTACCTTTTCAACTAAGAGTAGGCATAGTTATTGGGAAGTGGAAAGCTGACATGTTACGGCAGGCTACAGAGGCGCAAACGTTCTCTTGCTCCTGAACCATTGCTTGGATATGCCAGTGCTGCTGTGGGGGAATTAAAAACCTTAAAAGTTGGGGTAGTGGCGATTGAGGAATTGTTTTGGGAGCATGCCACGTTGGAGCCCTGAAATGGCAAAGCAGCACTGCTGTTTAGGCAGCAGCGCTGCTAGGCTTGCTCAGCAGGTGCAGCCTTGGGGACAACAGGTCACCTGCCTTGCCATTTTTTTTAAACAGAGCAACCTTATTTATTTAGAAAATTTAGAAACCCTCTCAAACCCGGTGGTGCCTCGTTATCTAGAACAAGGCCCTGCGTTTATCTGTATAATCCTCTGAGGTATATTTAAGGCATTACTGCCACTCAGGTTCATAAAGGGGAAGGTTTGTATTTAAAGACTAACTTGGTAACTACAGGTGGGCAGGAATTCCATGGAGTGCTTCATCCCTTCTCTGCCTATAGAAATGAAGCAGGTTGCCCGGGGAGTTGAACCCCCTGCCTTCTTGCCTTCTGCACAGATTCAGTTCCACGTCCCTCCTTTTACAGCCCCTAGCAGGCCAGGCCAGTTCAGAAAGAGACAATCTTGTGATTCTGGGTTATTTATAAAGGTTTTTTGGTCTTGTTGATGGAAGTGTTGGGGACTGCGTTTCGGCGCTTTCCCCCTGTGGGCTCTGAAGATCTCCAGAGAGCAGAGGGATCCTCTGGAACAGTGTGGGATGAGCCAAAGCAAGGGCTACAGGAGGAAAGGGGAAATTGGCGAAAACAGAATGGTGCCTTCTGTTAGCAGAGACTTCTACTAGTTCAGGGACTGTTCTGCACACAGAAAAGGGCACTGCTGAATGTGATTCCTAAGGAAGCCGAGAGTTCAAGCCTTATTGCTTCTTCTTAGTCTACCTATGCTTTTTCTTTGCCAAAATGTAAGTGTGGTCTTCTGTGCAATTTAAGCACTGAATAAGTTAATGTTCTGCCTATTTTTAAGTTAATCGACAGTAGCAAGCGGTACTCTGAAAAATCCTTGCCTTGCCATGCACACTTGCTGGCTGATCTCTGCTGACTGCTTTGGCTGGACCAGCCTGATGCAATTGAATTTGTACAACTCATACCTTATTGTTCCAGTTGTGTAATGAAAACTCCCCAGACAGTTCAGGTGTGGTGTTTTTCCAACACAGTATTGCACAACCACAGAGAGGAATAAATTGGCTGTATTCACTTGTGCAACTCTTACCGACAGAATTGTTGGCATAGTGATAGGATAAATTCAGGGTAAAAATTTCCTTGAAAAAAGAGAAGCTGCCCCTGTTGCATGAGACTGCATTTTGCTGAAAGGGCCAGCAGAGACGCACTCTTAATTACTATTAAGAAATGAGCAGCAGATTGCATGGCTGCCGGCCTCCTCCCTTCCCAGGAGGAAATGATCTCCTACCGCCATAACAGCTGTTGAGTGTTCATTTAGTTGGCAGCAAAACCGACTGGAGTTTGCAGAACCAGAATTTGGAAATTTCTGAGCACAGCATTCTAGAAATCATAACTGGAGCATTAAAAATGACAAAGTTGTGTAGGGCCTTTTGTCAGAATGTTACAGATGACACTGGGGCTGTGAAAGGTTGCTTGAGAAAAGGCTTTGTTTTAGGCCTAAGAACCTAGAGTACAGATCTGGTTTATCATACAATAACATGCATTGTGTGCCATCAAATTGTCTGTGACTTAGGGCATCCCTAAACCATATTGTACTGACTAAATTTTGGCAAGTTGGAATTCTTTTCTAGATGAGGCTTTCAGTGTGTACTTGGCATCCCTCACAGGTGTTTCCAGGTGCTTCAGATGATTATATGATCCTCCAGTTTTACCTCTGTGTTTTCCTAGTACTTTCACAGGTTGTGGGCAGAAAGAGGGAATCTGGTTTTTTTAAAAAAATAATTGCAGCTCTTCATGTTGCACTATTCTGCAAATTCACAGCACCAGCTGGAGGTTATGTTCCCAGGTATTGGGGAGTTTGTGGTTTTTAGGTGAAGTTACTCTCCCCCAAAAAGAAAAGGCACATCATTTAGGGTGTGTCTGGATTCCCTCTCATGAAGGAGACCTGACTTTTCACAGAAACTTAACCCACGCAGCTGATTGTGCCTCTCAGTTTGTTGATCCTTAGTTCTCTGATTTCAGAATACCTCAATGAACTGTGTGCATTCTTGTAGAGGGAAAGAAGCCTACACTGGGCTGTAACTGGTTTGTGCTTCTAAGGTCCTGCATTTGGCTGGTCAACTAATGACCATGTATTTTTACAGCCACAAAAGGGTTTATCAGCAACTGTTTTGAAATGTATGCTGATTTCAGAAACAAATGAGTTAGCTGTTATGAAATGGGACTTTTAAAGTGAATTATCAATTATAATTAATAATTATAGGATTATTAATTCTGCCCTTCCAAGAGGTTCAGGATGGTGTGCATAACAGTCTCCCATTTAGTAAGCCTTTGAGGTAGGTAATAGGCATGTGACTTGGTTCAGGTTTTTACAGGGCTTATGGCATATCTGAAAGTAGTCTGGAAGACGTCTCCCATCCAGAGCAAGGGCTGATTTGTTGTATGCCTTCCTCATTATCAACTCTATCTCGATCACAGGCCCGGAAAGAAGTTAACCACTAAAGTTGCTCCAAAGAAGTTGGAATTTGGTCCTGGTGCTTAGAAAATGAATCCCTGTCAGCTTGCTAGTGTTCTAGCATGCACATACCTCATAGGCAATGGCTTGGTTAGAAAGGAGGATATAAAATATAGGATGGGTTATAATTAGTTTTCATCATCCCCGAGACACAGCAGTTGGGGTGTGAAGAAATGCTTCTCTCTTCTCGCAATCGTGCCGACCAGTTCCAGTGTTGCCTGCCAGCAGCCCTGTTCAGCTGTAGGCCTAGTTTGGGAAGGCACAGCCGGCCAGTTCGTTCTTGGGCATGTAGTGACGCTGCTTCAGTGTTGTCAGAACTGGTTAAACTATGGTTAATTAGATTGCAGCGATGGTTTGTTGAATTGGAAGTGGTTTCAAATTCCAGACTGGAGTCAAACTGTGATTTTCCTGATTTAAACATAATGGCAAACAAAAGTTACCCCAAATCGAGATGCTTTTTCATGGTCAAAAGAGGAACAAGTTCTTTGTAGAGTTTTAAGTGTTGAATCAGCCATCATTCCACCTATTTTTAAGTTAATCTGACATTAGTATGCAACACCTAGAAAACTTGCGCGTTGCCCCTGTTCTAATGAAACTGAAGGGCAACCTAGCAGCCAGCCTAGGTGAGTGTACCGGGTTAGGGTTAGAGTTAGAAAAAGGAGGTGTCCTGGTAAGGTTTTGATGTTTAGAATGTGTTTAGAATGGGCAGAAATGATGAGGTGTGCAGAAAAAGCTCCTCAAGGAAGGCTTTCTCAAAATCGCATTATTTCCAATGGTATTTTGCTCCATATTAGGGTTAGGGGTGTGCACCAGGGTAGGGTTAGGGTTATAAAAACGAGGTGTCCTGGTAAGATTTTGATGGTTGGAATGTGTATGAAATGGGCAGAAATGATGAGCTGTGCAGAAAATCTAGGCAAAGAAGGGTTTTTCCGAATTGGCCTATTTTTGTTGGAACTTTAGCCCTATATTAGGGTTAGGGGTGTGCACCAGGGTAGGGTTAGGGTTATAAAAACGAGGTGTCCTTGTAAGATTTTGATGGTTGGAATGTGTATGAAACGGGCAGAAATGATGAACTGTGCAGAAAAAGCTCCTCAAGGAAGGGTTTTTCCAAATCGGCCTATTTTCATTGGAACTTTAGCCCTATATTAGGGTTAGGGATGTGCACCAGGGTAGGGTTAGGGTTATAAAAGCGAGGTGTCCTTGTAAGATTTTGATGGTTGGAATGTGTATGGAATGGGCAGAAATGATGAACTGTGCAGAAAAAGCTCCTCAAGGAAGGGTTTTTCCAAATTGGCCTATTTTCATTGGAACTTTAGCCCTATATTAGGGTTCAGGCCAATCCTAGCAGCCAAACCATGATGTGCCTCAGTTGAGCTGATGCTTATGCACTGGTGAGGCGTCATGCGTGGTGCCTTGCAGTGCGGTCCTCACAACTTGGGAGGCTAATGAAATTCCGCTGCCAAGAGCCAGGCAAAGCTGCAGTCGGTATGCTACCTTCCTTCCTCAGTCAAGAGTTCATCATTTCCAAATTCTCCTCACAGCTGGTCTGTGTTTACAAGCAAGGATACCTGCTGTGTTCTCTTCCCTGCAATTTTAAATGTCAAGTGTGATTTTCAGTTTGCTGAATTAGGAGTGGTAGTTTTCAGAATAAGAGGCTTTTGGTTCCTGTGCTGTTCCATGTTATCTGAGAGCTAGAAAGTAAGCATCCAAGTAGCTTTTCTAAACAAGGGATTATTGCATCAAGGAAATGTTTAATACACAGATTGTTGCTTCACTGCCTCCTGGGCATTTGGGTAGCAACATGTTTTGAGGCTGATTAGGGAAGGGGTTGTGACTGCAGTCCAAGGTTGTACCTCCTTCCTCTTTTCCCGCATGTGCAAAACAACTTTCTGTGCTCTTGCTCAGCCAGTTTGATAACATCTTGATTGCAGAATGGAAAGCCAGTCTTTTACTGGGCATGTGAATACTTGGTAGATGATATTTGGGCTTCAGTGTGGTGCGGCTGAGAGCTAATTCTTCTTTTACAGAAGCATTCAGAGTAAACTTATAAACAGCCACACTATTACACTGGCTCTTCCCATATCCCCTGCTTCTGTTATGTAAATATTCCTTCTCTTTTCTGCCTAGTTGGTTCCCTGGAAGTGTGGACATTACCGTTTCTCTAGGTCAGCAGATCTTGTTAGTGTCGATGGTTAGAGAAGATAGCCTTTTTTTTTTTTTTAGTGTACTGCCTGGGTGTCAGGGCGGCAAGACTATATTGCCCATGTCACATCAGTTAATTGATGTTACATATGCTTAAAACTTGGCTGCCATCAGCTTGTCTTTCTGCTCTACCTCTCCACTTAACAGCTGTGACTTCATGTAGGTCAGTCGCTCTCTCACGGCCGGGACATCAGCTCCCATCAACCCCTAGCCAGTGACTAGGAATTCTTGGAGCTGTAATTCAAAATATATGGAGGGTGCCAGGTTGGGTAAGGCTGATGTACACTAATTACTTGTGAAGAGTATTAGTGTGTGTGTGTATGTGTGTGTTTGGTTGTATGCTGCCCCATTAGCCATAGTGTCTCTGGGCAGCTCACAACATAGTGAACAATATTTCAACAGCAGTTAAAAACACAGTAATGAAATATTGCATGTTTTCTGAAGGCCAAACATCATGTGAAGGTATACAGGCAAGGGGAAAAGGGATAAATGAAGGAGGAGCTTCAGAAGAGGAAGAAAGCTCGTATGGGGCCAAGCAGATGCATTGTGGGAAGGGAGTTGTGAGGCTGGCAATGAGATCAGAGCTGCAGGAAGGGCGAAATTGCTCATTTGTTTGAACTGGCCGGTTGTATTTTTAGCTGCAGCTTTAATTGTCTCCAAGAAGTCAGGCAGATCTTCAGACAATGGAGACTTGCAAGGCAGTGACACCAGGTCTTATTAAATGCCTGTTAGAAGTGCGTTGTTTAAAGCTGCCTTCAGGATTACCTGAAGATTCCTGGCTCAGTTCCTTTGTAGGGACTGTTTCCTGGTTTTATTTATCTATTTGTTTGCTTCATTTTTCAAAAGGGTTGTTAGCAAAGTCAGGAGAACATATAAACAGAAATACCATATACAATAAAGTAGAACAGTAAAACCAATGAAACAACCATAATAAGACCAAGTTCACAACAACCGTAATCAAGTTGGCACATAGGTACGACAGTAGTACGTAATAAAATACAATATTAAAACTAAAAATTAGCTGTTAAAATACCTGGAAAATAAAAAGGGTTTCATCTGGTGCCAAAAAGAAGAAAGAGTAGACACCAGACATCCGTCTTTGGGGAGCTTATTCCATAAATGGGGTGCCACAACTGAAAAGGCCCTTCCTCTGGTTGCCACCCTCCTTATTCCTTTGGAGGGGGCTCCCTAAGAAGGACCCCAAAAGATGATCTTAAGGTCCAGGTAGGTACATACGGATGCAATTTACTCGTACAAAGAAACGCCTTGTCCTGTTTATCTGCCGTTTTATTCTACTACAGTTTCCTTTTCCCTCCCATGTGGAAGCAAAAGACCCATAGAGAACTCAAATGCGGTTGGAACATAAAGCTCTACGTTTTGTATTTATTTAATTGGGTTGGATTTTTGAGAACTGAGGCCTCTGTGCTTAGCAAGGGTGAACATGGAAGTCCCTGTTCCGTTCTTCTCGCATATAAATTTAGTAGGTGTGCTTAGGCAAGGTGCTCCATCTGGGTAAGGCACCTTTGGCCCTCCAGAGGTTGCTGCACTGCAGTGCTCACCTGCCTTAGTCAACATAGCCTGGTTGAGGGATGATGGAGATGCAGCCCTGCTGTGTCTGGAGAGCCGTATATTGCTCTTCTCTACTCAGTATTGTTGCTTGGGCCCTGCTCTTTGTGATATGCATTGCAGCTGGTAGTGGCCTTCCTTATAGGTTTTTGTCAGAGTTGCTAGTGTAATGTGAAGAGTGAAAGTGCCAAACTCACAACCGGGCTAAATAGGAAGGTCATAATAGCTTGTCTGAAGTTTAAAAGATCATCTGACATGCCACATTTGAAAGCTAAATATTGTTTTTTGGCTTAGATATTTTGCTCTTTGAAACAGTGTCCTTAATGATTTGGAAAGATTGCTTTGACTGGCATGTAAATAAAAAAACAAACATAGCAGATTCCCAAGTTATTAAACTGTAAACGACAGCCTCTCTCCCCTCTTCCCCCATCTCTGTTATGCAATGGAAAATGTTAAAAGGATGCTGATGGAAAGAGGCATGTGACTCGATTCAGGCTGCCTTATGGCATCACAGATTCTTTTTGGCCGTGTCTCTACTATACACATACTTGAAGCTATGCTAAAAATACAACTGGACCAAATAGGCAATTGCTCTTGTAGGCACTTCAGTAGCAGCTTTCAGAACAGCTGCCTTCTTTGGTTGGTTTTTTTTTTTTTTCCTCTTGACCATTGCTGGAAAGGAAGTTTGATCAGAAACTCTTTAATTTCATACCTAGAAAAGCATGGTTATTTTTGCAAGTGTGACTATATTTTCAGCATGTGTGTGACTGCTCCGTTCTGGCAGTACATTTTGGTAAGGCAACTTCGCCACGGTTTGGTATCATGTATGAACTGACAAACTATAGTCAACCTCTGTGTGATTCTGCACTTAGGGCAGGGAGTGGGCAAAACGATTCATTTAGAAAGAACAGTCTCTTCCTATTAAGATCGTAAGTTTGCTTTTGTGGTGTTCTTGAACTTACTGTTAGATAGTTGAATATGCAAAAACAGAAAATTATGCAACAGAGGGAGGAAGCAGAGTGTGAAGTAGAGAGCATTTCATCATGAAATCAGAATAAATATGAATTTTAAACTTTAAATCCAGCCGTCCACCCCCTAGTTAACATTCACATGCCACCCACCCTCACTCTGCCAGATTTCTCTTTTCGGGTGCTACAGCTATCTCAGAACCACTGATGCTGTAAACATGCCTTGCGAGAAAATGTTTTGTTCCATACCTCTACTGAAAAAGAGGGCTTTACATAGCTGAGAAACGTGCGCGTGTAACCACATCACATACTGCGCAATTGAATTCATTGTCTGTCTGTTTCTGCCCCACAGTGTGCCGATCTAACAAAAGTCCATGGATCTGCCTGACTTGCTCAAGCGTCCACTGTGGGAGGTAGGTGTGGATCCCGCCTTGGCAAGAATGCAGGAGAGTCGACATTGCCTTCAGAAGCTCGCCACATTTGCACTAAAATAGATGGCGTCGTACTCGCGGCATGGTGCGATGCGGAGCCGAAGTGGCTGGCGCTCCGGCATGCCCAGGCAGGAGCAGAAGGGCTGGGCAGCCCGGTGCCGGCAGAGGCTTGGCCTGCCCGTCCGCCTTCAGCGCAGCGCAAGGAACCGTGATCTCACGCTTTGTGTTTGATCTGGCCAAAAGGGAGGTCGCTGCTGCTTTTAAGCTGGCATCTTTCCAGAAAAACAGTGGCTTCCTACCGTTCTGCTGCCCGTGTTTTGGGGGCAGTCCTTTAAGAGGCAGTCCTCTCCCCATGAGGAGATAGCTAGTCCTCCTCCTGTCACCCTGTCCTGCAACCTAAAACCAGATGTCCCTTTGACTTCTCCATATTGAGGTGCAAAATATTTCACAATTAGAACATGTACAGAGAAGAGTATTGCTCTTTACTTAAGTTAGCAGATAATTTGGAAAGACAAAATTGCCTTTTTTTTCAGAGGTCCATGTTGGTCCATATTGGATCACCACCACCAACAGTGACAGTAACAAAACCTTAATTGAGCAAAAATTCCCAAAGGCAAAGGTATGGCTATTTCTGCTGAAGTACTCATGAAACTTGCAGTATGTTAGCACTGCAAACCTGAGGGCGATGGTAATACGAAGGCTTGTGTGATTGCACCTCGAGTTCCTTTGCTACTCTGAGATTTATTAATGGTATTTTGGAAGACGCCTCCTGAGATCTTTTCCTATCATGTTCTTCTTTAAGATATGTAAATGGCCATGCAAAGAAACATTATGAAGACGCCCAAGCTTCTTTAATTAGCCACAAGAAAACAGAAAAGCAAGAGAAGGTTCAACATACGGTGTGCATGGATTGCAGTAGTTACAGTACATATTGGTAAGTTCCTTTCTCCAGCACTTCAGTGATAGTAACAGCATTTGTATATGTAAGTGGTGGATGGAGTCAGAGGGGGCTGTTTACTGAAGGCCATTTAATAGCAGGTTTAAATGGGGATTCCCTAGACTAGACTATTCACCACCACACTGCAAACTGTTTACTTACTTCTGTTTGTATGTCTGTCCCACTCTGAAGGCACAAGGTACGTAAAGAAGGTAGCACTGGTTGTCTGAACCAAATATCTTGGTTGGTGTAGTTCATTGAAATTTCCTTAAGCTTTTGTAAGACTATTCAGAGTTTGGTTTTCCAACCCTAAGCCCCAAAGGTTAGCCCAGATAATTAACTCCCACAAAGTTCTACACAGTTCATTGAACAGACTTTGTGAGTTGCATGGCTGAGTTTGAGCCAGTGTTTAACCTGGTGTGCCAGCAAGTGCCGGCCATCACATGCCAAAACTCAGGAAATAGCGCATTAGCCTCATTGCGCGCGGGACGAGGATGCACAGGAGCGAGGAACTCCTTTTAGATGTGCAGTTTGCCATTATGTGTGTTCTCAGCCACTGTCCTGTGCCAGCATTCCAAAGTGTGTGCTAATTCTGCGTGAAGCTGGCCTAAACGTGGACGTTGTGTGCGGGCTCTCGTGTGTGTGCTCTTGCCCTTCACGCCCAGCTGTGTCTGGCCTGGCCTGGCCTGGCCTGGCCTGGCCTGCACATGTCCAGCCAGCAACAAGATGGCGGTGCAGACGGTCAGCCAGACCCTCCCTCCATCACTTTCAGGTGTCTGATGTCTACATGACCTGATTCCTCCTGCTCCCTTGGTTGCTTCTTGTCGTTTTGGGGAATCTGTACATTTCGCTCCCACAGGTTTAGGGCAGAGTGCTTGGTTTCACACAGATCATACCGGTAGCAGCTGCTCCCCTGGGCGGCACGGGGATGTTGTGTGCAACCAGGTGATTTACCTTGGCTACCTTAACAGAAATAGCACATATTCTCAGGCATTTTCCCTTTATGTTGTCAGCGGGACAGCAGGAGGTATTGCAACCATAGCTTGTGAGTTTAAAACAGGCTCCCCTTTGCATCCTGCTTGCCTCCCGTGAGGTGACCTGTATCCCACTCACTAAGTTAAACAAACCTGATTAATGCAGTATGGCCTCGGGGGCCTTGTAGAGTTTGGGAGAAGTATGCAAGGACAGGAGTTCCACGGTTCAGCAGTTCAAGAAAGCACCTTTCCCTTAACATGCTCTTGCTACGTTACTTTAATGTTCCAGCTCTCTCTGCTTATTTTTGCCCCCCTCCTCTGGCTCAAAATACCTTTCCAGCCTTGACCTCCAGTGCAGACTGCCTGGTCCTGTTGTGGATGGAGAGGATATGGGGAGTTAGCAAAAATGTGAAGGCTTCTTTTTAAAGCTGAAGTATTTCTTGAGTTGGTGAAGTAAAAGTTAGAACTATCAGCTATTCGCCCCTCAACTTGACTCAAGCTATTTTGGGCAATGATGGGGACTATGGGAGCGCACGACCCTGGAGCCACGGGGGCCAAAAGATAAAGCCTCAAGCAGAAACTAGTTTATCCGCAGAGCACATCTAAGAGCATCTTGGCACATTATGCTTTCTTCATTGATTGCAAGAAGGGGAGTATTTTAGTTGGCTGTACCTTGTGCTCCTCGATTGACTTGGGCTGAGCGATTGAACCAGAGCAGGCCGGTTTCTGCTTTCCTGCTTCTGCAGCGTGTCACGTGGTGCTGAGAGCTGAGTATTTTACTAATGTCACTCATTATGGCCTTTTTGTCTGTAGAACTCCAGTTGGTCTTGTAATGGGGTTTTGAATTTCCATGCTTTGGTCTATTCCTTCCCCTCCCCCTTTGGCAGGAGGCCACACGGCTTTCTGTCTTGTCTGGTGGTTGCTTTGTAGTGCCGACATCTGCTGTGATTCGTCTTGCAGTCACTTCCTGATGTGTTCAAAGGCTTCCAGCGCGCAATCCAGTGGCAGCAATTGCATTTCCAAGCAGGCAAGGGAGGAGTGACTTTGTCTGGGCTTTCCAGCTTTTAGCCACTCCTTCATCTGCTGTGAAGCTGAGGAGGGGCCGTGTGTGGCCTGCTTGTGGTAATGCAATTATGAGGAAATGAACGCCGTAACCAGAAACAAAAGCAGCACGGCTGTCAGATATTTAGTCGTAGTCTGAATGGCTGTTGTGCCGTGGCAGAAACGTCCAGCTAGGGAGTTTAGTAAGTTTACATTTGAAACAAATGCCTCTCGGTCGGGATTTTAAAGCTCTGTCTGTGGATCTGTATGTGCTAACATGATTTTTCATAAGCCATGCTAGGACAGTGTACAAATTGTGCCCAGGCTAGAGACCATCGCTTCCCCGGTTCACAAGTGTGCTATCACTTGAGGCTGGAGAATCTAGGAGAAAGGCCGTGCGTGACTGAAGCGGCTGGGGGTGAGGAAAGGGCCTGGGGCTTGTGCTCTGAGCACATGGGCTGGCATCACCGGGAGTCTCCTCTCGGTCTCTCCAGCCGGGCAGGCCCTGCCCCGCAGTGCTGCTCTTGCTGAGGCATGTGACCGCCACTGGTGGCTCTTGGGTGGTCAGAATGCGCGCAGGAGTATTTTTAGTTAAGTCGGAATGCACCCCTTGAGCTCGTATCCTGCGAGTGCCGAAAGTCTCGGAGCCGGCGTGGGGGCACTCGGGAAGGGCAGGGGGCAGGGGCACACTCGAGCGAACCAGGTGGCTTGCGGAAACCCAAGCAACCCTGCCCAGTAGCCGTGGAATGTTGCCCGTCAAAGCAAAACCGGGTGGGGGGCAGAATGCCCTGCTGAAACCCCTCCGAGCTTTGCCAGTTCTCCTAGTGGGTAGGTAGGAATCCTGAGCAAGAGCGTTCCTCGAAGAGGCGAAACTTTTCATGGAAGGCCCCCCTTGTTTCCCTCCTTTAACGCTGCTGCCTCTTCAGTTCCTAAGGGCAGGAACTTTTCAGTCTGAAAGGAGGCGGTGAACGCTCTTTGCCTCTTCTCAACAGCCAGTTCAGTAACCCCACACTAGTGCCAGGATGGCCCAAGCTGTGTTGAAACCTGCTGGTTTGCTGATTCGTGTGTATTTTCTCTCTAGTTATCGCTGTGATGACTTTGTAGTTAACGATACCAAGCTTGGCCTGGTACAGAAAGTCCGGGAGCACCTTCAGAACTTGGAAAAGTAAGCTGTTTGCACCTTCCTTTGTCTGCAAGTTATGTACCTTTGTGGTGGCATTCAGATGTGCTGTGTCCTTCACTAGCTGGAGCAGAATGCATGTCCCTGGGAAGTTCTCCAGACCTCTCACCTTAGATGGGCTTGGATGCCAGAAGGTCTTGGGCTGGCCTGGAACCCAGGACCAGAGCTCTGTCACGGATGTTGTGTGTTTTCAAACGGCTGTCTTTGGTGAATGTCCGAACAACGCTTCTCTGAGCAGAGATGGACTCTTGTGGGAATTCTCTGCCAAGTGTCCTTTGACTGAGAAAGCAGTTTGTCGTTGTAGATGGGGATTTTTAATTCTAATTAGGACACGCTTGAGGGCATCTGCTGCAGCATAACCTAATCAGATTAATTTGGATATTATATGATTACATGCCATTGAAAATAGAACTGGGTTTGAGCCTCCGCTCTGGGGAATATGGAAATCTATTTTAAGAAAACTGTTTGCTAAAGAAAGGAATGATAGGTCTCTTGATTGCATGTCAAGGAGGCATTGCAGAAGGGAATACATGATTTTTAAGACATTGTAGCTAAATATGTATTTAGTGTCTTCTCCTTTGCATTCCTTAACATGTCCTAACAGCCAGTTTATTCCTTTTCTACAGTTCAGCTTTCACAGCAGACCGACATAGGAAAAGAAAACTTCTGGAGGGCTCCTCCTTAAACAGCAAATTGTTAAAAATAAATGTAGGTACAGGGTAATTGTTCTTGGGGTCATTGAGCCAGTGCTCCTAGCTTGATAGCTTTGGAACATGGCTCACTAATTGGAGGAGGTCATTTCCAAGAGGATGCCTTGGGCCCTTAGCATAGCTTTCTTGCGTGTTCTTGCCTGGAGGCCCCTGCTTGACATTTTCAGTACTGGCAATGCACATGTTTCTGCCTCTGGTCAATTATTGGACATCTAGATTTGAATATTGAAGCCTCTGCCAAGCAGGTGATGATTTCGGCCAACAAAAAGGCTTTGAATTTGCCTGCCTGCGCAAGGAGCCTGTTATCTGGCGGCTAGTTACCATTCTGCTTGAGGAAGGAAAGGTTCGACCCTTCCATGAGTGCTCGAAAGCCTGACGAGTCTGAATAAAATCCGTGACTCGTGTGTTCTAAGCAGTCCGCAGCTTATCCACATGGATGGCAGATGTAAACCTGTAGGAGTGGCTTCAGGTGTTTGCTTTTCTGTGCCCCCTCCCTCGAAGGGAGGCTGGTTAAAGGGGGAGGGTGGCAGTCGCAAGAGGGCTTACCTGTCTTGGCTGCTCTGGCTTGCAGGGGAGCACGACCACCCTCTGCGCCACAGGCCTTCGGAACCTGGGGAACACCTGCTTTATGAATGCCATCCTCCAGTCACTCAGGTACTCGCCGTTTCGGTAACATGCGATTCCCTCAGCTGGTTCTTGGGCCGGGTCGTTGGCATGCCTGGTGGTCTGGGTCTTCTCAGCTGGACTGCTCAGTGCGGTGCATCTGAACCGAGCCCCACGCAGCAGCCCTGCCTTTTCCACCCCCGTGCAGCTCTCCACGTTCTTGTCTCTCCGCATTCCCGCCAGCAGCACATGTGCGCAAGGCACCTTGTATCACCCGCGGTGCTGGAAGGGCGACTCCGCTGTGCTGGTTTGGTGGGCGTGTGTTCGCAGGCAAGAATGCCAAATGCAGCTCCGAAGGGTCCGCATGTAGTGTGCATGGTTTCTAAAGCTCCCCTTCAGCTATTCATGGCTGAATTACTCCCAGAGGAAATAGTTGTCCTGCAGTTTGCTTCCACTCTCGCTGCCACGTGCTTCCGGTTCACATTTCCATCTTTCCAACAGTAACATCCAGCAGTTCTGCTGCTACTTCAAGGAGCTGCCTGCTGTGGAACTTCGGAATGGAAAGACCGCAGGCCGGCGGACTTACCACACCCGCAGCCAAGGGGATAACAGCGTGTAAGTATCTGAGTTCTAGGGAATCGCGCAGATGATGCTCCCTGATGGCTTTCGTTTGATGGTGAGCGGAAGGGGGAGCGCTGGTATGTTCTGGCGCAGTCACCGTGGGACGACTGCCGCACCAGTGCGGCCCCAAAGATGAAAGGATTGGAAGCAGAGCCGGTCATTCGTAGGCTCTGCTTACTGGTGTGGGAAGGTGCCTCGCCTGCAAGAGACCAGCAGTTTGGCACAATCCTGCCAGGGGACTATGTCTGATAAAGCTGGAAGGGTAGTTTGTCCATGGGATCCTTTTTGTGGTGCAGGGAACGTGTGCTGCGGCTTTGCTTCCGAGGAGCATAATTTCCAAACAAATAATTTGTTTGCATGCGGTTGTTTCTTGGCCATCCGATAAGGAAAAACCGGAGTGGCATGAGGTGATCAGGGAGATACGTGTTCAAATAAATGTAGCATAGCTAAATTCACTAGTTAACTTTCTGTGCAGGTGAGCTTCAAAGCCCTCAGCAGCCTTAGGCAAATCACTCTTTTGGCCTTGGCTATTAACCGAAAAATGCGGACAATACTGCTCTACCTCTCCCTTTTTCCACCCCTTTTTAAATGCTGTTCTTCCTTGTAAAGACACAGGAAGAGTCAATATGACTGGGGCAAGCTACTACCCCTGGATCTGAGAGTGGATATGCATCTGAATAGCTGCCGAGACTGAAAAAAATAGCGAATTAATTCATTGATCAAAATGGAGATTGAAGAGGCTAACACAATACTGTTTCACCTTTTATCTGCCGCTGCCTGCTGTGCATGTCACAGTATCTTCCATTGCCCGCAGGCCACAAGTAAATAATGAGGGCATTAGCAGCACTCCAGACAAGATTTCTTTCGTGTGATATAGCGATATATTTACAGGATCAGTGTATGGTGCACGGATCTCGGGCCTGCCTTCCGTGGCATGTTCAGGTCTTATGCTAAGCCAGGTATCCTGACTCAATAGGCTACCTTGTGAATGAGCAGCTTGCTTCTACAAGCTGCCCCTTCACTCCGGCATCATGCCAGCATCTGTGTGTTCACCTGGGAAGGATAGCTTTGAGTTACAGCTGAACCTGAGATTATGACTGAGTGTTTTACCGGCCATGCCTGTTTCATTGAACACAAGGAAGTTTGGCAGGTCAGCATTTTCCTGGCATGGAAAGAAGTGGGTGGGGGAAAGCACCATCTGCCAGATTTCTAAACACAAAAGCTTGTGCTGTAATAAACCGAATAGCCTTTGAACAGGACTCTGGTTCTGATGCTGTCCGGTAAGGGTGCGTACGTATTTCAGACAGTCACGAGCGAAAAGCAAGAAAGCAAAGTAGGTGAGCGCAGCCATGGGGCAGTTGATAAAATCGGTAACTGGTCAGGGTTCAAAATCCATGCACAGGAGTGCCTGGGAGTCAAGTCGCCTTCCACTTCAGCCAGCCCCACAGCCTGCCGGCCTTCCTTCCTTGCTCTCATTCACTTGTATTCGCACGCATGCTGGTCCTGCAACACCGTTTCTGTGCAAATACAAGCACACCATTGTCGCCCATGACCACAGAGCCCCCGGGGTCTTTAACGTGAGAACCCACTGTGTTGCGTGCGTGTCTGAGGGATCTCGACTGGCTTCTTTGTGGTTCATAAAATGGGTATCTCACACGCTGGTGTCCAGTTCAGCTGTAACTGCAAAATAATTCTTATTCATGTGGTTCCACATTTCCCTAGCCTGCCTTGGAAATCTCTAGAATTCCTAGGTGTTTATCGCACTGCTTGGAGAAGCAGCGTAGCACAGGGTTCATGTTACTTTCTTCAGGACTTACATAGCTTTCCCTTGTTCTGTATTCTGAAATTTCCGATTTTTGTCTGCCTATACACTGGCTAGGTTGCTTACAAACTGAGTGGGAGTCTTAGTTATTCTGTGCACAGATTTTCAGATTAACAACAAGCTTTCAATTTCCTTCCCCAGTTCGTTGGTGGAAGAGTTTCGGAAGACGCTGTGTGCTTTGTGGCAAGGAAGTCAGACAGCATTCAGCCCTGAATCTTTGTTTTATGTAGTTTGGAAAATCATGCCAAACTTTAGGTAAGTCCTGGGAAGCAGCAGTAACAGCAACAATGACTTTGTGCATCAGTGACTTTCCCTGGAAGGAAGGCATTTTTGTTGGCTGAATTTTGTGTTACCTCGCTCTGAGAGCTGTCGCTCTTCAGGACTGTGCCCACTAATTGTCAGCGGGCTCTTGCTCTTCCAGGGTGCAGGTGGAGCTGTGACAGCAAGTGAGAGTGCTTTTGTTTGCTTGGTTAGGTCTAGCCGTGCTCAGACTTGCTGAGATCTCAGTCCGGGCCATACGACCTACGGCCTCACAAGCAAATCCAAACCTCAGCTTATGGGAGGAACTGCGGGTAGAAATACTCAGCTCCAGTAGGCCTAAGCAAAACATACTGGGCAAAACTTCCTTGATTCTCTCAATACTGAACTAGTTTCTGTCATCGTAGTTGTAAATTAAGTGGTGCAAAGAGAATAAATCTGTGTGCAGTAGGCATTTTGCACCCAGGCTGTCAAAGAGAGTAGTTCTCACAAGTAAATCCAAGTGTCGTTCCTCTCCAAGGTCTCCCTGTCCCGGCCCCCGAACCTCTTTCAAAGGAGCACTGAACCCTAGTAGGATTAATTGTGCAGAAGGTAAGTTGCTCCACCTTTTCAGGTAGTAAAGATGTTCTGTTAATGTGTTAACGCCTGTAGCAGTGCTGAAAAGATGCTCTGAACCCAGAGCCTGCGAAACCCAGGCAGCAGAAGGCCGCCTGCCCTTTCCGGGCGCCCGGGCAAATGAGAATCAAGGAAGTTTAGCATCAGTGGTTTCAGGCAATGGGCAGAAGCCCTGATCGTGTTTCCCATGATACTGCTGGCCAGCTCTCCTCCTCCTCCGCCTCCTCGCCAGTTGTTTGGAGTCAGAGCAAGGGCTCTGCCCCCAAAGTTGCTCTAGCAGATTTTCAGCACTGTGGGTTCATTTGCTTTTAACAGAAAGGGCTGCCCTGTGGGTGGGAAGGGATGTATTCCAGCAGCAAGGAAGTGTGGTTTTCCCCTCGGGAGGGACCATGCACCTCTCACTGGAGCCTCGCCTCCCTCTGGCCCCAGTAGTGGTGAGGTGGCGAGGGCAGCGCTCCTGCAGTGAGGGGGGGCCGTGGCAAAGGGCGGCAAGAGGCCCACCTCTGGCTCCTCGCGAGGTGCGTGTCATGGAGCGCGTCAGCCCGAGGCAGCTGCTTGGCTCCAGAGCAAAGCAAGCAGAAGGGCGGTGGGAACTGGGTGCTGTGCATGGGTGCTGCAGGGCGTGGGCCGAGGCGGGAGGGGACCATACCAAGAACATGCTGGGTTTCCTGGGGCCTGCTCTCCATGCTTCAAATAAGACCCCCATCCTCCTGTCACATGCAAGGCCTGGCTGGGCAGAGGCGAGGCTGTCCTGGGATCGGCGCTGCGAGCAGGGAGCAGCTTGCCTGTCCCGGTACTGCTTGGCCTGCATGGCGAAGGCGGGGGCGGGACAAACGGCCCCTCCGTGTCCTTGTCGGACCCCTCTCCATCAGAGCCTGGCGCACATTCAGACTTGACGCACCTGAGGCCTTTTGCGCCGGCTGAGGGGTGCAGCTTCGTCCTCAGGGCTGTGCCCCCGTGGATTTGCACGCAGGAGGTGCCCTCTTCAGATGCACCCGTGCAGCAGGATCGAACATGGCACGTTGGCAAGATCTCCTGCCGGGCTCTTTTGCAGCATTGGCTACGTAGGGGCTCTGTCACGGGGAGCTCGCTCAGACATTTGGCGTCTGTGCGCTTTTCACTGAAACGGCCCACGTGCTCCTGCAGCCTCGGTGTCAGTTACGGAAACGTGCGGTGTAAAACTGTCTGTGCGCACAGAAGTATTGGCGATACTCGTGGTGACCGAGGCACGTGCATTGAGCCAGGCGATGCCAGGCGTCTGTGGACAAACCAGCACCCCTTTTAGACTCAGCAGCTCAGCACAGGCCGGCCGTGCGCCACCTCAGTGACAGATGCAGGTGTTCGTGGGCAAGAGATGTGGTACGTTGCCCTCAGGCAGCCGGGAGGCCACAGGGGCCCCCCTCTTGGGCATGCAGGAAACTGAGCAGTGCAGCCGGAGCAAAAGGGAAGCCCAAACCACAAACGCAGACCATTCCAGCAGGCGTCAGTGAACACCAAACAACTGGAGTGACCGTTGACAAGGCTGCGAAACATCCGGCCAGTTTGTATTTGCTATTTCATTTTCACTGGGTCCTTTTGCATGTATTTCTCTTGCCACCGATTCTATTCTTGCCTGTAGAGGAGAACAGTTTTGAAGGGGGCCTAGTTAAGCCATCGCACACTGTTGTTCTTTAAGGTGCCACACGGTTTCCGTCATGTACGCAGCAGCCTACGCCAGTGCACCCCACGAAAGGCCGGGCATTACTGTTGTGTCAGCCGTATGCCGATTCGTGCATGTGAATCGTTTGAGACAGCCTTTGATGACGATCATTTGCTAATCCTATTTGCAAACTAGCTGCTTTGAGGAGCGCTGTGTCTGAGGCAGGATCAGGTGTTATGTGGGTTTCGCCTAGCGCTGGATCCGAGGTCTCCCTGCCCTCCAAAAGCACACGCCATGGCTTGATGCTGTCTGCTTGCACTAGAGGAGTTGGAACGGTAGAGCTGATAGGCGGTGAAGCATTGGCTTAATTGGGCACGGCCCTTTTTGGTGGCCCTAATTTGAGAAGCTGCATGGAGGATTTCTTGTGACCAGTCTGCAGCTTGTTTCCTATTCTTCACACACTTGATTTAAAAATAACTTAGTCTAGTAACAGAAGATATGGGATTATATCGGTAGCTGGCTATTGAAAAAGTATCTGTAAAGGCTTCCGTTATCCTGCAGGTTCAACAGGGTGGCCACAGGGAGCCCGTCTGCTGGCTTCAGCTCCCAGGGTGAGCGTCTGAAAGGGAAAGAGCAAAGCGCTTTCAGGAGACGGTTGTGGTCAGGGTCCCAGAGAACTTGCACTCAAGGCCACAGACTGAGTGCTGGCTTCACCAGGAGCAAAGTGCATTGTTTGCCGGCTCTAATTGATCACAGATCCCAGGAAGCCGAAATGCACCCTCGTGGCGTGAAGCGCGCAGCAACCGGTCTTCGTGGTGCCGCAGCCCCAAAGACAAGGGAGGCTGGTAGTGGGGTCCGTGGGGAGGCACCGTGTGGCCTTCCCGATGATGGGGAAAGCGCTCGCTGTAGAAATAGCTGTTCTGGAGCCTGATTGGGTGCAGCGGTCACCATGCAGAAATTCCGATCCCATGATTTTGCAGTGCGACCACAAGAGTGCAGTAAAGCAGTGCTCCAGGCGTTTCTGTGTTAGGAAGGATGTTACTCCGGTGTTACGGCGAGACAGACGTCACTGCAAACGTGCCTGCGGTGGCCTGTGCCGAGTCGGTTTTCGGGTTTTCCTGTTTCTTGGCTGGGTGGTCTGCAAGCGCCCCCAGGAGGCTCCCCAAGCCGCTTCCCCCTGTTGGTCCCTTCGTTTTTCATCCTGGTGAGAGAGCTGCAGTCTGGGCTGCCCCACTTTCTTGAGTTAACGCGCATGGTTACATAGACGCACGATTCCGTGAAAACTTGGGTGCTGGTATTGGGGGAGCAGGCAGGAGAGGCAGCTGGTTGCGGGGAGAGCTTGCCTGGAGTAAGGCAGACAAGCCCATCTGGTGATTTTCAGAGCCACGCACCCCTCTTTATCTGACACCAGAAGAGCTGCCCTGGCCCGCCCACTGCCCTGCGGGGTTGCACACCGATAATCAGCTGTGCCCTTCTCCCTCCCACCCCCAGATGTTTGCACCTTGGAAAGCTGAAAGGGGAGTGTGAGTGCAGTTGTGCAAGAACGATTCCCACTGAATGAGCCCACAATTTAGCTACCCTCTTGCATACACAGTATCTCTTGTGTGCATAGCTCTGCCCCACACTTCGAAAAAGGCGAGGAAGCACAGGAGTGGCCATGAAATAACACACCCCAAATGGGAAGTTCGTCCCACGTGTTTTTGTAGGTTAAGAAACTCTTACAAATTCAGGCAATGCATCTGAAATTGCCAGGGCGAACCCAGTCTTAATGAGCGAGTGTTATTCTGCACCAGAACGCCAGCAGCCTCTTTATTCACGGATGTGTTTGCATTAAGGGGGTACCAGCAACAAGATGCCCACGAATTCATGCGCTACCTGTTGGACCATCTGCACTTGGAACTCCAGGGAGGCTTCAACGGAGTTTCCCGCGCCGTCATCCTGCAGGAGAATTCTGGTCTCACGGCTGGCAGTCGATGCTGCATGTAAGACAGTTTTTCCGCAGCGTTGTTCCATGCCGTCCCTCCAAAGGATGCTTCATGAGATGTGTCGCTAGAGCCTGTGAATGCATCTGAAAAGTTCCTCGGGACCATTTCCTCACTGTAGAACAAAAAGTGCTAATCGTACAGCCAAGGGGAATTGAAGGCCTGGGCAGGAACAGTCAGCAAGAGTGGGGGTGGGCAGCGCTGCAAGACTATCCGGGGCCTGGGCCTGCGAGGGAGAGACTCTGGCAGCTCGCTGGTCCTGGTCGTGGTCCATGCATGCACTCCCCCAGCTGCTTCGCTCCCAGGAGCCGTGAGCCCTGGGGAAGAGCCCGCAGAGGGCAGCCTGCAGCCAGTAGCTCCCCTCTCCTGTCTGCTTCCTCCTCCGTAACTGTCAGCCATCTGGGACACAGCTGATCCACTTCCAGAGCCTGTGCTTGCCCTGGAACTGGCGTTTCCTCACCAGTTTATCTTTCTGGCGCTTGGGCTCGGCTGGAACACCCATGTTGCCGGTAGGGCAATGTCAGCAGCCCAGCCTCTTTAAACAAGTTGCCGTTCCAGTTCTTTTCTGTGAAACTGGAAGGGGCTCAGAGGGCACAACAGAGTAATGCTTCCTGTGGCCCTCTTAGGCAGCTCCACATACAGTCCGACGAGTTTCTTCTCCTGCTTTGTCTAGAAACGGCACTTCGACAGTTGTGACAGCTATCTTTGGAGGCGTCCTTCAGAATGAAGTCAACTGCTTGATATGTGGGACCGAATCCAGAAAGTTTGATCCATTCCTAGGTAAAATATGCCAAGTTTATATCCTGAAAGTGGCACTCAAGACTTCTGACACGAGAAACTAATGTGGAATTCTTCTGTTTAAGATCTTTCTCTAGATATTCCAAGCCAGTTCCGAAACAAGCGTAGCAAAAACCAAGACAATGGACCAACATGCACGTTGCGGGGTAAGCTTGCCATGCGCGTTTTAGTTTTGGTCGTCCATCTTCTGTACTGGATGCGCTTAACCTCTTCTGGGCTCTGCGGCATGGCAGACTGCCTCCGCAGTTTTACAGACTTGGAAGAACTCGACGAGACGGAGCTGTACATGTGCCACAAATGCAAGAAGAAGCAGAAGTCCACCAAGAAGTTCTGGATTCAGAAGCTACCCAAGGTGAGGAGGCATCCGAACAGAACCGCCAGTGTCCAGCCACTGTTCCCAGCCATGGTTGTGGGTGTGACCTGGGGCTGCAGAACGGCTCCTCTAGTTTTTGTCTCACTCCTTCTTAACGCCTGTGCACAAACCGCTCCATCTCCAGAAGCCGTGCTCTGCTCTCACAGGTTCTGTGGCGTGAACGCTCCTTCTGCGCTGCCTTGTTGCTCCCCGCCAGCCCCCCAGGTGGGCGTATGCGGTTGGGCCTCTCCCGAGGGCCCACGTGCCACCCGCGCTCTGGCAGAGCTGCCTCCTTTCCCCTGTTGCTGCGCAGCCGCCCTCCTCCCCCTCACTTTCGGCTCCGGAAGACGATCGGGTGGCTTCCTCGGGGGAAGGCTGCCAGGGACTGTCGACGGCTTGAGTGTGAAGCTGCACATTTTCCTGTTTCCAGTGGAGGCGCCAGAGGTTGGATTTTGTAGCACCTCTCCGTTAAGGAACCTCCGCCATAACCTCTTGGCTTGTGTGCCTCCTTTAACACTTCAGGTGCTGTGTCTACACCTGAAGCGCTTTCACTGGACAGCCTATTTGCGGAACAAAGTGGACACGTTCGTCGAATTCCCCCTGAGAGGCCTAGACATGAAGTGTTACCTGCTGGAGGTACAGTGACCCTCACGAGGAATAGCCCCTGGGAGGGCCCGGGCGCTGGTGCAGTCTCAGTTCCTCTCTCTGTTTGTCCCCCTGCCCCTTCCCCCCTGCAGCCCGAGAACAGTGGCCCCGAGAGCTGCCTGTATGACCTTGCGGCTGTGGTGGTGCACCACGGATCAGGGTGAGTACGGTCGCGCGCCCGAGAGGGTGCCGAGGGGCTGCCTCGCCTTTGCGATTAGTTCGAAGACCCCTGGGCTCTCCCCCAGGAGGCTGGCAGGAGGCAGGGGGTGGGTCTCTCGCTCACCGCAGGCATCATGGCAGGGGAGAAGATCGGGATTTGCTTTATTTTATCTTGGTAAATGAGAATGGAGCAATTGTAGAAAGTGCCCCCCTCAGAATTGCTTCAGATCATTCTGGGAAGGCTGGGACACCCCCCACCCCACCCCAAGGAACACCCCGTGCAGCCAGTTCTTGCCTGCTGCTTCAGTGGGAGGCGTTATCCTGAAGGTCCCGAAATTCCCTCTGGAGGACACAGGAGGGTAGACGGCACGTGCCGGGGAATGTGAGGAAGCTTGGCACGGTGCTGGCTTTTCACACAGGTCTGAGCCGGTACGAATCTACAGGTGAGGTTGTCAGTGTCCCCCCTGCTTCTCCAGAGTCCTTGGTATAATTCCGCCTTTCCTCTTAAAATCAGGAATGAGAAGCAGAGCTTTTGCTGAAGGCCTTGGTCTGAACAGCAGACCGACGTGCTGGCCTTGCGCGCTTCTTCGGACCCCTTGGCGAGAAGTGTAGTGTTTGGAAAGAGCTTGTACCGGAGGGTGCTTTTGCTGTCGGTTGGCTTTCCGTGGGGCTAGGCAGCTGGCTGGGCCCGAGGTTCCCCGTGGTTCTCCTCCTGTTCTCACGCGATGTCTGGTCATGTTCTCAGGGTGGGCTCCGGCCATTATACGGCATACGCAACTCACGAGGGCCGCTGGTTCCATTTCAACGACAGCACCGTCACGCTGACGGACGAGGAGACGGTGGTGAAAGCCAAGGCCTACATCCTTTTCTACGTGGACCGACAGGCCAGACCTGGATCTGATAAACTTTAATACCTCTTCCTGCCCTTTGCCTATCAAGTCCACGGGACAAAACATTTCCAATCCTCCACAGATACTTGATCCAAGACTCTTGATTTCATTGTGCACTTTTCAAATTTTTCTCGTGGGTTCTAGTTTTACTTTGTTGGTAGTAGCATTTGATTTGTTAAAAGATGGACACAAACTAACTTGGTTGTTAGTGATACCCGAAAAAAACCTCAGCAGATACTGATTCGCTGCTTTAACTCAAATTTTATATATAGTTTCAAGAGCTACTTTAGTGGTTTGACTTTTATATATGAATATTCCAGTTTGCTTTCTAAAGGCACATCTACATCAGCGAAACTTGAATCCTTTCAGTAAGCACAATTGTGTACTCAATTATGAAAAAGTTTTCTCAGCTATTATGCAAGACCTCTTTCCCTTAAGATCAAGGTGTTATAAATATCGGTCGTGCCCTGAGTGCACGACCTGTGGACAGATTTTTGGCTGCCTGTTCAAAAAAAAAGGATGAAATGTCGTCTTGTTAAGGGGGCCATGTAACTGCTGCTACAGTTCTCCATGGAGTCTGCTCTCGTTCAGTGTTCCCCATGCGTTAGCAACTGGCTGTCTTGTTAGCAGTAGCAGGCGATTCGAAATTTAACAGGCAACCTTGCCAAAGGTTAGAGCCAGCCCCTGACAAGCGGAAGCCCATTAGCACGGCGGGGAGGCGGGGGTCGTCTTTCCTCCCTTCCCTTCTGCGGTCCTGTGGAGTTCTTGAAGTGTTGCAGAGCGTGTCCTTGCTCTTTAGGACAGATGTTGAGCGGTTCGGGTCCACGGAGAGAATCCTTCCCCTCCCCGTTGCTCTGATGGAACTGAATCCATCAGTGGAATTGCCGCGTCCACTCCAGCACAGTGACTAAGCTACCAGAAAACCTCAGGAAACGTGACTTTGGTAGACTTTCCTCTCGATGAGTGTATAGAATCATTTCTTGAATGTGCTGGACGCTCCTTTCTGGAGGCAGAATGGGATGTATAAAAATTCCGTTCAGGCAGCATCACGCGAGCAGAAATTCTGGGCGGCTGTAAATCTGGCCCGGCCAGTGCAGGGCTGCGGGGCGAGGTGTGCCCCGGGCCAGCCTTAGCACGGGGTGGCGCTCCCGGTTGGGAGGTGTGCCACCCCCTCGTCTGCTTGTCTCAGTTCTGCGTTTCCCGTGGCATCTCTTTGCCTTGTGTCTCATGGGCGACGGGTGAGGCTGCCGCCAGCTGGGACAACTTGCAGAGATTGCAGTCCCGCGGCGTTCTTTTGCTTTCTGTGGGCCGCAATGAAAGCTGATCTGTGCGGGTGTTGCTGGCTGTTTTGAGGAGCGAGAAACTGGCCGCTTCCGGCTGTGCCCGTGTGATTTACACCAAGCTGGTGTCCTTGCCTGCCCGTCCCTCGCAGAGTACTCTGCAGTGCTGGACTGAAAGAGTCCTCTGGTTCTGCTCTTGCCATCTAGGCCAGCAATTTTGTTGGGTAGGACTAGAGGAAAGCGGATGCCCCCGTCTTGAATGTTGCTTTCAGAGATGCAGATTGCCGAAGGTTCTGCTGTTGAGGTTGGCCTGGAGCCCTGAATTGCTCTTTGTTTAATCTACAAGGCAGATGGGAAGCATCCAACCAAAGATCTGCACCAGAATGAATGGCCCCCCTTCCAACGGAGGTTCAGAAAATCAAGTCAATGTGGTAGCCACCACCGCAAAGAAAAGTGGCGGCGCCCAGAGCTACCCCTCCGTCGTCTCCTTGCTTCGCTGCCCCCTCCGGGTTCCTGCAGTGGGGTCCTTCCCGGGACACGGTGTGGGCTCTTTTTGGAATGTGGTGCTGTCGGTGCGACGCGTTTCCTTGCTGGTTCGGCTCCAGAAGCGAGTTACAATGGGAGCCCAGGCACATGGGCCTGGGACAGAGGAGCCCTTTCTCAAGCTGACCCCCGCCCTGCCCCCACGAACACACCCATGGGCGGCAGTGTAATCGGTGAGTTGTGGCAACACACGTTATTCTCTTCCTGGCGGAGATTTGCTTATCCACTGGATTCTACTCAGTGAGTTGTGTCAAAGTGACAGATTTGAAGCAGTCTCGGTGTGTGCTGCACCCGAAGGAGTATTGGATTTTTAACCCTTTTTCTATAGCTTCTGTTGAAATAGGAAAGCGAAGGGAATCCCCCCCTTCCTTTCTGCCAAATGAGCTGCTAGGCTTCGCACTGCCACGCCTGGAAAGCCCTTGGCGGGAACATGCAGCACCGCGGCTGAGCACACAGGTGCGCTCTGAGAAAGCACCGGCTCCCCTGTATTAGGCGCTCCCTTCTGGCCCTCTGTATGCCCTCTGCACCCCAACGCCTGCAGCCCCTGAAGGCGCAGTGCCCCCTCCAGAGGTGCTCAGACTGTCGAGCTGTCCGTGGGCCCAGGCTCTGCTGTCGTGCAAAGAGTCGCTGGTTCCAAAAAGACACCTCCGCAAAGGTAAGGTGCAGCCAGATGCTAAGGCGCTCGTGGCGGCCGGCTGGAAACAGCTGCGTGGTGGTGTCCCTCCCAGGTCCGTGTTTGTCTCCCTCCCGCGCTCACCTGTCTGCTGACCACCTGTCGTCCCGGTGTGCCATAGATGTGATTGTTTGCTTGCTGTTCAAACCTGGTCTGTAAGCCTCCTCGCCTGGCCCCGCCGAGCGCTTCTCTTTGCCGCGAGCGCCGTGGGCCTTACATTGCTCCCTCTGGAAAACCTGCCATTAAAGTCTTTTCTTCTCTCTGTGCTGGATGTGCTAATTGAGGGTCAAGAGCCGCTTCTCCTGGGTATTGAGGCTGCGTGGTTTCTGGAAGAGGGGCTCAGCTGCTGGGGGCAGAAAAGACCTGCCCTCCCCAGGCAAGCGGTATGGGGCTGCGGCACACGCACGGGGGCCAAGCTGTGTTTTGTGCTTATGCTCTGGCTGGATCTGGCCAACACCGCGTGTTGAATAGGCCCAGCTGCTGGATCCTCCTCGGTGGACAGAGCACAAGGCTGCATTGAGTCTCTTCTGGGACAGCGGCTGCCTGTGTGCCATGGGCCTGCTCAGGCATATCGTTTGGGACGGCTGGATGGAGCGTTCCTCCAGAGCCAGCGCTGCCGGCACCCATCCTGCCTTCTCTCTGTCAGGCTTCCTTTGTTGCAGAGCGTTCTCAAAAGCACAGGTTACCACCAGCCCTGGGGACCGGGTGGGACTATTTGAGGCGGCACCTAGCTGGAAAGGAATGGGGAAAGGGGTTGCCCAGAGACCCGGGCCACCCAATCCAGCACTGTGACTAAGAAGGGGCCTTGGAGCCTGCACGGTCTGCTCGGAAGGGAGGCGCTGCGGGGTCAGGACTGCCTCCGTTCTCTACCCGGCTGCGGCTCGTAGGGGTTTCAGAGCAGCGCGGGCTGCCTCCAGGAAGGAAATGCCCCTCCTGGCCCAGCAGACACGCTCTCCTGCTCGCCCTGCTCAGCTAGCAGTGACCAGTGCAGTGCTCTGCAGCCAGGATCCCTGCCGTTCCCGCTGCAGCTGATGGAGTACTTCCCTCCCATTGGGTCTGTTCTGCCAACGTCACCAACCATTCTCAAAATGCCCCATGGGCCGTGAGCATCGCTCAGAGCCTTATGTGTTTCACAGGATCACAAAGCCACTAGCTCCCTAACAGCGTGCTAAACAAGCACAAATCGGCTCCGAACAACACACACAAGCTCAGAGGCAAATAAATCCTTTTAAGGCAAGATTCGATTAAACTAAGCCATTTTGTCCCCAGTGTAGCCATTCCAAGGGGAGAAGCAGCTGCGGCTGCAACCAGCCTCCCCGTGATCCTTGCCCTTTTTTGAAACGTCCTTCCCAGCTGCTGACCAAAATAACCTCCGTTCCTCTCCATATTTGTGCAAGACACCAAGAGTGCCTCGGGAGCAGGTCGGGCCTCCTCGCTGCGGCATGCTGCTCTTAACTCCTGCAGTCACGGCGATGCACATCACGCAGCTCAACTGGGAGTGCCTGCTGCACATTTTCTCCTTTCTGGACAAGAACAGCAGGAAGAGCTTGGCGCAGACGTGCCAACGGCTGCTCAGGGTGTTTCAGGACCCCTCGCTGTGGCATCTGCTGCAGTTCCACTCGCCTGCCGAGCTCACCAAGGGTAACTTCGTGCTGGGACCAGCCTTGCGCCACCTTTCCATCTGCTGGCATTCCAGCCAAGTCAAAGTGTGCAACGTTGAGGACTGGATGAAGAACACGTTACAGAAGGATATTTGCAACGTACACAAGCACATAGTCAATGACTTTTTACTCCAGGTTTGCAACAGGTAAGTTCCTGAGCTGCTGTGAAATTGCATTGGTGGGTTGCGGAAGAGGTGGGACTTGGGTTGGCTGCAATAGGGCTGACGAGTACGAGGCTTGTTGATTCCTTCTAAATTTATTTGGAGTTAAAAGTGCTTTGCTTCAGAGTTCTAGTACCTTTGTATAATGTACATTTTAAATACTCTGAAGGCCTTGTAGCTTAAACTGCCATTCCCAGTTTTTCATTTCTAAGGAATTTTTCTTCAGCTACTTTTAAGATGAAAAATCCAGCATAGCAGCTTTCTGAAGGGCAAGTTATGGACTCGTCTAATCCCACGGAGTTTCCAGTGCTATGCAGCACAGCTGCCCTGCCATTCCAAGCATTTTTCAGGCAGATTTTCTTGCTTCACAGCTAAAGGCACATGCTTTTAGCCATCCTCCTCCTGTTTCTCATCAGGAAGTTTAACTATTTCATGGGCCTGAACAGAGTTAAAGAGAAATGGGTACAAACCAATCACAACTACTGTGAAGTTGTGCTTGTTGTTACCCTCCCGTGACTTGCCTGTATCCACCCCAACAAATCTTTACCAATAACCTTATTTTGCAAATAGTCAGAAATACACAGCACAAGCTTGATGGCTTTCTTCTTGTTGTGCACGGCGGAATCAACCTTCGATGTATTAATTGTGTGTCTAGTGCATATAAAAATCGTATAGTTCTTGGGTAGAGTGGGCTTAAAAAGAGATGCATCTTTCGCTCAGGAGAGAGATGCATGAAACAATTCTCCCATAATGAAGGCCCGTCTAACTAGTTTAACATTCAGTCTGCTTAAGGAATTGGGTCAATATGCTGGGTAAGTTAGAAGGAAAAGCAAAAGAACTTGTGTGCAAGTTTTGCAGCAAGTGCCTTAAGGCATCACCTGTCTAGACTAGTGTGTTACGTAGATAGGAGCCAGAATTTGGAAAAGCTAAGCGTGGGCTAACTCAGCTATGCAAAGTTCCTCTTTGGGCATTTGAGTTCAGACAGATGGCCTTTGTTCTCAACTTCTAAATTAACCTTCAGTGCTTCTGCTTTCAGGTGTCCAAACTTGGTGTCTTTGAAGCTCTCCGGATGCGGCCATGTCACCGACAGTTACATTGCGTTGCTTCTCAAGAGGTGCTCCTGCCTCAAAACTCTTCAGCTGGAAAACTGTGTCCAGATTACCGACCAGACGCTAGAAGCTGTAATTCTCCATGCCAACTCCTTACAGACTCTGCATGTGGACTTTTGTAGGAACGTAACCCAAGCTGGTTTGCAGCAGGTCTGCAGAAAGCATCCCTCAATAATTCTAAAAGCAGAAAGAAGTGCAAACATGCTCCCAGACAAAAACCCAGGTGGCTGGGCATCCGAGAAAGCATTCAAGAAACTGCTGTGGCACTAGCTCAGTGCAGCTACAGCAACCAGCACAAGGTAAGAGAACTGGTACCTGGAAACTTGCCTATAAAAACTAAAACATGGGAAGGGCAAAGTCCCGCTCTTAAGGATCCGGCAGTATGACTGTCAAAAATGGGTGATACCAGATTTTGGATATAGCTAGAAAAGTTTGAAGAGTCAGAGTTTTGATCCAGTTTCCCAGCTCGCAAGGAATGTTTATGATGAGAGGGTGCTTCATTTTCATAGGTCATGCAGAGTTTTTTTAAGTAATACCTTGCGTAACCAAAGCTTGTTCAACACGATCAAGAAACTATTCCCAACAATGTGACACAAGCAAATTATGTTCTCTTTATGAAAGCTTCTTTGTTCAAGTCATGTTGGACTTTTGACCAGGTGCTGAAATTCCAACAGGAGGATCATCTCCAAGCTACAAAGAACGGGGCCTGCTGCAACTCACAGTAGCTTTAACCTCGGTGCCAGTGCATTACTTTCTTCAAGTCATGTTGTTCAGTCAAATGAAAGATGCATTTTAAGTGCAATTATCCCAGCTGGGTTTATCTTAGCAGACATCCACTGCCAGAGGTCCAGTAATACTGTTCTGCGCTATGATCCATGTTATGGCAGAAGCCTGCCATACCTTACTGCCACTTAACCCTTCTGGGATGGGTAGAGAAAGAGAGCTATCACAAGCTGTGTCTTCATTGTTACTCCATCCAAAAGGGCAAAACATCTTGGAATTCTTTCTTAGAGTGCTCTAAGTTAGATTTTATGTGCAGGATTCAAGAAGGCTGAGTAGCGCCTACATGCTCTGTAGAACTTTGTATACTCCAAGTTGCGAGACAAAATGCTCTTTTTTATCGCTGTTGGATGTTTTATGTAGGCTCTGACGGGAATGAGTTCCATGCCTCCCATGATGTGAATGGGTGTAAGTGGCTCCTTCCAGATAGGGCCCTGCTCGCCGTACCTGGTTTCAACCGTTAAAATGATGTCGGCAAGCTAATGGGACCAGGAGTGACTCACCCAGCTGCAGCTCCCAAATAAAGATAATACGGTAAATGGAAGCTTGGCATGGCAAGTGGCAGTTCTCAGTCAGCTCTGCTGCAAATACTCAAGAATCACTGAGAAACCGCTCGTCAGTTCTTGAATTTGCTTTATTTTCTCTGCATAAGGAACCCTGCACAGGCATTTCAAATTAAAACAAAAATAAATATATGAATATTCATGTAAAGCTGTCCTTTCTAATGAACAATTATACACAATGTACAACTCTTCATGTTCACTGGGAGGGCTTATCAGTGTACCATTCCCAACAAAAAATGTACCGGAAAGGCTCCATGCAAACTTATCAAAAGTGAACAAAAAATTGGGGGGGAAAGGGAAAAAAAAAATACCTTACTGTTCTCACTTTTTTGTATTTTTGTTTACAGTCACAAAAAATAAACACACCTAAGTTCTGTTACATTTAGAGTAACTAAAAAGGTGGCCACTGTTTTATGTTTCTAAAACGTCTGTGGTTACCATACAGTGGTGTCAACATGGAAGTCTGACATCGGGCACGATCTGAGAAAGGAAGATGATCACCGGCCACAGAGTTAATAATCTGTGTCCGAGCCCTCGGCATTGTCCACGTTTCGGGACAGCATGTAATTGTCCATATCAATAGACCTGCAGTTGTTGATTGCATAGCGCAAGCGCTCGGCCATGATTAGCTGGCTGGAGTAGGGGGGGAGCCTCAGCTGAAAGAAACACGTCTGTGAGGTAGGCAAGCTGTCGTAAGGCTGCGGAGAGAGAGGCGAGAGAAAAGGGGCAGCTGCTGTTAGCTAGCCAGGCAAAGGGTGTCACAGGCGCTTCCCGCGAACAAGGGTGCCTTTCTCTCAGTGGGAGACGCAGCTAGTCAGGCTGGGGTTTTTCCAGCCTTCCCAGAGTGCTCGGGACCTTCAAAGCTCAAGGGGCGGCTCCACAGGCCCTCCTCCTCCTCCGCCTGGTCTTCTCCTGCCATCGCCCCCGACTCAAGAGGCTGCAGGGAAGGCAAGTGGCAAGCAGGGTATGGGTTTTCAACCACCTACACGGTGGGTCGCTCTTCTCCAGCCTCACTTTGCTTGGGGCAGGATGAGAGGCGCACCCCCTAACTTCTCCTGACCCTTTCCTAGTTTGAAGGGGCTTCCGTCCCTCCTCACAGTGCACAGAGATTTCCTTCCCCAGGTGATGCCTGGGCTGTTCCCTCCCCACCACCTTGCACAGACCAGTGCTGGGACCTAGTGTCAGCCCCGCTGGCCTCCCCCCACACCATCCGCGTCTCACTTCCCTAAACCAGGAAATAGGACCGAGAGCTCCCATGGGCTGCCAGGATTAGGGAGCGGCCCATTACCGTTCTTTGTGGATTAATAAGGTGATGGTGGGGGGGGGGTCCACAGGTGGGAACTACTAAGCAGGCAGGGCCACCACGTTTTTGGGATGGTCCTGTACAGCAGTCCCTACATAAACATCACTTTTTAAGCTTCTCTTGGGAACTTGTTTCAAGTCCAGCATAAAGGAGCTTCTGCTCCAGTGCAGGATTAGCAGCCAGAGAAGCGTCTAAATGAGCCAGAGGAGGAGGGTGCACTCCCCTGAACTCACATCTCAGCTAGCTTCAGCCCCCGCTCCCTACTACGCATGTCCCTTTTCCCGCTGGCTTCTACCACGGGATGAGTGGGGCCAGACAGCATGCAAAACAAACAAGAACTGGCACCTTACCCTATCGACCTTCATTATTTGGAAACGCTGAGAGATATCAGCTGTGTTGGCTGGCAGGCGAGTTCTTCCCGAGACAAATCTCATGAAAAGGACACGCTCCTCGTTGGAAAACTCCTCGAGAGTGTGCCAGAACCACTGGACCAGCTGGTGCTGCTCATCCACCTCCCGGTACCGTACAACCTTCTTCAGGACGTCGACGGAGATCTCTGGCATCCCGCAGACCATCTGCTCCAGCTGCTTGGCGGTGAGCAGGGAGAGCAGCGGCACCGGGACAATCCACGACATCCCCTCGCGCACAGCAGCCACCTGCAAGGCGTGGGGAGGGGCCTCGTGATGCCCTCGGCCTGAGGGAGGCGGACGCCCCTTCGTTCCTGTCGCCAGCCCTGGCGCGCCCGCCCTGTGCCCCCTCTGACCCAGCGGTGAGGCTTCTCCCCGGGACGGTTTCACAGGGCCAGGCGAGTGGCCGATGCAGCTGCGCAGGCGCGGGCCGAGTGCAGGGCGATGCCACACATGCCAGACGGTTAGCACTTCTTTCTGCCTAAATGTGCACAGTGCACATTAGACCTGGGCCTGGCTGCCCCCAACTGGCCTACACAGGTAAAGTCAGCAAGAGAGCGCGTTCCCACAGAAAGGTCTTGCACGGCTCAGGAAATCAGAGCCATCCAGGCACACGCAATCGGGCACCTCCTTTAACCGCAACACATGCTGAGATCAACCCCCACCTCGCACTCTACCTGGGACACTCACCTGGCGGTCTATCTCGTGGAGTCGGTACTCGATGGCTCTTTCCACATATTCCTTCCGGTTTGAAAAGGTGAGTGGGATGCTGTTCCCACCAGGGATTATGGGAACCATCTTCCCATCTGCACTCTGGCCAACGAAAGAATCTAGAGGAATCATCTAGCAAAAAGAACACACACCGCTTGAGCCCTTTGATTGTGATAAACTTTAAGAAGTAGGTACTTCGTTGTCCTTTCACTGCTACACTTGTGCATGAGAGTCCAGCTACACATTTTCACTGTTGTATTACAGCAATACAACTGTGGAACCAGCTGCCTGGAGAGGTGGGGGGCTCTCCCACACTGAAGGCATTCAAGAAGAAACTGGGCAGTCACCTGGGGTTGGACCTGATGGCCTTCATGGCCCCTTCCAACTCTGCTCTTCTAGAATTCTAGGATTTCTCACATTTCTAAGTTTCACAAGATGTTTTTCGTAGAACTACAGATGGCTACTGTTGGACTATCCCACAAAAGGCACCGTAAGTAGCAGGGTCCCCGAGTCACGCATCCTGCCACAGGACAGCACCCTGGGGGCCACGGCGGCAGCGGCATCCCCTCAGCAGACTCTGCCCTCAGGAAGCCGCGGGACTCACCTCGTGGAAATTCTCCTCTGTAATCCCGCTGTCTTCAATGTGAAGAATGCTGTTCAGGGTTTGCACATAGAGAAGATCCACCTCTTCTAGGTCTTCCAGAGTGAGAGGGATGCAGCAGAGCTGCTTCCAGACCATGGGGGCCAAGTGGAGGTCGAGGGGCTTCTTGGTGCGGATGGCCACCCCCATCAGAATGCCCAGGAACTTGAACTGCATCAGGTGCTCGTCTAAGCAGGCGGAAGGGTTGAAGAGGAACCTGGGGGGACGCAGGGGAGAGGGTTGCACACAGCCTGCAAGACTGGACAGGTGCCGCCAAGCACCCTGCTGGAGCTCAGCGTCACAGAGTAAAGCCCGGCCTGCCTGGACCCCAAATGGCGCCCCTCTAACTATCCAGGTAATTCCACTAACAGTAAAGGCTGCTTCAGCTGGTCTGCCTCAGAGTCGGGGCTTGCGAAACCTTTTCAGAGGAAAGGTCTCGGCACGCACCTGTCTCTGTTGTAGCCGACTTCAGCCGTTGCATTTGGGGAAGGAATCAGGAGGTCGACGACGCCAGTTTCAAGCTCCTTGGGGATTAGGGAAAAAATGTTTCACGTGTTACAAAGTATGGCACACAACATGGTTCCATAAGCTCAGCAGTAACAGAGCGCTATACCGACGAACTTCTGGGGAAGTGGGGTGGGGCTGGGGGCTCCGCCGCTGCCTTCAAAATGCTCTAAAATTGGCTTCCTAATAGCAATGTCTGTGGTGAGCTGCCCAGACAGCCTTGGGGCTGATGGGGCGGCCTCCCAATCAAATAAACCAAATAAATAAAAGACCACGGAACGGCTCCTCAAGGGAAGGTGCAGTTCTGCTGCACTCGTTCCCCGAGACAAGCATGGTGGCAGGCCAAAGACGCTTGGGGGCAGCAAGACCCCCAGGAAAAGGCTGGAGCCATCAACCTCGCGAGTCGTAGGGTTCAGGTACCTGGCACATCTCTGTAATGGTGTCGTCAAAGACGCCCCCGGCATCATCAGCGCCCTCTCCCACCAATTTCACTTTCCAGGCACGAGAAGGCAGACGAAGGTCTGATGCATTCAGCTTCACCACTTGTCTTGCAATTTGAACAAAAATAGGCTTACATTTCCGACCTCTTTGGAGAGAAAGAAGAAAACGTCAGCCACACTCACAGCAGACACCGTCGCTGCAGGACATATGCCGATATTCCCCACTACCGGAAGGTGGTGCTCGTCCTTCCCACTTCACTTGAAAGAGCTCAAAGTGCTGACCTGGTGGAGATCCTCTTGACTGTTATCTGCGGCCCGTAGTTCTTCCCCTGCACCATGGTCTTCCCTATGGAGCGAACCATGGGGAGCGTGTAGACCCTCGGTGCCAGCAGCGGCCGCAGCTGCCCTTGGACAATGCCCCAGGTGCCCGCATTGTAGTGGGACGTGCTGTTCTGTAAGAGGGGGAGGGGGTGGCGTGCGTGAGACCCGCTTCCGTGGCCGGACCCGGCTGGAGCCCTTCCCTCAAACCTGTCAGGTGCTCCTGGGACAGCTGGGGTGTCGGTGCAGTGCAGAGTGGGCATCGAGGTCTCCTCAGTGCCCACCGGCTTTGGCTCCTCCCAACTTTGGTTCCCGAACACTTAAAATATTTTCCTATTGGCAGCTGCGAGGGCTGAAAGCCAAGTGGGAGCCTCTTCTTTGGCCACCTTGCCCACCCAGGAACACCGGCTGGGCCTAGGAGTCCCCCCCACAGAAGCGGCGAGCTGCCCGGCCCACGGCAGCTGACACATGGAGGAAAGGTACCTGGCTGTTGGGACTGAGGTTCAGCAGCCTCCACGAGGAATACATGAGATCCGAAAAATGGTACAGCAGCCGGAGCCTCGCCCGGACCGTGTGGATGCTCACTTCCTTCAGGGTGCTGTACTGAGGCGGGAGGGTATCTGGCAAGCCAAGCTGCAGCGGCACCGACACACCTGCCAAGAGAGCGGGGGGGGGGGGGGGAGCAGACAGGTGAGGCCCTGCAGGCACGAACCACGTTTGGCAAGAGGGGGAGCAGCTCTTCACGGGACGGGAAAAGCAGACGAGCAGCCACGGACGGTCAGGGGGAGCATCTTGTACCCAAGCATGACTCAGACTTCTGCAACATACGAACCCCGGCCTGTGACCTCTGCCACCAACCGTTACGCCCTCCTGCTCCACAACTGTTATCTGTAAGCTACCCCGAGAGCACCAGCCAGCGGCTGGCAGAGCAGCAGAATCCCTCCTCCCACCACCCACGGCTGCCACTGCTGCCCCCTACAGGACGTGAAGGCGCTGCTGCAAGCAGAGCCTTTCCTGCAAACCCCTCTTGCCCTGCAGGTGCCTGGATTGACCCCCACAGCCCCAAGAGCTGCAGAGGGAAGAGACTTGGAGCTCAGATAAATTCTGCACGGAAGACCGGCTGAAGCCGATGAGCCAAGTTCTGGCCCAAGGGGGGACGAGTAAAGCAGCCTTCAGCTGCTGGGGGGAGAGGACTTTAGCTGGCCCCTCGTTACCTGGCGCTCGCGGGGGAACGGGTGGCGCCGTCCACGCTGCGCTGTGGCATCGTCCCGCTGAGATCTGCCGGATGCTTTTCCCTTGCAGGAAAGTAATTAGGGTCGGCTCTCGAACATGGTTGGTGTGGCCCAGTCCAAGCTAGGAAGAGTTAACAGAGGCGAGGAGGAGGAGGGCTTGTGCGACCATCCTGTGAATGAGCCGCGATTCATCACGGGACACTCCCGGGAGCTGGAAGTGTGGGTCGGGGACACAAGCGCTGGCGTGCCGCCCCTTGCGCCAGGCCTCAGCTTTGGACGTGGGGGCGAGAGAAGGCAGTCTGGCTCACTCCAGCGGCCCCGGGGACAGGGCTGGGGAATGAGGTGGCGGCAGTGAACCTGAATGCCCAGCGGTTAACTGAGAACGGTGACCTCCCTCCTCAAAGCCGAGCTGCTGCCTGGAACGAGGCCGGGGTTCCACCAACCTGCCCTTCTGAGTTGCTCCCCCAGGCGTACACGTCCCCCGAGGAGGTCAGGGCGAGGGTGTGCTCTGCTCCCACAGCCACGTCTTCAACGGAGACTCCAGACAAGGCCGGAACTTGCTGCGGCCGGTTGTGGTTGCGGGCTCTCCCCTCGGGCAGGCCGATCAGCCGGTCTGCAACCAGGCAAGGGCCCCGTCAGGGATGCAGCAAAGGGCAGGAGACGCGCCGCCGGGCAGGCTGCCTGGAAGGCCTGCGGCTGACACCTCCCCGCACCGCTGCCGGCTGGGAATGGCATATGAGCAGCAGGGCCCGGCTTCCCTGCCTCACCCAGCTGTGCTAAACTGAAAGGTGGTTTCCAGAGGAGAACTGGCTCCCATGAGTGGGCCGGGCTGAGACCCCCCGTGTCCCTTCTTTCTGAGGCTCAATCTGCCTGGGCTGCATCCAGAGTTGGGCACATGCAACGGGGTTGCTGAAAGCAGACTTGCTCACCCACTTTTCTTCAGGGCAGCTCCCTGAAAGCACTTTTGCTGAAAGGGGGGGGGGGGACTACGCTGCAAGGGCTCCTCAAAACTTGGCAGAGGCTGCCTCCTGGGGGTACACGGGAAATTTTGCAGTGCTGAGGAAACTCCAACGATGCTTACCCTGCCCAAATGTATACACGTGTCCATCTTTCGTCAAAGCAACTGAAAACTGGGTTCCACATGCAACTTTTTTGATTCCAATTCCACAAAGGATATCTACTTTCTATGAAAAGGAGGAAAAAAGCTAAATATCACTGCCCTATAAAGATGGTTCACAATGAAAACGCAAACAGAATAAACTGATGGCTGATGCTTATACATCAAACTGTACTACAGTTAGAGACCATTTGGCAGATATTGATTCCTGTCAGAATGCCAGGTAACACGGGCACATCCTTCTTCCCAAAGGGAAAGCCAGCGCTTTGGGCACAGAGGTGGCTCACTTGCGCCCATCTCATCCCAACTCTATCAGTGCGAGGACAAGCAGGGCAGTGGCACCGTCTGTTTACAACAAGAGCGCAGGGCACAACCCTGCGATGGCAGACAGCTGCCAATGCTGCACTTTATGCTTAAGCAGCAAGCAATTCAGTGAAGCCGCAAATGAAAAGCAGCATTAGCCACTGCCCCGCGGCCCTCCTTAGCCTCTCGTCTGGATAAAGCTCTGAGCCTGTGTGTCTGCGCTGTTACGAGGAATTGTTAGCCCAGTTCTAAACATCTGGAAGCAGGCCCTGCTACTTTCATTGTGATTTACTTCTGAGAAAACATGAAAGGGACAAGGCTGTTCAGCTAGCTATCACCAGCGCTATCACTGTAACGATATAAAAGAGAGCATCGACCAACCCAAGAGTACTGCCCACAGAAGGGGAAATCGAGCAGATCATCAGAGTACACGCCGAGAGAGGAGAGGTTCTGCAGAAGATGCTCACCTGGGGTGAGGACTTTGCGGTGGAGTTTCCCAAGCCCAGCTTCCCATAGTCTCCATCGCCAAATGCCCAAACCATGGAGCCATCCGTGGACACAACTATGGTGTGGTTCAGTCCGCAAGCAACCTAGATTTGGGAAGTCACATTCGCATTAAATTTCTGCCCCAAACAAACCCCTGCAGGCCTCCGAGAGCTTCGACCTGATACATTAAGATTCCCCACGGGCAGGTAGGTGGTCATCTCCTGACTCAAGGGTACAGTGTGCAGAAAAATGGGTGTGGCTTAATTCAAATCGGAACCCTTCAAATTCCACCTGGAATTGGGGAGGGGACATTCCGTGCTTTCCGAAGGTGCTTGAAAAAGATCTCGTGGGGAGATGGGGCCCACGCACAAGGGAGCATCACACGAATCAAGCCAGACCTCTCCAATCTGGTAGCCCTCCAGCGCCGTCACTCTTTCGGGAAGCTTCTTGTTGGAGGTGTTTCCGAGTCCCAGGCGGCCGTAGTCACCATTGCCAAAGGTAAACAGCTTGCCATCTGCAGTCACCACTGCCGAGTGCTTGAAGCCACAAGACATCTGCAAAGGCAGGAGGAGCAAAAGACCGCTGCAAAGGCCATTCCTACCAGTCTTCGTTATGCCTGTAACTCAGGCTCAAGACCAGCATCCCCAGACACAACAGGGAAAGCCCTCTTGGCTCCAAACTCCAGAGCCCCGCTGCTCTGCAGATGAGCAACTGCCCTGATTCTGGGTAAGGGTTCCATGTTTCCAGCTTCCCCAGGAGCACTGAGCCCCACCTGAGGTTGGCCAATGCACTTCAAGGGCGGGCAGCAAGCTCATTAACGCACAGCAAAGTTGGACGGGGGTCGCGCTGCCCCTCACAGCAGCCCAGTGCCCCATCTGCTCCATCAGTACTTTTGGACTGCTTTGCAGCAGAAAAAACTCTCAGATGCAGCTCCTGGCATACGAGCTGGCTTGTGAGCATCATCTGCATTCTTCACAAAGCAAGGGTGAACTCTTATACGCTCAGGCTGCGCTGGGCTGTCCGTGGTGCCGTGCGTGTCTCTGTCCCGGGTGCCACCGCCAAGGGGCCCTCCCAGGTAAGGCCTCTCTGCTCCATCAGACTATGCAAGGAAGCGTTTTCCCCACCTGCACCACTTCCTCCCCTTGCAGAGCCTCGATCTGCCTCGGTCGGCGCTGCCGGTCGCTGTTGCCGTGGCCCAGCTTGCCGTAGTCTCCATCCCCCCAGCTGAACACTTCGCCACTCTCGGTCAGCGCCATGGAGTGCCCGTCAGACCCACACGACGTCACCAGCTGGGTTACGACGAAGCCTGCAGCGAGAGCCGGAGAGGAGCGGTGACGCGAGGTGCCCGTGGTTCGTCCAGCCCAAGGCTGCCAAGACCAGGCGAGTGCGGCAGTCAGAGCTCTGGCGCGCCCCCTGGTGTGCCGACTGTGCGCAGTGCGGGAGCCGGGGGGCTGCTCTCCAGCACAGTGAGCCCCCCTCCCAGGTTCAGCTGCTCTGGCACAAGAAGAGGGTCACCATTCTCAGCTGCAGAGCTGCTATCCTGTGCTAGTATTCCAGCATCATTTAAAGCTTGGTCTTTTGCTTTCACTAATTATAACTAATCAAGCTATATGCAGTGTCCTTACAACAAATGACAAACTCAATTTGTCAAGCACAGAAAGCTGATAAAAGGTGCTCTGTGACCTTGATCCTAAGATCCACGTGGTGTAACAGGACAGACTGCTGCATATTTAGCTCAAAATACACAAGTTGACGCCAAGAAAAATAAAAAAAAATCTCATTGTGTTAAAATCAGCGACCCAAATTCAACAGGTATCCTTTTTACCTTGCAGTGCTGAAATAACAGTGAGCACATGAAGATCATCTGAGTTTCCTTGTCCCAACCGACCGTAACTCCCTTCTCCACACGCCAAAACAGTCCCATTAGCTTGAATCACAAAAGTGCAGTTTTGGCCACAAATTACCTAATGCAACGAGGAGGAAAATTGCAACGCGATTTTAAAGAGCAGCAACAAGACACATCTTTCCAGCTGCAAAGAGCCACAGATGCAAAAGGCAGCAGGGTCGCCCTGCCCCTAACTTGTAAGCTGACCATGTCGCATGCGAGCGCTCTTGGGATAGCACACAAGCTTCGACCCTGGGCACTCTCTGGCCCGAGCCTGCTGCATGCTGGCTGCGCAAGGCCGGGCACAGCTAGAGCAGCCCCAAGAAAGGCTGCACTGCAGTATGTGACATCCGGCCTGGCAAACACGGCTGGAATACAGAGAACCAGGTGTGGACAGAGCTTTGGGTGTGCAAGCAACGCCACCCAAATGGACTGCTCAGCCTCTGAAGAAAACAGAGTGGCCTGCATAGTGGAAACGCCTTTCGAAGTCATGCCCCTTGCCCTGGAAACAAGGCATCGACATGTGCTCGTTCTTGAGACACGCGGGCAGCAGAGCCCCAAAGGCAAGGCTGTGTGCACACAATGCACATGAATAGTATTCTGCAAGACGGAAAGCGGGATTCTGCAACCTACAGACATGGCCCCACTGATCTGAACACTGCAGTTCTCTTCTTCTGCATAATTTATTGACCCACATTGACCATACTTGCTTTGAGCTTTGCCCGTCTTGCGAAAGGGGCCAGGACCCATGTGGCACACCAGCTGGCAAACATTCTGAACCTGTCTACAGCCCTGCGGAAATGGGGCAGCCCCACGGAGCACTCTCAACGGCTTCCAGGTTTATGGCAAAGGCAGATGCCTGGATCTGCAGAAAGCCCCTGCTGCTGAGCCCAAATGCCCCCAGCGGCAGCTGAGGCGAAAATGGCGAGAAGCACCTTCAGGCATTTTATTACCTGCTGAGCTTGTGAGAAGGACGACGCGGGGACGGGCACCAGGATGTTCCTCCCAGCCTCGGCCAGCTGCCCATGCCTCCCTGCTCCCCACAGGAACACATCGCATTTCCCACCAAGGTGCCAGTCCTACGAAATCAGAAGAGGGGCATTTTCACACACGGCCTCAGCACTGGGCTCTGTTCACGGAACCGACCGCTTTACTAACCTCAGGCCGTGAGGTAGCCCAGGACATAATCTGCTCGTCCACGCCACTGATCCATTTCCCGTTGTCCTGCAAAACACGAAGCAACAGAAGTCAGCCGGTCCAGCTAGGGCAGCGGTGGCAAACCTCTGGCACGTGTGCCACAGCGGGCACGCAGAGCCCTCTCTGTCGGCACGCGAGCCAAGTCGCCCCAGCATCGCCCCAGGAGCCGAGCACTGGATTACAGTGCACACAGAGGCCATGCACATGCTCGGAAGGGAGCAGTGGCGCCAGGCAATGATGTCAGGAGTTCTGACTCATTAGCCACGACTCATCCGAGCTTTCACATGGCCAGTCAGTGCGCTGCCAAGGAGATATATACATACACATTTGCTTGGACTGGCTGTGTTTTTTCTAAACTAAAACCTCAGTTTTCAGGTTTTATTGCAGTGTCGACACTTTGCGATAAATCAGTGAGTTTTGGGTTGCAGTTTGGGCACTTGGTCTCTAAAAGGTTCGTCACCACTGAGCTAGGGGCTACGCTATGGTGTGGAACAGTTCGGTGCTGCTGCATCCTTCCCGCTGGCTTGTATCCCGCATTTTTTCCCAAGTACAGTGGTACCTCGGCTCATGAACGCCTCAGTTCATGACCCAATCCAGTTGCGAACAGAAATTTCGGAAAAATATTGCCGCAGATCGCGAACTCTGCATCAGGTGACGATCGCGAGCGCGTCGGCCTTCCCTGCATGGGTGTGCCCACGCCCACCTCTCCCCCACACGATTGCTGGGGGAAGGGAGATGGCCGCGGTCTTTGGGGTTCTTTGTCACTTCGCTTCAAATTTCTGTGAGTTAAACAAAAGCTTGCAGAACAGAAATAACCTTATTTCCTGATGGGGAAATTTGACTTGGCTCTCGACCAATTTGGGTCAGGACCAGAGTCCTGGCACGGATTGAGTTTGTGAGCCAAGGTGCCACGGTATCCAGTTGCTCGTCCTGAACTGCGCTGGACCACCGAGCCTGAATAACGCTGCCTGGCCATGCATCCCGCTGATGCTAGAGCAGCTCCTCAGGCTTAACTTCCATTCAAGTGCATTCCTCGTCTGTATCCCTGCTTAGTGTTTACGCTGAAAAGCAGCATAAAGCGCGTTGCCAGTGGGCCTCCAATGGGGCACTGGTGTTCTGGCGGGCGGAGGAACGGGGGCTCATTTGGGGTTCGCTTACCAGAGGGTTCAGACAGGCTGAGTCCCTTTGCGAGCACACCCAGCTCAGTGCAGGGCTCCCAGCTAAAGCACCCGGCCTGGGCCTCCTGGGCTGAGGCCAGCCCTTAAGGGATGGATTGGATGCTTTAGCTGTATGCAACAGGTAGGAGGGGAGGAGCGTCTGCCAGCCCCACCTTCAGTATCTCAGGACAAAACATTCAGCTAGAAATAAAATCCTGAAAATGCCTGGGCCACATGCTCACGGGCTCCCTGTTCTGGGCGGACACATTGCTCCCCCCGCCCCCCCTCCAGCCAACGCCCTCGCATCGGCAACCAGGCAGCCCATAATACTGGCCTGCCTTAGAGGGGTGTTTTAACCAGACAAGGAATAGTCAGAAGTATGACTATTGCTTTGGGTAAGAAGGGAATATTAGCGTTGGTGGATTAAAACACAGTCAGTGAATCTGTATGCGCAAAATTGCATTAGCACTGCGCCTCTGAGGTTATGCTGGGGTTGTTTGTGCCGGGACTGCCGCAAAAAGCCAGTTCCCTGGCTGGGGAAGGGAGGATCAGTAGCTGCCGCTGCTACCGTGGGGCCAACCAACCCAACCTCCCCCGCCTCCCGTGGGTCCTTGCAGGCTCTTCCCCACGGCGTGCCTTACCATCAGCAGGGCAAGCTCATCCTCCGGGACGGGCTCCAGGTCCGGAACTGTGAAGGAGTCTGGGAAGGGGGCTCCCTTGGCCAGCGCTTCGGCCGCCTTGACGGTTGTCGAGAAGCATTCCAGCCAGGCCCACTCCATGGGGTTCCAGGTCGACGGGTCAAGGAGGCCGCTCTGGTGATGAGGTGGGGCGGGCGGACTGCACAGCAGCTGGTCCAGGTGAAGGCCCACGGCGAGCGACGCCAGGCACTGCATGTACGGGCTGTGGACGAGCTGGTCTCCGCAGACGACGTAGGGCTGGGCGAGGGAACGTCCGACACTTACCCCTCAAGTGCACACACGAGGGCCACCGGCCCACACACACCGGCTACCTCAGGCCTGCATGCACCTGGTTTCTGTTCCACGGATTATGTGCGTGTCTCCTAATCAGCGTCAAGACACGTGTGTTTCCCTGACTCCGTTCAGTAACAGTGAACAGAGAATCTTGCAAAGGCCACCAGATTTGGAGCGGGGGGAGGGTGGAATTGAACTAAAATGAGTAAAAAAGCTCCCTTGTGTTCCAAATTTCTCCGTTTTTTCCTGAATACTGCCCTAGTGAAATGGTTCCAGTGAACTGAGAGAACTGCATACTACTTTAAGCTAAGACACCCTCTTATACTGATTTATAATTGACCCAGATAAGCGTAAGAGGCCTTACTTTTGTTAACTTAAGTAAACTGTGCGAATTAAACTTGACAGCAAGCTCTTTCAGTATCAAACACGTTGACAAAATTAAGTTAAAGTGCTAAAAAGCAAGAGAAAACAGGCAAAATATTTTGCTTGTACTTCAGTAATGCGTGAGAACAGTAATTTTGCACGCTTTCTTTTCTTGAATAGACTCTGTAGAACCAGAAGCGATATGAAAACTCAGAAGGGATATGTTGGCGACATACAGGCATGTGAGGGAGTGTCACATGGAGATGGGCAGAGAACTGTTCTCCCCTGCAGAGGAAGGCAGGACGCGCGCCAACGGAGCAAAGCTCAGGGAGCCAAGGTTCAATTTGGATGCCAGGAAGTGCTTCCTGACAGTTAGGACCCCAAGGGTGTGGAATGGTCTTCCATGGGAGGTGGTTGAGGCCCCATCAGTGAGGGTGCTCAAGGATAGGCTGGACATGCACATGGTGGGCATGTCGTGAGCGGAGCCGGTTGAAGCCGGGGGTCAGACTAGATGGCCCATGAGACCCCTTCTGACTCACTCTGTTTCTATGTTTCTATGATACCTTAAGGGGCACATACCGCTGCATGAGAGAGAAAACCCTGCTGGTGCAGGCTGGAGACAAGTATTTCTGCAAAACGTTTATGCTAAAAACAAGTTAAATACTAAGCGCAGTTGAGCAGTACTGTGGCAGCTCTCTCACATTAACGGGTCGCCCGCTCAGGCCATTTACCTTCTCGTACGCATACTGCTCCTGCAGCATTATGGGCAGGCGCTCTAGGAAAGCCCTCATGCACGGGGCCACGTGAAGGCCCACAATCCCCTGCTGCTTCAAAGCAGTCCGACACGTTGCGAGGACGTGGTTGGAAGAAATCCATTCCGACGTGCAATTCACCACCAGCACGTCCTGGTTGAAATTCACAAATATCCAGTTCAGAGAGGTAGCAAACTTGTGCGTGCTTCAAGGCAGAGCAATAAAGCAAATGGGGAAATTATGCAAAATTCCTCGCAGCAGAGAGTTACTCCTGTGCAGAGAGTTACTCCTGTGTACTTGCAGAGGCTTGGACAAATGTTCAGGACAGCCTCCCGCACCCTTTCCCGCAGCTTTCTCCAATTTGTCTCTTAAATCCACTCAAAGGCGAAGGACACAGAGAAGGATGAGGAAGAACGGCAGCAGCCCTGGCAAGGAACTCCCTGGGCTTCTGCAGCTTCTGCTAACCACTTCCACAAAAAATTCACCCTCCAGGTTTAGCATCACAAGTGACCCAAAAATCAACTCGCCCTAAACTAACCTGCTGTAAAATGGGGGGTCCCAAAACAAGCCACAAAGGAACTTTGGTAACTGAGTGGGTTAAAACTAAAGCAAGTGCAAATAAATAAATGAGAACTTCAGACCGAGGTTGAATATGCTCGATTTGGGCTAGCCTATGATAGTGGAGACAGGCATTTTATTGCATCCAGACAAAATGAGTAATACCTTTGATCTACTAGAACAGGCAGCTACTCCAACTTCAGGGATCCATACGGTAGTCTGAATAGCTCCAGAGCCTATCACAACGCTCTGTAAAACAGAGCCATCCTAAAAGAAAACATAAATCCACAAAATCTGACTTGTAGCTCCATGAGGAATAATATCAGCATTTTAAAACCCACACTCAAATGCCAAAGCAGAAACATGCACTGGAATGGAAGACTGAATGCAGGCTCTGCTTCTGCCCCCTCATTCCTGTTTTTGCTTACCCGGAGAGACCAGATGTTCATAAGCCCTCCAAGTCCCCCCGATACCAATGTCAGTCCATCGGAACTGAAGGCCACCGTCCGAATGGGGGTGATATGCCCCTTCAACTGGTAAATGCACTTGGTTTCTCCTGCTCTCCTGTAGGCATCCTGGAAATTAAAGTTCATTATCAGGGGATCTTTTCGATTAAGAAAAACATCATGGATTCTGGCTACAAGTATGAGAAGGAATGAAAGTTAACCTTGTTCTCTCCCCACACCCTCACTACCCGCCGGCACATGGAAGCAGGATGGCTTCTTCAGCGACCCTGCGTTATAAGAAGGCAGCAGACGGAGGGAAGCTCTGAGAGATTATCGGAGTGAATGTAATTATGGCTACTCTATCTAGGAAAGAATACGGAGACCAAGATGGCTGAATAGTTCTTCATAAGTTAGCGAGATGAAGGAATGGGTTTTTATTCCTTGCCGATCAGCAGCTTGCCCAGCCCGATCTCAGTTCTGCCCCTTAAAGGATGCTGCTGTGCTCTGGGCACTCACCCTTTCAAAAGAGAGGGCTCCCAGGCCCTCTTGCCAGCAAGTTATTGTTACCTTGCCACTGGCTTCCTCGTCCCACCATCCTTCCGAACAACTTAGGCTGGACTGAAGTAAGATCAGCTCATCTTGGGGAACGGTCCAGACACACAGCAAACCATTCTGGCAGCCTCTAAACAAAAGTGAGCAAAACCTGTTGCAATTCACCGCTCAACGAAACAGAGTAATACACACGTATAACAATTTCCCCTCTAAAAGTGCTCCGTTTTGCTCTTCCTCTCTGGCAATCATCCTGAGAGATGCTTTTCCCAAAAGCATTTCCCGCATTTTCCCAATGCTACACGTGCAGCAGGCGGGAATCAGCAGCAGAGGGGAATGTCATCCTTCCATTGGATGTCGGCTGCTCTTTTATAAACAGGACAGAGCTGTCAACAGCAGACTGAGAACCTATGAACTTGGGGTCTAAAATTAGGACAGCATGCCTCAACTCTGAATGGAAGTATGCAGGATCCTTGGAAGGAGATGTGGAGTTCATGCATTTATTTTGCTTTTAAAATACGCAGATGCAGAAAAATGTTCCAGAGATCCATCAAAAGGCAGATTTTGTGTTTCTCTTGAGAGAGGGCTGGCAGCTCATGCACATTCTGGTGATTTCCCTGTGGGATTACTGCAGCGCATTGTGACGGGCCCATCTGAACCGTCAAGACAGTTTTGGCTACTAGGTGGAGTACACATGCAGTTAGCACACTGATAAGTCATGTGCCAGATACTTGCCCCCAGTTATGTGCTGAGCAAGATGCAAAGTCTTAGCATGGGCCTGTAAAGCCCGAGGCCCCCCGGGGAAGAGTGTCCCAGAAGGAACACCTCCTCCCTGTGTGCCTGCTCAGGGGCTGCTCTCCAGGTAGACAGGGGCAAGACAGACAACCATCCACATCCTCTCCCCGTCGAGATTCACCTGGCACCTACATCCGTTATCTTTCCAGAGCCGCGCAAAAGCCTTTCTGGTCCCCCCAGGCAATTCTCCAGTTCTCTCTATTCCTCTCCTGCTTGCACTGCCCATTTACATATCATATGCTATATTTCTTCTTGTCTGCATTGCATTTTGTTCTTTAATCTGTCACAGAAGCTACGGAGTGGCTAATAAATAAATAACCAGACTGGACAAGCCTCACGCCCTCAGTGGCAAGTACACCAGCCAAGGACAGAGGTGAGGCAAAGGGATTCGGCAAACTGTTCAACTCACGTCGCCAGCAAGAGCTGTGGCTTTGGGCCTTCCCCCGGAAGACTGCACCAGGCGATGGCATTCACAGCTGCCTGGTGGGGGAGCGAGTACAAATGCCGCCAGCAGCCCCCCATGTGTCCCCACAGCTTGACCAACTCTTCCTTGGCGCACGTCATGAGAATCTTTCCAGTTGGATCCCATTTCATGCTAACAATGGTGTCCTGAAAAATTTGAGCAGCAAAACAGACACCCATGAAGGCACGTAACAGACTCCCCGTCCAGAGGCCTGCGCCTCTCAGTCCGCCTGCCCCAGGACTCCCATCAGCCTCCTCCCCACTGGCAGGCTTGCCTGGGCTCCCCTGGGGTCGCAGAGAGCGAGCCTCAGCAGCCCCTGGTTTATCTCTGGGCCACTGGCAGTGGTTCCTCGGCCGCAGACGCCTCGCCCCCAGCTGACCCAGGATCTGCTCCCACATCCCCCAGAGGCTCTTTGGCAGGGGGAAATGGGCTGTGGCTCTACATTCGTAAAGTAATGTGAAAACCCCAGGAACCACTAGGATCTGATACAGCTCCAGAAATGGAGCAGCGGTGTCCCTTAACAGGGGACAGTCTGAGCGCCTTTTGAAGGCTTTTGTGCTACGGGGCTGGGCACAAGCCTTCGAAGAATGTGCTGGTCTCACAGAGGCATGGGTGCATTTCAGTCTTAGGCAGGTGAATGCGAGCCTTCGGCTTTACCTTGTGAGCATCGACTAAAATGATCCCTCCTTTCTCAAGTGGCTCTTTCATGCCTATGAGCAGCTTCCCATCCAAATAGCCGACCGCAAAAGGTTTGTCTTCACTAAACCAGGCAAGGCAGGTAACAGACACTGTGGATGCAAAGCAGAATAATATTGGCAGGTGAGTCAATGCACATACTCCATTTTCAACACACCTCTCTGTACCACAGAAGAGGGACCCTGTGCAAGTTGGGGACAATCCTATAATGGGAACAGCATCACCAGCTCTGCTAAATAACTCACCCGAAGACTAAAGTGACAGGATTAGTGGGCATGAATGAGATCTGCAAGATCAGCCAGGTGGGGCCTCAGGGAAGGAAGCTACTGAGAAGCCGTACCATGTGTGGACCCAACACTGACCTCCTTGCAAGCCACCGCTGGCGATCAGAATCTGGCCTCAGGGACCCAGCCTCATTCCCCAGCCCCTTCCCAAAGCAGCTCCTTCCCTCCTGCCTGTTCCAGCATTAACCCAGATTGTGCACCCAAAACAGGCACCGACGCAAACCATGGTTCGCCACAAACTGGATTATTGCAAAGCCATGGTTGGCACGGCAAGGTCGGAAGAACCACTTCAGATGGTGACTGCCACTGAAATCCCGACTCAGGTAGCGCTCCGTCGAGACAAGCACTCCAAGATCCTGACACATCAAGACATAACCTTTTCTGAAACCTTAGAAACTGGGCAGCTGCAGTCCCCTACCATCCTTTCGGTAGCAGTGCTCCAGTTCAACTCTGCGCATGGTGGAAACGTCCAAAACTTCAATCAGCCCAAGAGAGCCATCCATACGGCCTACAAGGAGCAATTCTGGAGTCTCTCCTGCCCAGGTTGCAGTTGGTCCTTCTTCTGGCCATGTGAGAGCAGACACCCAGTGGGGCTGAACATCCACGAGCGCTTTTCCTCCTAAAAGCATATGTTGTTTTTAAAGATGGCACAGCAGTATCCTCATTCCTCAATCAGTTCATATTCTGTCCCACCTAAAACCCAGGCTCCTTACGCCTTACACCTGGCAAAAGATGTGGCCCATACCATTGACTTGCCAGACGTTCACCATCTTCTCCAGGGCTCCAGCCAGGTACTTGCCGCTGACGCTCCAACAGGCAAGAGACAAGCTGGGATCGCTGGGTGACCCCAAGTTCTCCTCTGCCTCACCTTCCCTGCAGTGCGACAAAGACATTCCCTTCAGGAGCAGGTGATGAGAGAGCAGCATCGGGAGCCCACTAGTGTCTCCACTAATGCACTGCCCGCTTCGCTACACGGCGCTCTCCATCGATGGTTTTACGTCATGCAGTAGCAAAAGCATTAGGGAAAGGGTGAAGATGACGTTCCATTCTAGACAGTACTAGATTTCCCACAGTTCAACCATTTATCTCCAAAGCAGGTTCAGCCTGCAAAGCAAAGTTAGTGCCACTTGGCACCACTTGGAGATGATGCAAGCTTCGTGTGCTTTCCTGGCTGTCACATTTTTCAAAGCGCATGCTTCCCCTTCCACTACAGACTTGACTCCACGTTCATAATTCAAGTCTCTAGCATAGCTAAAACAGGTAAGAGCAGATCGTTCTTGGCTTCAGCTTCACACTGCCCAGAGCCCACCAGGCCAAGCACCAATCACACCTCACACATCGCACTATCAGGAGAACATGTTTATGAGAACAGGACAAACCTGAGACAAAGGCACACCTCATCCCTATCTAAATTAGCAGACAGGTTCAGAGGCCGGACAAGCCTGTCTCAAGGCCTTAATGCATAATGAAGCCAGCATGGCAGCCCAGGTGTACATCGAAAATTACCATTACTTCCCCCAAACTCTTACACTTAGCAGTGATATTAATGCAATTCACATGTTTTTATAGAACTCTCCTAATAGTTATTTTACTTACAAAGTTGCTGTTTGGGGCAGAAGGAATGCAAGACTGCAAGGAAGCACTTACAGTTTGCTGAAAATGCACGTCTGCTGCAGTGAGTACTGCTTCTTCGTAACGCTCCAGACGCGGATCGTTCCATCGCTGCCGCTTGTTGCCAACAGCCCTTTTCTGTTGCACCACACACAGGTTATTACCTGAGGAGCCAAGCAGAGGGCAAAGCGGCCAGTCAAACATTTAAATATTTGAACTCCAAAATCCAAGCGACATGCAGCTATTTAGCATTAAAACGCCTTCCTGCACGGCATCCAGCAGCTGCTAGCGTCCAACAAGCAAGTCCTGGCTGGACTTAAACGCAACTTCTTCCGGAGATGCTCCAGCTTCACATGATGGAATTGTTGGTAGGATATTGCAAAAACAGTCGAGCACAAAACCTAGACCTTTGTAGCATGCAGGATTAACTTTACATTTTAAAAAATACCAGGCAGGCAATTCTCACTGAATTATTGGAAACCCCTGGAAGAGGAAACATGAGAGAAACCCAAAATGCCTAGAAGGAATAAGCCACTCGTAGAAAATAATGGAAGGTGTCCAATGCATCTGGTAGTCAAATAGGGTTATGGTTGTCTTTGTTATTTCAAAAGATAATTACAAAGTAGGAAACATTGCAAATAAATACTAAGGGTACACTAACACCTGTGTGGAACACAAGCCAACTTCAAGCACAATCTCCTAAATTATCTCCTGGGTACAATGAACCTCTACGGAATTTGCAATGTATGTTCATTTTCTGCACATAAAGGAATACACAGAAAAATTACTTCAGTGGTCTTAAGGGTGTTTTATAAAAACATAAAATGTATGATACAGGTAAATATAGGCTGATATTTCCTGGCCTAATTCAAGAAGACAGAATGGGGACACCTGGGCCAAAATTAGCTTAGAGACTAGATAGTTTTGCTTCCCCATCTTCTTCAGCAGGGACAAATCAGATCCTTGATGGCTTACGGCAAGCTAAATGTACCTTTTCTTTAACTGAAAAGTGGGGTGGGCAGGAGGTGGGCATCACAGGCAGCAGTCCCTCCCTTTATTGAGCACTAGACGGAGGATGGAGTGCTTCAGGATCACTAAAACGCTGCAAGCTGTTGTGAAGATCTACAGCAACCCCACTGGCTGGTGTATGTGTGCTCAACTGGGCGATCAAGACAAGTCCAAAGCACAATCAAAGGCATTTTCTAAGCTCACGGAGAAAGACCACCTTATAATCATGACTGGAACATTCTGAAGAGGCGATTACCCTGTTCTGATGGGCCTCCAGCTTGATGAAGGAGCACTTGCGCAGGTCCCCTCCCATGTCGGCAAAGGTCTGGGGGCTGGCTTGGTTGTCTCGGTCGTGAGCTGCCAGGGTTCGCACCAGCTGCTGGGCGGCCCACTGCCTGTGTTGCGAGGATAACCTTGAAGAAAGGCAGGAAGCTGCTAGTGCATTAGCCAGCTCCAGAGGGCCTACAGCAGAAGGATCATAGGAAGGGTGGGCATACACATGGGCAACTAGAACTGCTTAGAAAAAACAATGAGATGTTGCCCAGGTGAGTGCCAAGAACAGACGTGGCTGCACAAGATTACCCACAACATCCAGGAACGAGGACGGGAAGGAGGAAGGGATGACCCGACCCACACCCCTGCAGCCTCCAAAGGGCTGGACAAACCTGGGCCATGTTTACCCCAGGTCCCTTCTACCTCCCTGGACATAACACACACACACACACACACACACACACACACACACACACACACTCATGTCTACCATTAGAAGCCCTGCATCTGCTCAAGACTGCAAATCCCTACAAGTTGTGGGGTTTATGCTTAAATTCAAAACATAGGCACATCCCTCAGGTGAAGAATGTGTTTCAAAGAAGATATGTATTTTGACTGCCAAAAACAAGTCTTCGTCCAAAGCAATCGGGCCAAGGAGAAGCGCTGCTGCTTTCCGCTGAGCAGCACAAAAAGAGCAGACGGCCTTACAATGGTTCGAAAGTACTGAACCCCTTTTTGGGGTTGCCTGGACCCAGAAGACACGGCATTTAAACGGCTATCGACAACTATCACAAAAGCTTTAACCACAAATAAAAAAGCCCACAGTTGCTTTCCCATTTCAATCAATCTGGGATTTTTCTTTGATTTGTATCACAGCCGACCTTCTAAAACAGAAGCTTCAAGTTCAGAAAAAGTGCACTAACAGAACGACAGTAAGATCAACATCTCGCCGTCCCTCCCACATACAAATGTTGTAAACTTTAATCTTATCATGAAATGGTAAGAGAATCATAGAGAGCTTCTGCTTACAGGTCTCACAGTACAAATGCACCGTGTTAAGGGAAAAAATACCTTTCTTTTCAACTTCCGCTTTATCATAGTTTGGCCTCAGTTTGGCTCCCTTGTCTGCCAACAAGGCTACAAGTGCCTGAGTCACAACGAAGTTGGGAGAGGTTACAAGTTTGTTCTCCTCTGCTATTCCGCGCAGAAAGCTTGGCAAGAATTTTCTCTGCACTGGATCATCCACTGTAGTCAAATTCACACCAGTCGCTGCTGAAATTAAATTCTAAAAATAAGGGATAAAGGCAACACTGTAAGAGCCAAGGCAGATGCTATCAACCTCCCTCCTTCCCTCCCTCCGTTTCATATTGATTTTTTGGCAAAATGAAAACAAGCAGATGACAGTTATTAAGCTGTTTGATATCAAGGAAGATAAATTAAAAATAAACACTGGTTTATTAAAATTTAGGGACCAAGGGAAATAAATGTTTCCAATTATTTTGTATTCACGTAAACTTATGGAAATTTAAACCTTATCAATGTTTTTAAAAGCCCAGTACTAATTTCACAACCCCTCTTTTGTGCACTCCTCAGTCTCAGTAGAAAGGCTGCTTATTAGACTGAAGGTTTCAGAAGTTAAAGGTAATATGGAATATGATTCAAATACTAGCATCCAGTTATAAATCAGCATTCCACAGAGCAAACCAACCTGAGAACAACGTACTCCTTTCACATCCAAATTGTGGTTATGCGTTTGAACCTCTTACTTCTTTGGTGCCATAAGGCTGATAATAGCACAGCCATTATGACGATCAATGGGAGATAACGATAATTTTCTTCATGTACATTAAGCGGAATGCACTGTTACCCAACTATTTGATTGCAAAAAACGGAGAGAAGGGGCCACTTGTGTCCCTAGTTCTCCTGTTTCCTCTGTAGAAGCAATTTCCTGTTTCCTAAATATGAGTAACTATGGAGGCCGAATCAAAACAATATTCCATGCCAAACATTTCAGACTTTGAAAAAATAAAAACAACAAGCTACTACTCTTTGGTCACCTTTCCCTTACTGGGAAAAGAAGAGGCTTAACTGCCGAAAAATAAAACTCAGCAAAAACACAGCCCGTCTTACCTGGGTACAGAGCTGAACCAGCAGCTTTGCAGCGCTTGGAGTATTTGAAGCCAGGCAGCCAACGGCCGTGCTCAGATAAGCCAAGCAGGAAATGGGCTTGCTCATCTTGCTGTGCACACCCCGAGATCTTTCTGAAGAGCCGGAGACAGTACAGGGGCTTGTGGAGAGGCCAGCTCTCCCCGCTGCAGCCAGGCACATCAGTCGGACCAAGGTCCGGATATCAGTTAAGCCCAGGGACTCGAGCCCTGCCGCAAGACTGCAGCTGGATCCACTGTTGAGGAAACAAGGGGAAAGGCTTTTCTGCCTACAGGCCGAGCACAAGAGAGGCATAGCTCAAAAGCTGCTTCACTGCAGCGGCAGTGTCTCAAGGCTTATTCAACCAAGGTCCGTATTAGGGCGATCAGCTAATTGGAGTTAGAAGGTTCCTCAGAGATGGCCCAGCCCAGAGGCCTTCTCACGGCATGCCTTGCTGGGTGCGGTCTCTGTTAGGCCCAAGCTCTGCTTAAGGGTCTCCTGCAAGCGAGACCCCACCACCTCCCAGGGCAATTTGCCCCACGACTGAACAGCTCTCGCTGCTGAGAAGTTTCTCCTCATGCTTAGAGAAAAGCCGCTTCCCAGCACTATCCACCCTTTGGCTCCGGCCTCGCCCTCTGGAGCCACGGAAAACAGAGGTGTGCTTCACCCGGTGTGCTATTTTCTTGCTGCTCACAGACTGACCGCGTGATTGCCTGTTGCAGAATTCTTCTCTCAGGGGTTTTGGCCACGGGATCCCACTCAACTTTCCCTGGTGGTCCTGAAGCCAACTGCGTCCCACAGAGCTGCATTCACAGCCTCTCTCCCATGAATTCAAAGGCAGCATGGTCACTCTCCGCCACGGTTCCTGCCACTTCCGCTTCCGCTGCCCTTTCTTCTCTGCCGGCTCAGGGTTACGTCCACAATAGCAGATCCCCTTGCACTTTTTCGTACTCTATTTTGCACACGACACGTAGATATTTCTAAAAGCTTGCTTCTGGCCAGACTGACCCTCTGCCTCACCAAAAGTCTGACACCAGCTAAGCAAGGTGAAACTACTTCACATTTGCCCCAGATAACAACACAAAGGATCAATAAACCACCCTGTGTCCCGACAAACCTGACGGAAAGTAGCGAGAGGGCTCTCATCACCATGGTTCTTGCCAGGAGGACTTGAGCGGCTGCTGTCACCCTCCTGAGTGCCATAACACGGTCGTGCGGATTTACCAAGGCGGCGGCCTGTTCTCCCAGGGTGATCCTGCCGGAAGAGCTTTTCTCTATGGAGCCGTGGCAACCTTTGCATTTGAGGGGAAGCACAAAGGGAAAAGTTAGAGCACGTGGGAATGTCTTAGATGCCCCAAATACATAATACTTTGTAAGCCGCCTTGAATAAGCCCTTCGCCAGGAGCAAACCATTCCCAGGGTTGGGGCACAGCAAAATCCCCCCGCCAGGGCCTGCACCCCTCTGCTGCTGGCAAATTGAGGGCAGCAGGCCAGGTGCCAGCTGCCCTCCCTTTTGTGACCCCAGGCATTTTCGAATCTGTTTAGTGTGCTGAGATCATGCAGCTGTTTCTCCTTTGCTTTTATGTGTTCTGGCAGTTTTATTCTTTGAGACTGCTTTTACGATGATGTAAAACTGCCAACTGATTGCCCGTATTCTGCAGCTCAAACGCATTGTACGCTACCCTGAGCCCTTGGGCTATTCGGCTGTTTGAAAGTGCAGTCCGGTCGTGTCACCTATTTGCATCAGAGTCTCCTCCATGCTGTTGGTGGCCGTGACCATGGCAACAGAGGCTCCTAGGGGATCGCTATCCGGAAACTCAACAGGCTCAGGCACGATGCGGCGGTCATTCAACCCGAGGGGTCCAGCCAGAAGTTCAAATTCCTCTTCACCCGTCAACTTTTCGTCCTCGTCAACATCCAGCATGTCCCAGTCTTCTAGCATTAGGCAGATAAACTGTGGTTAGGTATAAGATTTTAATGCAAAACCAGAAGAAGGCAGTGGTGTCGTTAGAAAGACCTATATGGAGAAGTACCTTCATAAACACTGTCTTGCTTTCCTATTAGATCAGGAGCTTGCCCTTTACATCTGCATCAAAAAGAAAGGAGAAATAAGTACCCCATCATCTCAAGCAGGGACCAAATAATTAGCTGTTTGCCTGCTACTGACTTAAAGAGGATGAAACTGCTGTTGTGTTTAAGTGTTGCAGAAGAATTGACCTCTCCACAATTCCCCACTGAGATGCCTCAGGCAACCACATTGAGAAAAGCCGGTACATCGCATGATTTGTCTGGTGCCCGGCATCCTCTGCAGCAGCACCAGGGAACTGAGATGCACCTATAGCTATCTACAGCCTAGTTTTTCATTCCCAATATTTCTCACCCCAGAGAGGAAGAGGAACAGGGGAAATTAGAGAGGATTTGAATAGCTGTTCACACCCGCAGCTCTGACACAAATCTCACTGCAAGATGCTTTGTCACCTGTATACGTCTTCCCTCCCTCCATATAAGGTCACTTTATAGCGGTCCGTCCAGAAGCCTTCTTGTCTGATTGGCCACAGCTACTCATAGTCTTCGCCTAGATTACTGCTTGCTCCAGAGTCAGACTGCTGGCCAATCGTGCCAGGACAGTCTGAGGGCTTCCAGGATGTCACGTAAGAGCCTTTACCCAACCAAGATTTAATTGGAGGTGCCCGGAATTGAACCTGGCACCTTCTCCTGCCAAAGGAGGTGCCCCTCCTCAGCCATCAGAGTGGCATACGCAAATGAGACAATGTTCTCTCATTTCGCACCCATAGTAGTCTCATGAGGTTAGATAGAATTAACTTGTAAAAAGTCACGCAGTGGAGTTTCGTGTATGAGTCCATTTTTGACTGAGCTTCCCACATCCAAACCTATCCCTGTGGCAACTGCCCCATTTTATAGCTCATCAAGAGCAGCTTGGAAAATCAGAGAACGACCCAAATGGTTCTTTCCCCCAGAACGGATTTCACAGACCACATTGCCTAGGGTACCTTTCCGAGGCAGACGTCTTCGATTTGCTCTTCAAAGTCAAGTACTTTTCTCGGCAGCTGCCACACAAGAGGTAGTAAGGGTTCCCACTTCCACACTCGCCACCAAACCACCCATCCACGTAGGAGCCGTTGCTGCGATAGCCCTGCCGATTGGTGCTACGCCCACAGCCAGGGTGGTTTCTTTTCATGTGCTGATTGAAGCTGACCACACTGGACTCACACAACTCGCATACGACAACTTCTTCCCGGTCTTCAGATTCACAGACATGCTGCGCAACATAATTAAATGGTTATCTGCATGTCTATGACACATCCAGTGCTCCAGTTTTCTTTCACAGGACGGTCATATGCATGGCAAAATAAAGTCTCCCAGCTATTTGGGCAATATCACAACTTGACCATATACCAGGTTGCCATCAGTGAACAAACTCTGCTTTGTGCATCTTAAAACATATAACTCAGCTACGATTATTTAGAACCTACCGTCGCAGGCTTTGCAATTATGAAATCCTGAAAATCCAGCAGAGTAATTCTTTGTCTACACATCCCAATTTTTGCAAGAGGACTACGTTGTGAACATTAGTGTGTGCTTAATCTGCATTTACAAGAGCTGCACAAATAGGTTTCATAAATGTGTTTGCATTCTGTTTTTCACAGGGAATTTTGTGGGTAGGGGAGGGAACAGACCCCAGGAACTATGGGGAATTGCTACTGATTGTACTACATCTACCTCATATTAGCAAAAACTGCAGATCTGATTTCAGGCTTTCCCTTACAACTACCGGGGCTGGAAACCTGAAACTAAGCACTGTTCTATACATTTGGCTAAATCAGGAAGTTGACTGCGATGTAAAAACCTGGACTGCCCTGCTTCCAACTGTTGCGGGAATATTTTTGAATGCTTGCCTATATAAAGCATACCCTCCATGTAGTGAATTTGCAGTTCAGAAAGAAAGGTTTAGCATTGCATTCTTTCTTCCGATGTACTACTTTCTCCTGGTGCTGTGCCAGTACAGATGTGCGTGTTCAGTATCTAAAACACTCTGGTACTTTCAAATGGACACTTTGACTTAAACCACTCAGAAGCAACTCAGCAAGACCACGCAAATTAGTCAAGGCCTCACAAACAGTTCAATGGGAAGCGTTCCACAAAGAACGTCGTCTTTGCCGGCGTGCTCCTGCAGAACTCCCATTCATGTCAATACAGAAGCCATCTTGCAACTGATAGCTTTAAAAGGCGCCAGTTAACCTACAGCATTTCTTTTTAGTTCTGCCCAGGGCTGACCTTAATGTACTTCCCAACAGAGGCGTGCTTAATTCTACTGGAATGGCCAACCCATTCATTTAGTCTTCCCATTTATTCTTAGAAATACGCCAGGGTGCCCACCCCTCACACCTCTGAGCAGGGAGGGAGCTGCGCCTGCAGTCACGCCTGGCCCTGCAAGCGGAGTCTGCCTGCCCCACAGAAAAGGCTGCCACTTGCCTTTGAGATCTGCTGGGACACACTGCCACGTCTCTTCCTGGCAGGCTGAGGGAGCACTGGGCTAGGCCCACAGCCCAGGTAAATGGAGGCAGGCTCGCTGGCCCCATCGGAGGCCTCTCTGAAGGCAGAGGTGGGCACAGAGGATTGGCCCAGGACCCAGATGGCCCACCTGCCCAACCTTCTGTGTGCTGAAGGAGGTGGCGTGGAAGCATAACCTGCCTGCCAGTGTCACTGCATGCAGACCTTCTGTCACTGCTCACAGCAAAGCTGCTTGGCATGCTCTCACCTCCCCCTGCTGGGGCAGGCAAAGCCAGCCAGCGCAGGCGGCAGCTAGAACAGCCCTCCTGCCGCAGAAGGGCCAGCATCCCCAGACACTTTGCCCCCTGCCCACCATCCCTCCCTCCCGATCTCTGATCAGTGATCCCAGCTAGGTGTTATCTCCAACACGACGAATATACAATGGCTTAGCGAGGCACAGTGTTATTTCAAGTGCTAAAGAGCAAGTAAAAAGCAAAGCAGCCCCCGCTGCCATCACACACACCCAGGTAGGCCAATCCAATACCTCTGGGATCCACATTCCCAGAATGTCATTGTCACTGGCTAGATCCTGCCCAAACATGGCTTCCATGGCTTCATCGTCCAGGTCGATTTCTAACTCCTCATCCAAGTTGAAGTCGTATAATGCTCCAGGGTCTTGGGGCAGAGAGATCCCTTCTCTCCGGCTCTGATTCCTATGTGCCTGTACGGAGCGGTACAATCCCGCTTAAACCAGAGAAGAAAACCACAGACTTTATTTTGCAGGTAAGCAAGAGCACTGCATTTATCTACCGTTACAGTTATGCATTAACAAGATGGATGTCACTGCAGGGGCAGCGGTGGGGTGAGAGGGGACACCTAGGAAGGAAATGCCGTGTATGCTACAGACTGGGATGCGTTGTGCCCCCTCCCTGGAGGTCCAGTGCCAGAACACCAGCAGTGGGTGGAAGGGATTTACTGCAAATGAACAACTTTATCTCCAGGTGCTGTGATATTTCACCTAGAAGAGGACAGCTTTTGTTTGTAAATAGTTACAGCGTGCCTTACCCCAGGTCTGAGAATATTAACAAATACCACTGCAAAAGCAAAAATTCTCGCGCACTGGAGAGAGGGGAATGGCTGCACACAGGTACACAGATGGGGTGGGGCAAAATCAGTCCTTAGATACTGAGATACTCTAGATGAATTTTATTGTATTTTATTGTATTGATGATATTTATTTATGTTTGTAAGCCGCTCTGAGGCTTATGCAAATGGGACAAATGGGAACGGGCAGCATAAGTCTGCTGAATGAATGAACGAACGAATGAATGCCCTAGATACTGAGATAAGGTCTTCTCCCTCCACCCCAAACAGTCTTACCCACGGCAGCACATTTTTAGACACCTACCAGCACGTGCCAACAACGTCCGGGCAGCTAAATCAAATTTGTGTCTCCTGGTTACTGCTGAGCGACTTCTAGAAGCGGGTCCACTTCCAGATGCTGCATTTTCTGCTTGGTCCATATTGTCGTGACTGAAAGTACACACGAGAGTTCAGAAACACTGGGTTGGATCCAGATAGTCCACTGTTGCACAGAACTCAATAAATGCTCGTAATGAACATTTAAGATGTTTGTGCTGCTAACCATTTATTTAATAAATAGGAATAACATACAGTTCCAGTAACAGGGTTTGGGTGCAACCTGAAGAGGCTCAGCCATTTACCTTTCACTAAAGCCTTCTTCCGTTTCAGTGGCATCAGCTGAGGGAATGTCTCCCGGAGAGGGTAAATAGCACTGATCACCTGACTTCCCACTGCCCCCAGAGACCATGGTTCCATGGCGGGAATCAGTGGTTTCTTCCAGCTGGGGCTCTTCATCTTCCTCATTCCCAGGATGTTCTATCATCCACATTGCCAGGACCGTAATGTTCTGAGCATCTGCCTCTCCTCTTGCTCCTAAGAGGGACCAGAAGCATCTCACCTTAGACTCAAATCACTGAAGATATAAATACAGATGCAACTTCCAAGAAAAGGCTGTAAAATGGGTGAGCTTCAAAGCTTCACTGACCAAGTGCTTTGAGAGATTTTGTACCACACTACCAGGCAGCTAAAGCAGGACTTGACATCCAAAGCATGCTGCTTCACCTCTCCAGGGAGCAAATTCCTAGACCTTACAAGGGCAAAGAGAGGCACTAGCATGCACGAGAATCTGAAGAAACGCACCAGTGGAGGGTGCGGGGTTGGAAAGCTCAAGTTTCGTATTATTTCTGTCCTTTCTTTCAACCCTAGCATTCCTTGCCTAATCACGAAGAGGTGTTCCTTCTATTGTGCATTAAGTTTTATCTACTTGAGTTTGTCAAAGTTGCAAGCTTTCAGACAAAAATGAAAGAAGCAGCTCTAACACTAAAGGGAAGCTAGCTGGTTACAGCACAGCTAAGAACGATAAGAGAGTTCAGTGGGGGCGGAGGCAGAAATTTCTGGCCAGAACTCAACCAGGAATGCACATGTAGACTGAATTGTAGCATCCTGGCTGGGATAAGAATTCTAGGATGGAAAACCATGAGCTACTCTCCCTCTTGTTTAGCTACAAGTAAACAAGGCTAACTTTGATATAAATCATTTTTAAAGAGAATCTTAGAAGCAGAGTAAATTAAACCAGTTTTTATTTACACATTTATCCTGGTGTAAACCCACAGAAGGTCAAAAGTTTCCTTGGCACATACGCAGAAACGTTTAGGGAAAATTCAGAATCATGCTCTTTCGGACTGATCCCATGCAAGGCAATAGCAATAGCTCTTAGTAACAGAGAGGTTACCTGTGGCTTCCATCGCTTTTGCAATCTGCCGAAGGGAAAAACCCATTTCTAGTAATGGCACAGCGATAGCAGGTGGAGGAGGGGAAGTCGAAAGGCGACTGCTTGGGTCAGACAAAGCTGTGGTTTGCAGAAAAGAACAAGAAAAAGAAATAGTGAAGAGGCAGCACCCTTCGAATTCAACCTGCATTTCCTACAACAAATCTGGCCCATCAAACTACAACAGTCTACACAGAAACAAGTATTGCATGGCAGGTGACTCTTTACCATGCATCTTTGAAGAAAAGGAACTTCCTTCCGGAAGAACCAAAAAAGGACCTCAACATGAAATCATTTGTGAATACTGCACATTTTGCTTGCAGATATAAAAATATTTCTGAAGTGTAGCTGGTTTCTTAGCTGTAAAGAAGTGAGCACTACCGCATGACTGCAAGTAAATTCATCAAATGAATATTCTTCATAAATTTCAGTACCTAGAAAGTTACTAAAAACCTCTTTAAGTTCTTGAAAAGTGCAAAAGTTGTTGATTAAGAGCCTCAACATTGGCTCAGAGTCAAAGAGATATTATAAAGTGTAAGGAACGGCCAACAGTATTGCTGGCAATATATACAGAGAGCTTATTGCCGGTATTCCATCAATCCATCCATAAGGATGTAGGAGGAATCACATCAAAGGAGGAGGGCCTGTTGTTCCAGCAGTAGCCCACCCCTGCCTCTTGGGAAGCCTGCAAGCAAGAGGTGAGGGCCAAGGCACCCTTCCGGTAACGGTACTGAGAGGCAAACCCGAGGACTTTGGCAGGCCAAGCGAGGAGTGGGCCCAGGCACCGACGCCTGCGCACACATCTAGCTACGGGTACTGGCAAGGATTTTGCGAAGCCGAGTGAAGAGAAGCTGAGGTGTCTGACAAATGCTGGGGACAGGGCCCACCTGTGCGATTGGCGGGCCTTGCAGACTGAGAGTCTGGAGAGGTGAGCGACTGTCTCCTGCCCACTTCGTCAGATGGAGATGTTGGCAAAGATGATATCGGAGGCGTCTGTGCACGTCTGGTTGGAAAGACAGTGGTCGTTGGGTAACTGGAGAACATTTGCCTTTTTGAAAAAGAGAAGAAAGGTAAACGATAGCCATGCAGGGTTGGCCAGCAGGTTCCCCAATGTCATTAGGAAAAGATGCAGGAGGACTTGAATGAATGACAGCAAAAGCAATGCTCACACTCTGGGCATCTTGCTTCCTTCTCTGACAAACAAGTCACTTCCTATCCTTAAGAAAGTGCTTTAGAAGCAGTTTCACAGCTGCCAACACACACCGATCCTATTAAACCTGGCCCTTCCAATGCAACTATTTTAAATAATCAGTATGAGAGAGAAAGAATTTTGCAACTTTAACTAGAAAGGAAACAGTTTAGTAAGCTGCCTTGAGTTCCATGAAAGGGAAGTAAATAAACCAGTAAATATAGTAAGTAAATAAACAAGAGGGCTTTCATGTGGCCTCTTCGTCTATCCTAGCCTATTTATGGAAACTGTAAGCAGTTATTTTCAGAAAATGAATAGCCACTTTCACGAACATATAGCACTGAGAAGCAAAATGACTACACATTAGCTGGACCAGTTATGGGAAGCATCCCGTACCTAAGCAGGCTAAGAGGCAAGACGCCGGGGGACTCGGAGGCAGGCACAGTTTCTGTGTCGGTTACTGGAGTGGTGGCGGTCGTCGTATCTTCCAGGGAGCTGCTCATGAAGGAGGTGGTGCTGGAGGCAGAAGGGCTCGTCGTCACAGGCGTCTGGGCCTGCTGGGCTTGATCACTTTCTTCTCCCTGCTGATCCATTTCTGCAGAACAACGGAACTTTTACCCACTTCGTTCGACACAGAAATACATCTATGCACAGATAGCTGCAGGGAAACACTGCCCACCTGGCTTCCCCTTGCCCCCAGAGGCCACAGGAACTTCACTAATGGCTGAAAACAAACAGCCCAGCAAGACCAAGTCGGCAGGACTGCTGCACTGCATCACAACGCACAATTCTGTCCATGCGCCACACGTATGGCAAGCTTTGCCGATATTGGGCAGCCAAGATACTGAACGCATTCGCATGTATAGCTATGCGTTCCACATTTAAAACATACCTTGCTTAATTTTGCTACCACACTGGTCCTCCAACAGCCCATGAAGCACCAATTTGTAGATCATTGCTTGTGCCCGTTCCAAATCGGCCAGTCCCAGTGCCCTCTTGATGGGCGAGCGCATGACCGCCCGTTTCACCATGTGGCGCATCAAGAGCTGCAGGGCAGCACGCATTTCCACATCTTCGTGAACAACGGGGGAACTCGCACAATCAGAGTTATGGCCACTATCAGCCAGGACTTTGGGTATTAGTAACAACTCGGTGTATTTACTGCAGCTCAGGAGCGTGCTAAGTGATTTCATGGCGCCAAGGTAAAGATACGATAGCTGTACAGCTCTGATTTCTGATTGCACAATGTCGTGATTTTTGGAGGTATGCTCATGATTCTTTCTTTTGCCCTCAGCATTTGGATACTGGCATTCCATTCCGAAGGAAACAGAGTCTAAAGAAAAAGAAGTGGCTTCATGTTCTAATTTTAAACTCGCTGCCCCTTTGACCTCCTCAGCACTTGGCACCGATCGCAAGTCTGATGCAGAGTCGCCTTCTGGTTTCTGGTCCATGTCTCCCTTGTCTTCAGAGTCATGTCTGTGTTTCTTCTCGTGTCGCTTGGCACTTTGCTTTCCTGCGTCTTCATGGATGCCAGTTAGATAGGCTAAGTCCAGCAATACAGAGGCTGTCAGTCCGCGGAATCTTGCAACGTCAAAAGGCAGCGGTTCACAAGGTTCCAGATTATACAATGGCGTATCACTAGGCGACCAAAAAGTTGGGAAGCTTTAATAAAGATCAGAATGACACAGGAAGAAGCAAGTGAGGGATAGACAGGAGGAAAGCACAGGAAATAATGTAGGCAAAATAAGACGTAAAATATATTTGATCAAAATCTAAATGAACTGACAGTCTATAAAGTAAATGTGAACAAGGGGAAAGAAATGAGGTTATGATCAGAGAATGGGGTGAGGTGATACTCAACACAAAAGTAATAAAGCTTGTGCATGCATTTAAAATAAAACAGTTAATTCCAAATAAGTGACATAGTTAATTTTTAAGAAGGTAGGTTTTGCTAAACTAGAGATTTATTTGTTTAGAACTAGGAGGCACCCCCAGGCTCCATGTATCATTTAACTTGCATTAAAATTATTTCAACTTGTGTTACTTTTAGCTTGTATTAAAAAGCACTTGCTCAAGTGTAGAGATGTGAAGGCCTAGAAAGATCTCCAGGGAAAAAACTGAAAAAGCATCTCACACCCCGATATTTTCCAAAGTTTTTGAGGGGAGGTTCTGAAAAATTCTGAATTATGAAATATTTTATTTTCAAAACAAGAATTAACTGTTTAAGACAAAGTATTCATATCTTGCTACCTAACCTTTATTCCCCCAAATGCAGTAAGGTTGCAAACCTAAGCATGTTTACACTGAAAGACCCCATCAACTCCTATCCTTCCCCAGCCAGCCATGCTGGGAGATGTACATCTTTTTCTGTCTGAGCATAAAGAGGACTGTGCCCTCAACTACATAATAATAGGCCGTTTTGGTGGAGGGTGGGGGCAGGGTAAGACTACAGAAGCAAACTTTCCAGAAATTCTGAAGTGTCTGGGGAATTAAATACTCTGTGTCAGACCCAGCAAAATTTCTCAGCATTTTACAAGCCAAAGTAGTCAAAAGTTACATGCTACACTGATTTCAGTGTTAGGATAGCTACAGATACTAACAAATACCCCATTGTGCAGATTCGAACCGGCGACCTTTCGATCAACCAGCCCAGCAGCCCAGCGATTTAAACCACTGCGCCACCTGCAGCCCCTTTTAACAAATACTATTGCTGATTTAAATATCAGAGACTTTTTCTAAGCAATCGCTGTGGGTCCCTCCTCAGATGCCAAGACGGAATATGCTGTACCTGATTGTGATCTCGGCTTCATCCCACTGGACTTTGGCGGACGTGCTCCCTTCCTTGACCACGCCAAGTAAGGTGGCGTGGCGCCCCGTCTGCTTGTGAACGCAACGGCCTCCCACGCGGAGCCCCGCGTCAACGCCACCGATCACAGCCAACACGGGCCACACCTCCACGCAGAGCATCTTCAGCTGCAGCTCCGAAAGATCAGCCAGCCCGTGCCGGCTGCCGTGCTTGCCCTTCTCCTCTTCCTTGCTCTCCTTCTCCTCCCGCACGTCGTTCTCCTCTCTGCTTTGAACGGAGCGGCTCTTCTTCAGCTTCTGACCTGCTTCTTTAAGGCACGGCTTGATCTTGTGCAGCCGCTCCATCATCTTCTTGTTGATGCAGTGGGTCCACCGGTCCGCTCGGTGCAGGATGCGGATCAGCTGAATCGTGGCCTCGGAAAGCACCGCCGCAGCAGGACTGCAGATGGGGTCCCCCGGCAGCAAGTCCCTCGGCGTGCCACGCATCTGCATGTCACAGATTTTGACCTGGGCAGACACACACAATTTCTCTCCGCTGTGTTCTCAAGTTTTTGGTAAAAATGCTTTGTTGCAAGCAAGACATCTTCCAATTGAGTGATTAAAAAAAAAAAAATTGGCAACCCCGCAGGCCATCTGCACAACACTCTCCTGTGCAGCTTCGTGGCAGGCTACCAGCATTAAGAGGTAAATTTCATTTACTTATTTATATTCAAAGACTTCTGTCACCAATTTTTGACTTCCTAGCAACGCTCATGCATTACTCTAAAATATTCCAAAATACAGAAATATTTGCAAGCAAACATCTAACAAGTTCTATTTAAAATAAGGGTGTACTAAATTTAGGAACTGCGAGAGAAACCTGTGTTTGCACACAGAAGCCAGTCCTTCCTTCCCATCATGTGTGGGCAGAGCCTCCCTCACTCTTGTGCTATTTGTACCCATGTCAGGTCTGGAGTGAGCTCTCCGCTCAGGAAGGACAGGAAAATAACTGCAGAGTTGCCAGGACTGCACAGATATCCCCATTTCTCTGTCGCACCAGCCTCGGAGCATTCACAAGTTGGCTCCTTCACCCTACCCTGACCTTCTGCTCAAATTGCTTCATCTATTCCGCCAGTCAAATCGACAGGCCTTTACTAAGTAGAGCAATAACCTTTGCCATCACCATTAAGCATCCCGATTACCTTTTCTCCAGGATTACTGCTATAAAACATCACACAAGGGTATAATTCAGCCGCATCCACATCTTCAAAAGCCAGTTTTGGCTCCTGTTGAGAAAAAAATAGGGGGAGGCAGGTTTCCTAAATCGACTGTTTCCAGGCACTTGATTTTTAAGGGGCATTTCCTCATGTCTGAGCACCCCTGTCTGTTCATCAGGTCCTGCTTCAAGGGCCACCAGAGGGGAGGCTACCGCCAGTGGGGTGCTTGCTGCTGGCACCACAGCTGTAGAAACCTCACCACCGTAAGAAACTGGCCCATTCCCCTCCCGTCCTAGCTGAGGGGTGCAAAAACCTATTTCTTTCACTGTGCCTTTCTTTTTCTTTCATTTCACCAATCCAGAAGGTATCGTTCTATGTAAAATACTCTGCCACAATGACCTGCTATATCAGCTTTTTGAAATTGCTGATTTAATTTAGTATTATTTGAGATGAATTCTTTCACTGTCACTGAGAATTATTTTTTAAGCAGGATACAAATACTTCAATCTGACGGTCCATACCTCTCCGTTTTTACCGAAGGAAATGGTCCTGGCTTCCATATCCAGCACACACGTGATGAAGTCCCCTTGGGTGAAGCTGGTCAGCGTTAGCGTCTGCTCCCCGTTATGGTAGAGGTTGCCGCTGTAGGCTCTGTAAAGCCACATGTCCGAGGTGGTGCGATGGTTAAAATCATGGACTGGCCAGCGGGACACTCCCACGCACGTGCCTTCGTTGCCTCGATTTTCCTTCACAATATAGAACTACAGGAATTGAGAAGCTATCAGGACTGTGGGGAAACACCACCACCAAGCAATACTAAGTACTATCCAAGTAAAAAGAACAAAGAAAAAGCGCTGGGTAGTTTTGCAAACATTTAAAGTCTGGGCAGCGAACAACTGGGAGAGCGGCACAAACCAGGGTATCCCCTCGCAACTCCCCACTCTCTTGCGCCTGCAGTAGTAGCCCAGCCGAGATTGCTCAGCAGAGGACTAGCCTGGGGGAGCCAGCAACTCCCATTTGTTGATCTCAGCCAGACTCGCAAAGGGTCCAAAGGGGGAGGATGGTGGCCAATGTCAGCTCAAGGCGGAATGGCAGCACCGAGTGAGAGTTACTGCCCCCATACTTCATCCCGAGCTTATGTGTTGAAAGCCCCACAAACCACCAGGCTTTGTAAAATAACCCTCTTTGTCTACGTACCTTCCATTGGTAGCACCCAGAAGTGACTCCAGTGGAGGCCAGCCCGTACCCCTTTCCACCGCTGCCATGAGTTAAGATCTGGCCATTCTCCACGATGCAGCACTGCGCCTTCTCGGGGTCAAAGGATACCTCTTGAATAGGAAGATTCTCATCCTCTTCCTCAGATTCACCCTGTTTCTTTCAGAAATAAGAGAGAAGCACTTCACAATAAGATTGATGGGAAAGATCTAGGGGAGGGAAAAAAGACTCCACAAGTACAAGGAACGGTGGGGAACGAACAGACAGACAGACAAACACGCAATGATGATAATTAAAGCTGGTACCTGCAGCTTCATTTCCTGTTCCTTCTCTTTGACCTGGAGCACATGCTTGGCTTGTGCAACTGGACTCTCCCACATACAGTCAGACAGAAGGGAGAATAATCGTTCAATAACCTGTTGGGAAACGCAATTTCCAAACATTTAATTGCAACACGTAAAACTCTATTCTACTATCCCGCTTAGCAGGGGGTGTGTAGTATGTAACTGAAGGAAGCACCCCACTTAATATACATGCAGGTAGTGCTTCTGAGTAACACACACAGTGCAGAGCAAGGGGAGTTTGATGGAGCAGCTTCCAGAGTTAGGCCTGCTTTGCTGGCGAGCCAAACACAGAAGCAGTAACTCCTGAGGGCAAGGAAGCAGCAGAAGAGATCTCTGTGCAACACCTGACAAAAGCTGTTTGCATTTTGAAGCGAACATGCAAGGCTAGAGGGACCAGTGAACCAATTCTGTATAAAGCAGCTTCGGAAGTTTAAGCTACTGAGGCCTGGTTTGAAGCGGGGGGCGGGGTGAATGATAGAACTAAGAAAGCCATCAATTTAAAGATGTAATTGTCACAATCGTGAAGGGAAACAATTAACGTGATGAGACAGCAACAAGACCTGAGCCATCTGGTCATCTTCCACCCCCGATTCGCAAGCGGGCAGCACAGCTTCCAGCACATGTAGTGCGAGCAGCCGGGTCCTCAAGTTGCCAACCAAAGGGACACCTTAAAGCAGAATTCAAAAGGAAAGTGAGTACCAGCATAACTTCTTTTTAAAACAATCACAATTTTATTATTTACGCAATACATGCTAACATTATAGTAGCCGATACAGTTAAACCCTGACTCTCACTGGTTTAAATTTTCCCAGATTTGATCATTCACAAGTTTGCCATAAATAATTGACTGGGAGGGATTTGGAGCTTTGCAGTGTAAAATTGTCATCACAGGGGTCAGGGGATGAAAGAGGAGAGAGGGAGTCCTCCAAAGCAGACCTTCTTGCTCCGCACATCCAGAGAGGGAAATCCACTTGGCATTTTTGTGGTGCAAAGTGAAAGGGAGGTAGGGAATAAGAGCATGTGAATGTAATCAGCGAAGAAGAGGAAGTCCTGCTGGATCAGACCAAGGTCTGAGAGTGAGGCGGAGCAGCAATCCAGGACACGTATGGTCAACAGTATAAAGGTTACGGGAAGGGGCTAGGTATATTTATTGTTCTTCCACTTTTGTGGGGGTCCTGTGCCTCTGACCCCACGAATGTGGATGGCCGACTATACATAGTCACACTGAATTACTGAATTTTAATGTCAAGGATAACTACAAATCAAAAGCCGCCGTAAGAACTTAAACACAATCCATTTTATACTAAATCTGACATTAAATCATCCCCAGCAAAGGAAAGGGCTTGTTTCCTGAGCTTTATGAGCCAAATAGATAATAAAAAGACTCCAGTTTTCTATAAACTGATCCTCCGTTAATTTGAGTTAGTTGTCTAACTGTACCAGCTGCATCTCAGACTTTCTGACACCAGTCATTAATTGATGGCGGGTTCTTCTGGCTAAAATGGATTAATATCTGGGCTACTGCTAAAAGGGAAGTCACCATTTTGATAGCCTCAAACAACCATGCCCTCAGGATATCCAAAAAGAACTACACACGGTTCCTTAGGGAGTAGGACCATGTGGACACCACCAAAACCTTCTGCAAACATCTCAGTCTAGTCAGAATCTAGTAAGTACAGTTCTTAGAAGCTCATCTTACAATCCTCAAACGGTCAAGAAAAAACAAAATGCACTCAGAAACACAACACACGTTTGAATGGAAATCCCAGTTATTCGTTCTGCACAGCCACCTCCATCGCCACGTGCTGGACACACGCGCCACAGTGTCCCATACCTGAGCAGCACTTCTGAGAAGCAATGTTCAGCAGCACCTCTGTCCACTTTGGAGAGGCCATTTTTGACTGAATAGCTTTTGAAGAAACAACCCTTCGAAGAAAAACTAAGAAATCTCCTAGATGTAATTCCGCAGCATGCTGTTTCCGGAGGGCCACTGTGAATTAAAACGAGAATTAATACGGCCAACAGGAAATTGAGTCATATTATCTTTCAATGCCCTAATTTGCAGAAACACTGCGGAAGAGTAAGTGAAAGAGATAATCAGCTCTGTATAACTTCCTTCACTGACAGAGAAAGCATCTTGGGGAGGGGGGGGTTGCCATTCTGTTGCTAAATGATTACTCTGCTCCACTTTTATTGTCCTGTCAACTGACTGTCATGGCTTTTAATGGTCTTATGTAAGCTGTTCCAGGAGCCTTCCCAGGCAAAGCATTTTATAAAATAAAACAAACATATATGCACAATGTGAACCAGCAGCTTGTTGTTTCATTGTGTAATAAAATGCTAACAATATTCCTGCTCTCTAAGTAAAGGAGAAAAGGAGGAAAAGACTGGCAAATTTCTTCCATCAGAGACATCACTTTGACAGAGTGGGGAAATGGGCAGAATGATTTTAAAATGGGTGTGCTGTGAGCAAGTCCCCCTCCCACTCCAAGTGGACCACGTTGAGAAGCTTCTAACCACAGACTTTGTTTTGGTAAAGAGGGCCAGCCAGGCCTGCTTTGTGAGGGAGCAGGAAGGCTGCAGCGCTCGTTTGCAAAGGGCAATCTGCCTAGTTAATGAGCAGAGCGAGAGTAGCACTCATCTGGAAGACGATTCCAAACTGAATCCCTGTCCTTCCTTCCCAACCAAATGGCGCTCACTCCACCCTTAGGGAGGTCCCCGCCACTTGCGGGCCAGATGTTGGGAGTGTCAGGTGTTATTCAATCGGCTTCCTGCTAACCTGGTCTTGAACATCAGATGTATTAATTCCCCCTCTGGCGCTCTCTGTTCCACCCTGTGGGGTTCTCGCCAGCAGGCTTACCTCAGGCCTTGGTATTTTAGCCAAGGATTCTGACCTTTCCTTTTCTTCCGGGTCTAATTCAGAATATGAGGGAACCACCCTGGAATTCTGCATTCTGGGAGAAGCAGGTCCAGCCCCCACAGGCAGGGACAAAATACTGGGCAGGGCTCGCAGCCCCATGCACACAAGCCCTGTTCCCGGAATGCAGACCTTGCGCACGGTGGTTCCGCTTTTGGCCACTGCACATTCAGCATGAAGCCTGAGGAGGGTTCAGTAACTCCTGTGCAGCTGAAATTTGCCTTTAGTGGGATATTGTAGCAGTGGAACACAGTGCTAAGAACACCTCACTTTCACTGCAATTCCGTCAGCAATTCTCCCTCCTTTCAGAAAGCACATAATACGAACACATGGTACCTTTGAAGTCTTTCCTCTCACTGTCACCATTTGTCTCGGCCTTCTTTTCATCCTCCTGTTCCTCCTGCTCACCATCTTCTTTTTCCCCAAAGGAAGCCATGCGCATCACGCCAGCTTGCGATAACAAATTTTTCAGCTGACTACACAGCAGATCCAGCAAGGCCTGGACCACTTTTGGACTCAGTTTATCTGCATAGGTTCTGTGTAGAAATGAGAGGAACAGCTGGCAACAACACGAGGATGAGGGAAGCAAGTCTCTGAACCACGTAACGGATTATTCCGATAAATACATAAAAACATAGTGAGTCTCCCCAGACAACTTGTCTGTCCCCTGGCTCCAGCCAGCTCCAATATAAATGCAAGATACAGGGGCAACTTTCATGTAACTGGACCTAAAGTGCCCTTGTAATAGATGCACTGAAAGCATGGAATTGCTCCTCAAGCAGCAGCATCTCAGTTCTATTCATCAGGATCAGAATTACAGAAACACCAGTTTTATCCCAGAAAGATGGAAAAGACAAAGGATGGTGAAGACTTACCCAGTGGTGATCGCAAGGATCTGAAGTAATCGAGTACTGGCCACTTTTAAAGCGGTGCTGAGCAGGGAAATGCCACTTTTGGGTAACAGCTGCAGCGGCTGCCCAAGCATGGTGTCTGTTCCGCACAGCTGGGACAGGACATTTAACAACCCGGTGGAGATAGCCAAGGACACATCGACTGGCTGGTAGTGTACGCTCAGGGCAAACACGGTTACCAGCAAGAGACGCTGTTGTGCCTCTAATACACACACACGCATGGAAACACAGAAGAGAGGGGAAACACTTTTAAAAAATTCCCCTTGTGATGTTGCCCCAGACGAAAAGCAAGCACAAGCAACACACGGCTGGCTCTCTGTCAGCACCAGAAGAACCTGTCGTTTGAGCTGCTCCTCTTACCTATGTGATGCTTATTTGCTTGGAGGGCTCTTTCCAAAGTCGCAGATAACTGCTGATAAATTTTATGCACAGCCATTTGAATTTCTGTCTGAATGTTTCTCTTAGCAGCCCTGATGCCATCCTATAAAATAATTAACTGAAGTAAAACACAGCCACATGGATTTTTCGACTGCAAGGACTAGGGGGAGAGATATCCAGGGATTAAAAAAAAAAGAAACACATACAGGATTCCTTGCTGACTTGCATGGCAGGGTTTGTTAACAGAAGAACACGGAAGTCGAATCTTAAGGGCAGGACCCATAGTGGAACAAGGGTCCCTTCAGATGCAGTTTTAATTGTGCCACAGCCTGGGCTCATTCACTGGATTTTTGGGGAAGTGCAGATACCATCTCTCCCGCAGAACCCTCCCATTTTTCACTCACTTTTCCCCTTCTCCCCTGCCCCAGATGTGGAAAAGCAGTTAAGAAAAAAAAATCTAGATTATTATTATTATTTATTATTATTTATCGATTTATATCCTGCCTTTTTCCTACAAAGGGCTCAAGACAGCTTACATCATTCTCCTCCTCCATCTTATCCCCACAACAACAACCCTGTGAGGTAGGTTGGGCTGAGAGTCTGTGACTGGCCCAAAGCCACCCAGTTGGCTCCATGGCTGAGGGGGGACTCGAACGCAGATCACCTGAGTCCCAGTCCCACGCTCTTAACCACTACACCACACTGGCTCTCACTGCACCACACTGGCTCTCAATTCCGTAGCACCAGGACCTTTCCATTTGGAAGCATCCAAAGTTGCCTCACTTAGAAGAGGGAGAGGGAACTCATTAGTCCTACTAGGTTCCTCAGCACTTCTGACCTTGGTTGGTATTCTAAAAATATATTCGTGTTTCTTGTGCACTATAGCAGAAAAGGGTCATTAAGCACTTTTTCTGTTCAAATACCGTAATGCAGACAAGAGACTGATGTAACTATAGGCTGAAATACATCTCAGGGTGGTACTCAAGGTACTCACCATACGCATTTCAGATGTTTGACAAATTTTCTGCTAGTGTTTAAACAACAAGGTCACCACTGGCTGGCGCTGGCCAGAACCACACGCTCTTTGCCTGGCCATGCGGGCATTTGGCTTTGCAGCACATGAGCATCTACACACACAGCTTAACACTCACACAACACATTGCGCACACTGTCTTCTGGAGTGGTATTTTCCTACCACGTTCCCTTTCAGACACTGATCAAGCTTCTCTCCCTCTGTTTCCAACACTCAAAACCTGTCCCCATGCTTACACAGCCAAAACTACACCATCCATGCACAAGAGGGGGTCTCAGCGGACTTGGGGAAACCCCAAGGTTTACAGAAGCACAAAAACACTTTAGGAAAAACCCTTAAGAAAAGTGCGGGGCAGAGTGGAGGTGCTTAACTCCAAACACTATCAAATGAGAAATAAAAGTGCTAAAAGAAAGCATCGACAAATGCTGATCTGTTGTTGGGAAGATCATGAATAAATCAGCTCAGTGGGGAAGGGATGGATTCTGCTGGAAAGGAGCCTGGCCGGCTGACACGCTAAACCAAAGTATTTCATACTGCATACTTTTGTTGCAGTTCCCATTTATCACAAGTTTTAAAAGGAAAGTTCTGTTACAGCAGTCTGCATTAGACTGAGCTGAGGGCATTCCAGGGTTTGCCAGAGGCACAACAAAGCATCCATTGCCTTGACATGATCGTAAACTTTGGAGGGCAGGAACTGTAATGCTATTTGTTTGTATGCCACTCTAGAAATTCTTTTAGCTAAAAGTCTAAGTATAAACACCATGATGAATACTTACCTGATAATGATGCAAGCGGATGCTTTCTCCTTTGGAGCCTGCATGCCCTACAGTACTCAAGCCAAAGCATCCAGCTAGGAATTGCAGTCTCACCGAGGTGAGAAGGGAGGAGGACTGAAACCCCAGCCCTTGGCGACTTCCTGCAGATGGAGTGCTGCCTTTTTCTTCCATCCCAGAAAGCAGGACCAGGATCTGATGAAGCGCCTCCAAGCGCAGCTGAAAGCAAATTTTAGAAATGCTTTGCATTATCTCCTTCCAAAAGTAAACAGAGCTGTATCACAGAATGGGTAAGTATACTAGGAGCAGAAGTCAGGGGAAAACATCATGGAGAACAGAAGGAGAGGCTGGCATACTGCACAGACCGCACAGGGTCAAAATGGCTTCCATAACCGCCTGCCTTCCTGGCTGAGTGCATGCACATCCCTGCATGGAATACCTGTGCGGCAGGCAACAGCCACCTGGCTGGCTGTGCCATTCCCCACGTTGCTTCAACAATGCCCAAGCCAGCCAGCCAGCCAGCCACATGCTGTGCCTGGGAGACCATGCCTATTCCCTGTGGAGCTATGCAAACAATGGCAGAGGCTGTGCCTGCCATGTGCCAGAACAGCCTTTTGGGTGCCCGAAAATCCCCACCTCCTCACAAGCCACACGGGGTATGGAGTGCTGACCGAAAACCGAGTGGCAAGATGCGTTCCGCCATTCATGAAAGCGATTCCAAGACATACCTCTGCTCTCTGCTGCTGCTGCTCCATGGCAACGATGTAGGCCTGGGGACTTGTTGACATACTTTCTTCGGGCTCCTTAAAGCCCGGGGAGCTCCCCACATCCCCACTCACAAAACTAATAATGTTCTCAATCAGTGTGTGAATGCCAACAGTTTTTGTGAAATCAAATTCAGACTCTCCAAACAAGCAAGAAGAGCTATACAGCCAATCTCTGTGTTTCAGCCGAGTCCATGAATCACTGAGCGCATCAATTGGGCTGTGAGCTGCTCCTGGAAGCACACAAAAAGCCCACGTAAATTCCAACGGAGTAACTTAAAAGGCGGCAACAGAAGTGATGTACAGCTAGCAATTCAAAACAGATGGAAATGTGGTATCATGCACACGGTTAGCACAGTACATTACATCAAAGGAAAAGAACTTCAGCTGTGTTTATTGCCGTAAATCCTTAAGCAACACATTGCCACAGAAGGAAATTAAAGGCAAAAGCCACTCAAACTGCTCAGCTTTAAGCTAGAACACTGAAAAAGATGGTATGCAAATAAAAGAGAGTGGTTAAGGGGGAAGAACACAAAATAAATGATGCACTTATTTTTTTTTACATCAAACTGTAAAGCAAGATTTGCATTTAACTTGCATAATTCTACCATTATGGTCAAAGCAGGGGGGATGGTTTACAGCTTGCTCTGAATGACATATTTTTGTAGATATAGGTATGGGTAAAGGGCAAGTAAACCAATACGAATTGTTTCGCTTCTACCTTGCTTTAGAAGTACTGTCTATTTGGCGTCATACAGTGAATCCACCTCACTGAACTGACTGCTTATACATATTAAATCAAGCTGTAGTTTTTCCTTCAATCCTAGCTGGGCCAGAATATGATTTCCAGGCCTTTCCTATGTGGGATTCCTTGTCCAGCTCTCATATGGGGACTGTGGAACAGTTTCTGATCACATCCTAGGTGCTGTGCACGCAGGCCACCTTATCCAGGGAGAGGGGATACTGGGACAGCTTGTGTCCCTTCCTTCACCTGCACAATGACCAGGCTGTACATGCTGAGCTGCCACACACAGTAGGACTCAGGGCCTTTGCTACCAAACGCTAGCTTCAGCCCCGTCGCCGTCGCCGTCATCAAACAGTGATAAAGTGAAAGGTCCCAAACAATAATATTACGTAATCTTACTGATTCATATTCCCCATATTGCAAACAATCAACAGTCACACATCAGTTCAGCTGAACTGCGCATCGGCAACAGTAGGCACAGGGTGAGGGTGAGGGTTATATCTGGGAATATCCATGGCTTTTACGAAGACCCTTCCACAGCCCTTTCCCTGAGAAGCTGCATGTCCTACACGCACCTCAGCACTTCTGATACAATAGCCAATGTGCTCTCTCAGATCCATGGCAGCAGCCTTTCCACAGGAAACACAACCCCCACCCTGCCATTTATATCCATTTTTTCTTTCTCAGAATGCCCCCTCAGTCTTGAAAAAATACACAAAACACTCAGTGTTTCACAAAGACAAGACAACACTAAGACAGTGAACACCAACCTTCTCTGCCCTGCAAGTATGAAAGTTGGGAGGATCACATGTTCCTGATCAATTCTAGCAATATTTTTGCTCATATTATTATCCAAGCTATGTAACTGCTTCTGTTTTAAAGCCCATATTCTACTGTCTAAATTTGATTTCGACCTAAGTGAAAAAAATCACTTAATGTACATTTTAAATTATGGGTCTGAGTTATTTAAAGTTTGAAACCCAACAATTTATATTGTAGACCTGAAGCTGTGTGGACAGCACTCTTCAGTTCTCCACATTTCTTATCAGGGTGAGAACCCCACACACATCTGACTACACAAAATGCCAGCTGCATGGCAAGTGGAACTGGATTTGTTCTTGCAAATGTTTTCTCTCCAGAAAGTTATCATTTATTTTATTTAACGGAAACAAGTCATTCCTGGAAGGACGAGTGGGGATGACAAAACTACATGCCCTCCTGAGCTACGCTTGGATGCTTATGTTCACCTTGATCACCCAGGGAGGTGGATTGGCCAGAGGGCTGCACCAGCACCTGAGAAATTCCAATCAAATTCCCACTCATCCGTGGAGCTCACTGAGCCAGCTGCTAGCTGTTGTTCTAGCCTATCTCACAAGGCTTTTGTGGGGATAAAATAAGGGGGACAAGAGAACTACGTATGCACTCCAGAGAGAAGGGAGGACTTGTCAGAAATATAACCAGCTACGAATACAGGCATCTCGTCCTTAATGACAAGGCTCTGGAGAAACTTCAGAACAGATGCAGGGGAAAGGGGCTGTGATCTCCTATCCACATTCTCTGTCCCACAGAGACCACTGAGCAGCCTTGCTGGGAGGTACAGGCATGGCTCTGAAAGCTCGCCTTTTCTGGACTGAATCGCATGGGCACTGGGCCACTTCCATGCTTGAATATCGGAGAGCTTTCATACTGGGATTTTCAAGGTTTTAAATGTGTCTACTCCTGTTTTAAAGCTTCTCCATTGGGTTCTGGCAGTTTTTGGGTGCAAATTATTCCCCACAAACACTAGGGCGGCAAGTAGAGAGGCAAAAGATAAATATCTGATGAAGCTGATGAAAACTCCTGCCCCGCAAAAATCCCATGGGGCATGATTTTATGAGCTTGGGTTGCAGAACAGTGTGATGCAGTCACCTCTGAATTAAAGGTGGTCTAACTAACATGTCTTTGTGAAGCAATGTTCTCAAGGCATCCTGGAGAAGTTGCCTGGTGCTATGAACTAGCAGGCTAGTTTATCTTGCCCAGTATGACCCTGGAAGAAAATCTGACACATCGCTCTCTAGGGTCAGCATACGAGAGCTGGTTTGCAGCCCTGCCAGTGGAGAGGCAGGCAATGTGCCCGGCTTCTGATACATACCAGATGCACACTGCACTGAACCTCTGATCTGCAAATGCCCCGAACATAAACAGAGGTACGCTTAATGCGCTAACATTCCCATTTTCAGCTCAATGTTGGGAACAGTTCTGCCTGACAGCTTAGTCTACACTGAAGCATTAGACAGGAAAAATACCCCATGTTTACTTGTCCCTTATATGCCAGTTTCTGCTAATGGAATTTTCAAAATGAATGCGCAACGGTTGCTATACGTATTTCATGTTTTATAGAGTGGTAGGCAAGCTAGAGAGAGGAAATAAAATCAGAACATGCCATCATGTACTTGCTTGTAGTTCTTCTTTTTTCTGGGGCTCAACTGGCCAAAAAGGAGTAAACACACTACCACACAAGAATCAGAAGACAAGAGAGACATTTGGTACGGAAGACAACATTCAATCTGCATTCTGTCCATACATGGAAAACAGCTTTAAGGAAGTGGGGAGCTTTCCTGTTTGGAGAGCACCTATACAGGTGCAGCTTCCAAAGCCTCCTGCAGTTGGAAAATAATGGGCAATGGTGCCATTCTGTAACCCCTTATATGGATACTTAAGAGAAACTACACACTGAGAAATTAACCCATGAGCCGTTGTGAAAAGTACCGCCTGCTAGAGAAAGGGTCAGGCAACAGGCTGGGCTCAAGGCTTCCTCACAAGACAGAGCTGCCTGAAGGGGATGCATCTCCAACGGGTCAGGACCCAGACCCAATGTAATTTAGGGGCTGGGGGCAAAGCATGCCAAAGGTCACATCCAACAGGCCAGATTGCTGAGCAACCACCAATCCACCTAAAGCCTGATGGCAGTTCAGCCCCAAAGTCCCTTCTGAGGACAGCACAGCCGGGCCGAGGGAAGCTCTCAACAGCCCAGAGCTGAAGCCGCTTTCTGACCAGCCTCTCAGCAACCTCCTCCGCCCAGCTCAGCACTGCTGGCAGCAATTCTCCAAGGTCTCAGGCATGAGTGTTTTCTATCCCAGAGTGAGCGAGGAAACACCAGGAAACAAGTTGCTAGGAAACAACTTGCAGCCTGTTTAGGGTAAACAGCAGCCGCCCCCCGGAAAGCGGGCGCAGATCACAGGGCCGAGATGTTACCATATCAAAGGCAGCCCAGCTCTGAAAAGCGGTGCTGGGGTGCAGGAGCGGCAGGTGCTGCCGCACGCATGGCTCGTGGTGGGCTCCTGTAGGACCTTGCACCGGCTGACGTGTCCTGCTGCACGGCGGAGCCTGAGAGAACACAGCACAGCTCAAGAGCAAAGGCGCCACCATAGTTTTCCAGACTCAGAGCTCCAAAGCTGGAAGCAGTTTAAGGCAGCAGGTGCTCAGCCTGATTTCTGGAAAACCGTGGGTTCTCTAGGAGTTTCAAAGGGCTCTGCTCCCGGTGGGAATTGGTGCCGGCAGGCAAGCAGCACAAAAGGCAGCTCACCTGCCATGATCAATATTCCCTGGCAAGGAACAGCTGCAGGGGCAGCTTCAGGATATTCAGGAATATGCTCGGATCCCTTCTAGAGGGAGCACAGGGGAAGCCGACAGTCTTGGTCCACCTCCTAGCAAGTTGCCGATGTGCTTCAGAGAACTCTTTCCAGAATTCCTTGCAGCAAGGAGGGGCCCTGTGACCTGTGGAAAGGGTTCTTCAAACCTCGAGGGTTTCAAGGTCACTGCTTCAGAGAAACTGAGTTCTATTAAACGGCAACAATAAATGTTCACAAAAATTATTACCCCTCTTTTTATGGGATGATGCCAAGTCCAAATCCACATTTCGTCTTCCATTCTACAATGAACAATAACAAGAGGGTTAGTGTGATCTCTGGTTTATTACAGTTATACAATGCACACCCATGAACTCAAACGGCTTCTTTAGATTTTTAATAGAGGTCTACATTTAGAAAGACCCGGCATAAAAAGAAAAAAAGGATAGAAAGGGAAGAAAAAATCAGCAGAGGGAGAGATGCGTGGCCATTGCCAGAGACAGTTTCAGGAGGAAAGGAGGCTTACAGCCACTTGTTCTCCCAACAAAAAGACCTACAGCTTCCGGCATGCCCAATGCCCCAAGCTTCTTAGGAGCTATTGGTGGGTTTTCTGTTTTTGTTTGCTTGTTTCTTTTGTTTTTTTGCTGTTAAAACTTTTTTGCGCATACTGGTCCTTTCTGAGAATTGTATTTACAAAGCTTCCCTGTAACGTTCAGGATTTTTCTGCATTTTTATCATTGATGTGCTGACTTATTCTGAACTGCACACACATTTTTAATTTTTAAGGGTAAGCAGTGCAGTCCTCCCTACCAAATCATTTTGTCTATTGGGCAGTATAGAATTGGAACAAATGAACAAACAAATGACTCAATCAATCAATCAATCAATCCATCACTAGCAACTATTCAAACTCGAAGGGCATTTTTAAACTCCTTTTGATGTAACAGAATGAACAAAGGAGAGAAGAAATTCCTCAATGCAAATGACAAAATGTGATCACATGCAATCTCCCCATGCACGTTTCTGAGTTGCAAGTTTGCCCAAGTTTATCCACCAAGTCCAGAGGTAGCTTGAACCCAAGAACCCATCCAATACCAACTACAGACTCCCAGTACTGAAAGCACATTTGCAAGACTTCAAATTATTTTGCCTACCAGTGAGTAACCTTCTTCATCCGATTCGGGTTGAGACAGGTCAGATTCACTCCTTGATTTTATCAATTTGTAGCTCGATGGGGAATGGACCGAGCGACTGTCTGCAGTCAGACTTTCACTTCTGCTTCACACAGACACAGAGAAACAAAACAAATCGTGCGGAGTGAGGAAACAGCTGCCGTGACAATTTCAGGTGCCCCAGATGGTCAGAGTCGTGCTAAATGTGGCTCCAAAGGTGCCCGCACAGGGAACTCTGATGCGCCCACCATGTTCTCCCCAGCACAAACTTCTCCTTCACCACAACGTCTGGGGAGCACAGCTCCTATGACCCCAGGGCTCTTGCCATGACATTTGTGATATATCTACATTTGGGGTTTTTTCCCTAGAAAATTGTAACCGAAGTGTCTAAAGGCCTGGTTATAGGTCCACCAGAAAGGACAAGTCAGTGCATGAAGTAAGACAAGTGATTGCGCAAAGTTTCCCAAGCAATGACAAACACAAAGAGCACCACAGACGTGACTAGACTGGCACCTCGGTGTGATAGCCAACAGCGGCACAAGCGGCACCAGATCGGTCTTAAACGCCCCTCGGAACACAAAAGGGCAAGATGCTTTGCAGCTCTGCCCCAGGAGTGCATTTCACCAGCCAGAGCCCTCCACAATCCCAGCCCTGACTTTTACACCTCTCACTCAACTGCGGTGGGGCATAAAGCAGAGACGCTGAGCCCAGTCTCAAGGATCTGGCCGGCCCACAAGGATTCACGCGGCACGTTTCAACAGCTGTTAGGCAGCCCAGTATCCGCACCTGGTCATGCACCCGATTCCTTCCGGGGTGCCGCTCGAAGGCTGCTGCAGCTGCCCTTCCTCCCTTCGCTTCTGCAGCTCTTCAACAACGGGACTGACTCCCAAGATCAGCAAGGCACACCTATGGATCACGGAGTTGCACGCGGCCGTGTACACATCCTGTCCCTCGGGAAGGTCTCTGCTGATCCGGCGTTCCTGCTGGGACTGTGGGGCCTGGTCGTCAAGTCGAGCCCCTGTCCCACCATTTATTCGCTCTCGATCCCGACTGCGAGCTACTTCACGGGCTGATAGAAAACATTGAAATATTTCTGTAACATGCAACACAAAAACAAAAGACTTAACTTCTAGGCAGAGCTAAGCAGCTGTAAAATTATTCATCTGAATGTATGCGCCCACAGATAAAACTCCGGCTGAAAGCTCCATTCATCCGAATGGGACTCCCACCTAAGAAGCTTCTGCAGGACGGTGCTCAAACTTTACTTACTGCCAGCTGTCATAACTTCATGTTCTCTTTCGTCCTCCTCCTCTTCTTGCTCGGGATGGCCCTCCTCTCTCTCTCTCTCTGCCTGCTCTTCCATCTCTGCTTCTTCATCAATGGTCCGGGTAAATGAGTTTTCTTGGGCATCCATGTCTAAAGATTCTGGATTTTCTAACATCTGGGGTGGGGGTGGAAGGAGACATTTACAGGAAGAAACAACCTTTTCCTAAGTAATGAATTCTGATGTGAATGTAGCATATTCTTGAAAAAAACAGGAAATAATGTCCTTTTAGGAACTGCACTGGGCAACAGCTGCACGATACAACCTTTTGGGCATTGTGGTTAAATGTATAGCAAAATGACAGATTAGGAATGAACAAAGGTCACAGGATGAGTGTCACTGCAGGAATTTCTGAGACTACAATGCAGTCTGCCCTTGCGTGAGTGGCAGAGTCAAGAAAGGCAGATTCAGCGGGAGGGGAGCCATTTGGTGGGAGACTCAGGACATATGAAAGGAAGGAAATTGTTGCAAACTGTCTAGAGGGCTTTGGCTATGATGTGGTATGAAGTAAATAACAGATTGTTCTTCGCACAGCACATAGTCCATCTTTGAAATGGCAGGCGGGCCATAATTTTGTATAGCTTTAAAAGGGAAATGGACAAATTAATGGAGGAGAAGGCCATTCAGAACTACTAGTCCTGATGACTCTATGCAGGGTGCCTCTTGTGTTCATGTGTGTGGATGCATACAACCATTTGCACATGCAACAACTGCAGTTCTCACACAATAGCCTGAGAAGTACCTTATGGAAGTGGGAACTTTAAGCTGCCAATAAATTAAGAGCAGCTGAAATAGCCACTGTATTCTAACACCGTATAATTTGATAGCAGCATTAAATCAGAAAGAGGCTGTCTGATCCAGTTCTCCACAGCTTCCACAGCTTTCTCCAGCAGCTGAAGATGAGCTGCTAAGACAAAGTGACCTGGTTTGCATGTAATGCCTAACCATGGGCTGTTTAAACCATGGGTAGTCTAGATGTGAAACAACATGAATCAATATAAAAAGCTCACAGCTCAGAAAGAAGAGACTCAGCCTAATATTTCTGATCAACACCTCATTTAAACATGATTTGAAACTAGCAAAACAAAGGCAAATCCTAATATGAGGTTCCTTCTCACACAAACAATCCACCTCAGCAGTCTTGCATGTTAAAACACAGCTCTTTCACTACATAAGGAAGCGGAGCTAAGGTGGTGATTTTCAGCCTCACCCATCTGTCTCTTGAGGACGACCTGGTCTGAATAAGTTCCATGTTCTTGCAAGCAAGCAAACGGCTCCGAACTTTATATACACACCGATACACTTCCACTAATGCTTTGCCAGGCTGGTACCTAGAAGACAGAAAAGTTCCACAGGATCTGAGGGCAGGCAATCAGCAGAAACGCAAGATAAATGCCTTGAGATGCTTCCTGGGCACTTGCCTGCTCTCACCACTTGCTTGACTGAGTAAATTTGTGTGTTTCAGGAGGGCAGCAAGAACAAATCTAGAAACAGTATCCAAAAGCGACTCACTACTTAAGGTTGCACTGTCCCAATCTGAAAGGGAAGCAAGAGACAGGAAGGACAGAATTATCAGAAGTAAAACAAAACAGCATCAAAAGTCAACAACTAAGAGTTGGCTTTACTATTGTCAACTGTATGTCAGTATGGCAAGATACACAGGACACATCCTTTCTTGCAAATCATTGCTATTTTCTTTTGCTTAAAAAATTGCTCAGTTCATGACTTTTAACTAGCCCTAACTAATCGACAGCTAATTTACCAAACAATCAAGATAGCTAGAATAGATTAAGAAATAAACTTGCTGACTGTTCATTTAAAAAAAGAAGATGCTAATAGCATTAGGTAATAAGTTGAAATAAAATGCAAGTATGTTGCATTAGAGAAACTTGATTATTTATGTGTTTCAATTTTAGCCTTGTATGTTCTATTTCTGGTTTTATTTGTTTTTTATTAAATTTGTATGAAAGCTGTCTATAAGCATAATGCTCTCTACGGTTAACAGAAATGTATAAAAGGTGGAGAGAAGTATCAGGGGATTTTATACATACACTTTTGTTTGTCAGCTCTGAAGAATTAGTCATTTTCTTATACCTATGTTTACTGTGCCCATTCACTTTTGTAATATTCTGGGCATTTCTTTTCCATTATACTGAGATGACTTAGGGCTACGAACTTAAAACTGAATTGAAATAAGCAAAATTAAAGTTAAGCACAAGCAACTCCTACGCCTGTTGCCCGCTCTGCCGGCCGCTCTTCCTGCCGAGAGCCTACCTTTGCTGACGGCATAGTCCTGCAGGCTGATCCAGAGGCTGCGCGCAGGCTCCTTTGCACACCCCAAGGCCAAATCTACAAAGACTGAGATTTCCGGGCGCAACCTGTAATCAAACGGCTTCTGTTCTTCATTTCCAGAGAGTGCCACTTCCAACAGAGAGCTCATGGACTTATCTAAAATAATGTGGAAAGTCAGGTGTTTGTGCCATCGCTTATTTATATGGGTGAGAGCAAAAACAAAACAGTATGATGCACGGGGCTTCTGTTCAAGGTTCCAGCCAGGCATTTCCTTTCCAAAATATGCCATTCCTCTCTCCCCACTGCAAGACACTCAAGTGTCCTGTGGCCACTTAACAGTCCTCAGTGTGCACTTTTGAGGTCCCCATCTTTAGGGTTCACACACACACACACACTTTACTGTACTATTGCAAACCTTAGGTCTCCCCTGAGCTTGCCAGTACTTCCTTTTTGAGTGTGAATGGTGTAATCTTGGCTATTTAATTTAGGTATGAAGATGTGTTTGCTGTGCAGCATATGTAAGGGGAAAAGTCCTCATACATCATCTTTCTCTAGTACTAAACCAGTATAAATACCATTTTAAAACCATAAAGTTTCAATTCCACAAGGAATACAATAAAAACATCTGTGCTGCCCCTAACAATGAAATAACATACGCTTCTAAAAACAGTGGAAACCTGGAGCCCAGTAAAAGAAAGCGGTTTCATGAAATCTTCCAAAGCAGGTAAAATACTTATGCTTCCAAAGAGGCAGCATTCACGAGCAAACTGCTGTAAAATCGTAATTCATTCAACTATTTCGTGTATGTTTTAGTAAATTTGCTCCGAATTACGTTGGGCCTTTTAGAAGAGCAAGGTCGAATCTTATGCATGTTTGGACAGAAAAGGGCCTGCAACCCCTAGCATCCCCCATCATCATAGCTGGCTGTGTCATGCTGGGGATTTTAGACCTGTATCAAAACAGCTGTATATCCCACCCCAGGTATTACACTGCATTTTCATACACTGGCCTGGAGACCACCACACCACGGGAGGAAGCAAAGGAGGGGCACAGTGTGAGAGTTCCTTCCTGCAGAAGAAGGGAGGCTCTTCAGAAGGGTTTTTGGCCTTCCTACCAGCAAAAACGGCCAGGAATGTGCTATTTATTTATTTATCTTACACAGAAACCTATTTAACAAGAACTACACAGGACAGGGAAAATTCCTGGAGGAGACGTCACGGCTCTTCTTTATCATTCCCCACAAAGCAGTGCATTTGGCAGAAGCGATACATGCCTGGCTACCAAATATGAAGGAACCAGCCTCCATTATGGCCTCCCTGCAAATTTCTCGGGGGGCTTCTGGTTGCCACTGGGCTACAGGACACGAGCCCACCAGACCCAGCAGGACGGGAATTCTGTCCTCACAAACCAACACCCACAATGTACTTACAGCTGTGCCAATGTACCTGTACACTGACAGCACATTCAGGACCGTTACCTAATTGTGGAATATCCATTTCAACTCCATCACTGAACAGGGGTGTTTTCAACCAGAAAGCGGTGTCTTGCTCCTCGGGAGACACTGGAGACCCCTGAAGCATCCCTCCCAGGCAGCGTCCAATCAACAGAGCCACAGTTCTCTCAAGGTCGACCAGCCACACCCAGGACTGGGCAGGCTGGGGCAAGGGCACGCCAGCGGGATCCACCAGCTCGGTTCCACCTGGAAAGGTCAAGCCAACATTACTCTCTGTGCCGAGGCTGTTTTGGAGTGCACAAGTCTGGCCGGGTCCGGTGATGGGTTCCCAAGCACGGAAGATTGGCACAGACTTCCCCACCTGCTTCAGGGGACGGATCCACCCCGCAAGTACGTTCACACACACCCCGTTTCTTCCACTGAGATGAGTGAGGATCCTATGAACAGAACAAATCTGAGGAGGCATGACCTGCTCGGCAGTGCCCATTTCAGGGGTACTAGTTCAGCAAAAGAAAGTTTCTGGGGAATAAAGCTTACTGCAGCTCCCTTAGAGTTTCTCAAAGAGGCAAAAATAGCTCCCAGAGTGTTTTAAAGCACAGCATATTAGGGATGCTTCCTGGCAAAGCATTGCAGGCACAATTGCCAAGCTCCATTCACTCATATGTCAGATGACACCATCCTCCTCCCATGCACCCTGAATGTCTTTCCAACGCTGTCCCAGCCTTTCACTTAATCAAAATATTATCCATTAGGGAGGGAAAGAGGAGGGGAGCAGTGGGCTCACGCTCTGCAATGCCTCCGTTTTGCCAAGGGTTGCTGGCACGGCCTTACCATGAAGAGGCCACTGCAGCTCCTGGTCTTCTAGAAGTACAGCAGCTGGCAGCAACCGATTGAGGCAGTCCAGAGGGGGCAGCAGATCCAGCAGGAAGCTCAGCAAAGGCTGCGCGACTGACACGGGCAGCAACAGCAGGGAATTCACAATCTGGCAAAGCATGCTTCCTGCGGCAGACACGTAAATTACATCTGCAAAGGGAAGAAGAACAAAATCTAATTTCTGGATTTTGCTAGAATGGTGTGGCACCTTATCAACCAGTGATGGCGAACCTTTTAGAGACCAAGTGCCCAAACTGCAACCCAAAACCCACTTATTTATCGCAAAGTGACAACACTACAATAAAACCTGAAAACTGAGGTTTTAATTTAGAAAGAACGCCTCACAGCCAGTCCAAGCAAATATATCTATCTATCCTTGGCAGTGCACTGACTGACCGTGCGAAAGCTTGGACAAGTCGCGGCTAATGAAAACTTTTGCTTGGATCCTGCTGCTTTATTATTTATTACATCATCATCATCAGTTTCCCTCTGGCTTCTTTTCTCAATTCATTGCAGCTCATGCCTATTGATTTTTACTGTGATTTTATCTACTGCTTTTGTTGCACAGGCAGTCCCTGGGTTGCAAATGGGGAATTGTTTGTAAATGGAATTGTATACAAGTCAGAACATGCATGGCTGGCCCCTCACATTCCATTCTGTGGTAATGGAAAAACCACCCCTCTCAATGGCCTCACCCCCGGTCTAAACTCACCCATGCATCCCTCTTTGAAGGAAAGAAGAGCTAGAGAGATTTCCCTCAGGATGGGCAGGACAGGAAGGCATGCTTTGGAGACCTCCCTCTCTCTCTATGGTGATGAGGGTTTCCCACAGAATGCTTTTAACTTTAATTTTTTAATTAATAGGCTTTATGGCAGTTTGTTTGTAAGTACGGATTGTTTGTAACTCAGACATTCATAACCCGGGGACTGCCTGGTGTTGGCCAACTTAAGCACTTCATTTAGCAGTGAAAAAATGGAAGGAAGTCTTGAAAATAAATAGATATTCCAATTTGTTTCTATTTCTTTTAAGTTTTGTCCAGTGCCACAATTTTTGATGGTGGAAACACATCCAAATAAATGGATTCAAACTTCTAAGGAAAGGGGGAAATTAGAAGAAAAACTGAAAAGCAGAGACACTCTTTAGCTTGCCCAGTTCTTCAGCTACGGTTCCTCCTTTTAGACACAATCTGATAAGCAGCACAAACCTCGCAGCTTTTCCCCAACGCTACCATTCCAAGGACTCTCCTTCAGCAGCGCAGCAGAGCGGGAATAGATATCCGTAGCATGAGGCAGCAGAAGCTGGAGATGCTTGTGCAGGAGCGCTACACTACTTGAGTTCTGCAAAGAAGCGATATCCAAAGATGCATCACAAGTAAGACCTTAAACGAACGGTTGCAGGGCAAAGTACCCCGTCCACTGTTTCGGTCAGCCAGCCATGCCCTTCTCCAGGGTACTCCATTCCGCCCCACTCCTACCCCCTCGCCCAACTTCTTCTGTCCACCCACCAGCCAGCAGACAAGGCTCACGGAGCACAAGGGAAAGATCTGCCCCCTCAGGGCTGCCTGCACACTCTGGCAAGCCACAGACGCACTGACACCTTCCCCCCTGAATGGATGGTGCCGTTTTGCCCGTGCAGGCAACGGCACCCACCTCTGCACTTGGGAAAGAGAGGGAATTAGCACTGTCGTCCACAGGAGAGGGCATCTCAAAAAGGTGCCTAACAGAGGGAGGGTCCTCCGTGGTCCCACTTCCTGCAGATAAAGCGGGCATATCGAGGTGCACGGAAAGCCGCAGCACTCACCTCGCCCACGCTGCTGCTGTGACAGTATGCCAGAAGCTGTTTCTGCAGGGAGCACAGCAGCTCGTGCAGGTGAGCAGGCTGGCTGTTTTCCGAGGATGACGTTCCAAGTAAAAACTTGTCACTATTCTTTTCCAGCTCTCCAAAGGCCTGATCCTGGAGGGGCAAAAGATTCAAGGCATGAGTTTTCCTCAACATCTCCCTCACTTCTTTTATCTGAGTGCTAATCCAGCCTGGGCCTCCCTGCCCAGAAACATATCAGTTATATTTTTACAGCTATTAGTAGCTTGTGAGTAAATTCCAGTGTTAGTTGGCAGTTTTTCAATTTTTATTCGAACAAGCTGAGGGAGGTGGGTCAGAAATCTGTCCTGCTAATACACATTTTCTAAAAGAGGACCAGACTAGGAAACTTCTGTAAGTAAAAAGGCATTACTGCTCCCTTGCTGGAAACAAGATCCCAGCCAATCCATAATTATGTTGTGAGTGAGGTGATATCACAACATTCCCTAGTCCAATATAGCTGTATATAGCAATGTCACAAAGCCAATTCAGAATGAGGGCAATCATTTCAAGCCTTCGCTCTTGGCTGAGTTAGCGGGTGATCACAGTTACTCTATTCACAATCCCCATTTGATCAGTTGGTAAAAGAAGGACATTTCTAAGAGAGAAAAATTTACAGGCCCCCCGCCTAATCCAGCTCAGCTCAAGTTTGCAGTATTAACTTATTCTATGCTGATAGGTATTTGGTAATACAGTCAAGCTGCAAACTTACAGTATAAAACCCCAAATTACGCAGAAGTGTCTTCATTAGAATTTCAGCCAGATGAGTGTCTGGATGGTTACTCTGGGCACCGTATGCTGGATCGGAAATATTTCCATAGGCAATACAGAGAGAGGAAATATCCGTGGTGTCAGATGGTGAGCTGTACCCGAGCAAGGAGGCTACATGAGTATGGTCCTGCAGACTCGTCAGGATAATATCCAGCTGCATTCTCTAAAGGGAGAAAGGAAAGGCCGTCTTCTTCACTCCAGATTCTTCAGGCAAGAATCCCAGGGTAATAAATCAAAATGGAAAACGGTTTAATGTGGGCAAGGTGACTCATTCACGACTGAGGGCCAGAATGAAACACAATCAAGCTGCAGGATACTTATTCATGTACCCGTAGCCACTGAATGCAATTAACATAATTTGCATATTACTTTCAAAAGCATGAGCATTGGCATCTTTACTTGAGTGAGGTATCAACACTGGTGATTGCACCTTTACTTCCACGGCATTCTTAGTATACAGTAATTTAATAACAACACTATTAAACTAATTCAGCCATTCAATAACTTTGCTATGGATTCAGAAAATATAACATGACACCACCACATGACAATGCAGTCCACCACAGCCCATCCACAGCACCGAAATGCATTCTGCAGACACGCGTGCCTAGAAAGAGGTCTACCCCTGCAGTGCTTGTGCGCAACAGATAACGATTTAAAGCAACAGTCTCTTAAAATAAAATGCTTTCAAATTGAGGAAAAATATTGCTGGGCCTTCCAAAAGTAACCTTAAATTACCCTCTGTCATGGCACAACACTGAAACTGTTCCGCATGCACCTATGGATGCAAATGTGGATCCCAGGAGATGGTTTACCTGCCCTTTTGATAAGCTCTCCCATCTGTCTGGACCTTGGGGGAGAAGCGAGTGCAGCAACTCCATTCTCTCTCTCAAAGGCGGCAGCAGCATGGTTGCACCAACTGACAGAGTCTCAATCACAACCTAAAATTGGAACAAGAGCTTATTGTAAACATTTCAGTTTAACCTTGGAAGCGGTTTTTATATATTTCACTTAACGTATTTTGAATTTATTGCTCTCTAATGCATCCCCCCACCCTCCCAACAACACTGAGCACACCCATAGCATGGGTTTCAAGGTGCTATTTGAAAGTGCCCTCCGCAATCCCCCACAGCTTCAGCGTTCTAGGTCCACCCAGTTCCCAGCGGCTCGGGAACAGCTAGATTAACGGAGCGGCTGTGGGTACATGAACTGCCATGCGACGCTGAACACACATTCACTTCCTCCCTGCTCCCATCTCCACAAGGGCCAGCACATATAAGTCACACATATAAGGAATTTGGAGCGAGGAGTTTATTTTGGGATTGGGTTTATAACATGTTTCACAATTTAGCAAGCTCTGGGATTCCTCAAGTATTCAGATCCCACCATCTTGTTTGCGGATGGGATCAGCTGGCGAGCCCATTGGCACGATGAGGCGAAGTTCAGCGTGAGACAGAACGCTCATCAAACCAGCCAGAGGACCTGCAGTGGACTTCTAATGAGAGCTTCTCAGGGCCACGTTTTCATACTGCCTTCCCAGTTCAAATGAGTGGGGCACATGCCAGGAAACTTCAGATACTCACTTCTTGTATTTCATCTGGGACAGAAGAGTCCATCAATCGAAACAATAAATTCCGAAGGGGACCAGCTTGCCTCCCAAGAATGCTTGTAGCTACTCCACCAGCCAACGCGAGAGCAAGGTGGTTAGAGAGTAACTTCAGGCACAACTTCAGGAAATTGCGATGCTCTCTGAAAAAGACAATGCTGCTATCAACCCAAGCACACTGGCTATGCTCAGTTCTTTCTCTCCTTCAGTTCTTTCTTCTCCTCCTGACCAATAGTTCTAACATAAAGTTGATTATACCAGAAAGAGGCTTGCGACCCAGAGTGACAACAAGCCAAACTAGAACGGAGGCCTCAGTGGCAGCTCTGAGACTGCAGAATGCCTTTCCGTGACTTAAGACCCCTTCTTTTCTGAAACTCAAGTACCTCCAGGAGACTTTTTGGTTCAGCACACTTTTGGTACAAGTTTTTGTCATTATGCTGTTTTCGGTCTGCTCTTTGGGATTTGGTCTTATCTGACTCTTTCAGAATCAGCACATGCTTGTCACAGATGACAGGAGTTGTAGTTTGACATATCTGGAGGGCATCAGGTTTTGGAAGGCTGGTTTATTGGGAGGGGTTTTTTTTTTAGTATTTATGATATTTCATGTTTTCTTAGGACAGAAAAGCAGGATAAAAATAATCTAAAAATGTAATTTAACTTTTTAAATGATCATTGTACTAGTTATATGTTGCGAGATACTTGAGGAAGTGTAAAACGAAGCAGCACAATTTAAAATGCTGAGTTCACTAGGATTTTCTCCCACATAAATGTGTATAGGAGCACAGCTTAAAAACCTTGACCTTAGAGTCACTACGTCTTCTGACAGCCAGTGCGGTGTACTGGTTAAGAGGGTGGATCTTGGACTCAAAGCAATCAGGGTTTTAGTCCTCATTCAGCTCAGACATGGAGCCAGCTGGGTGATTTGGGGCCAGTCACAAACTCTCAACCCCGCCTACCTCACCGGGTTGTTGCTCGGGGAGTAAGATTGAGAGCAGGAGGAGGGAAGTGACAGTGCAAGCAGTTTTGCATTCATTAAAAAAGAGAAAAGGTGGAAATAGAAATCTAAATAAATAACATGCAGGATGTTTCGGGATATGCAATCCTTTGCTTCAACCAACCAAAATTGAAGGCAGGAATACAGGGAGTTGCTCCCCACACACACACAAAAAAAATGCTAACATGTGGATTTTGTTACATGTGGATGACACATCAAAAACAGAAACCAGCTGAAGTTCTCCTGTTGGTAACATGAAGTCAGCAGAGAGTCCTGTCAGCTTTCCCCAGAAATCCATAAATCAAAGAGAAAGCCAGGGTGAGAGACGAGAAAGAGAGACTGACTTCTCACCATCGGAACGAAATCTGGCAAGAGAGCTGTAGCAGGACATAAGTCTGTGTCCAAGCAGTACAGCCCTGGTTTTGCAACCAGATGACTGGCAAGGAGTAGAGTTTACTCCACGTTCCTCGGCAAGAATTTCAGCTGACAGAGTTTACTCCGAGCTTCTCTGCTGAAACGGCGTTTTTTAAAAAATGGCTTCTGCGCTCTTTGATGACATTGCTGTGTTTCTGTGGTCTTAGAACTTTTTGTAAGAAGCTGGAAGATGCAATCCACCGCCAACCACCAGATGGAACCCTTCCAGGTATCCGCTACCCTGCTGAGCCTCTAAGCCCATCCCGCAGAATCATGCTGCCAAGGGCATGGCCAAGGCTTGAGGGGCTTTGGGGGTCTGCAGACCCTACTGCTAGTGCTCCCTCCCCAGCATGCACCTGTTTGCTCTCTTGGCCCTCTTCCTCCTTGGAAGAGCAGCTGCCCTGAAACCTTCCAAGGGGGCTGGGAGAAGAGCAGGGGTGATGTTCCAAGTGAGGATTTTCAGCTCCGAGGTTGCATCTCTGCCTATGACCTCAGAGGTGAAACTCCTCAGATACCTTGGTCTAAAGATCTCAGACTGCACTGACTTTTTTTTTAAGAAAAGCAAAATATACATTTAAAAATAAATACAAAGCATAAATTACTCTGCACCAGGAGATGTCCTTAGTGAGGTCTCTCCAACCACCTAAGCAGACCACGAAACAATCTCAGAGAACTGGGGACTACAGCTAGACCTTGTGTGCAGAACATCCCAGTTTAATCCCTGGGAACATCTCCAGTCCAAGCAACTGGGTCCCAAGGGCCAGGAAAACCCCACCTCGGTCTAAGGCCATGGAAAGCCTGCAGGTCAGAGCACACAGTGCTGGGATAGACGGACATATAATCTGCCCTGGTAGAACAACAGTGATGCTAGTCTCAGAAAGATGACATCTGGCTCTTGAAAGAGATTACGTGTCTTTAATCTTCAATTTCTTTATTACATACAAAGTGCCTCCTGTCACATGAACCACAACACAACCCTCGATGGAATTACTTCAGGTTTGCCCTGTTCTCTACAGTTATGGATTTTTTTCCCCCAATGCTAAAAGCACAAGCAGGCCAGTTCATTTCAAGGTAGCTAAATCGTTAGCATGAGCTCTAGTCCTCACAATGCAAGCCACGTCCCTGTGCGCTTGTGCCATAGCACACCATAATAGCCAAGGCAGAGAATTTAAAATCAACCAGATTCTACACATCCCTCAGCAATCAATACCTTGAGGAGGGGAAAGGAAGAGGAGGAATCTCACTATTAATTTTGTCGCAGTACTGCTCGAGAAATGAGCGGAGATGGGAAAAGGTGCTTTCTTCAAGATCCACACAGTAAGGTCTGTGCCAGGCAACTACTTGTCTGCAATCAAACAGAAGGAAGTCATCAAGAAAAAAATCCACAAAATCACCATAATGACTCATTAAGAACAGAACAGGGTCTTCCTGCCAAGTCAGATAAAAAAGGGGGTATCTGGTACATAACACAGTGCTCCAAAACCAACCACCCACATGTGATGCAAGTCAAGAGCCCTTTTAATTCTTCCTTTAACCCCCCCTTCCATGGGGTGAGTTGAGAGTCTTCCCTTGCTAAATAAATGGGGCATAAGGGCACTGCAAAGCACAGGGCCCTGCTGCTGTTCGTGCAGCAGGCAGGCAAAAGGGCTGATGCAAGCAACTCGAGGCGTGGTGTAGCGCTGGGAGATACTGGTAACTAAGGAGGTATAAAAGCACACACACTTTTTGAAAATCAAACAAGGTCCCTTGTGGGGAAGAAGAGCCGCCAGAGAAAAAGGGACAACACAGAAAAACATCCAGGGGAACTATTTTTAAGAGGTATTATGATCAAATGCCAGTTAGGTATGTGCAAGCACAACATTTAAAAAAAAAAATACAGTCACTTACCTGTCTCTGGGAAGGGCTGTCCAGGCAAGACTATGGGATGTTCCAGCTGAAATCTGCTGAATTGCAACTCCATCCAAGCCACTCACTTTCTTTGGTTTAGTAATGGGACCCGTGGCATTCCCCTGCCCACACTGTCCCATGGAATTGTTACCCCAAGCATAAACTTCATTATCTAAAAGAGAAACCAAAAATAACAATTTTTGCACCGTTGCCACCCTGTGTGCAAATCAGTGTCAGCATTACTGTAATTTATGTGCTGGCTCGTACCGTGGGAAAGCGCCAAGCAGTGGCTGTCCCCAATGGAAATGTCCACTATCCGAGTCGCAGCCAACTCTTCGGTTAGTTTTGGCCGGAGAGCGGTGGCTTCTGAGGAACCGCATCCCAGGCATGCCCCACAGCCCCAGGCATAGACCTAGATCAAAAGACACAGATCATCTCAGTGCTGAGAGTGCGAGAGCAGCTGCCGCCACCTGGCCCCCAGTGGATTCTCCACCAGAGAATGAGGCCCTTGAAAGAAAAGTCCACCACCCGTGCTATGAAGCTGAAGACACAGGGACTGAGCGAATACAAAACACTTCTTGCCAAGTTGCAAATATTCTACGGCAAGCAGGCAGGAAAAGTTTGGCAAACTGAATGAACTTTCTCTTTTCCCAGGCTGTTGGTGGGAAACTAATTAATTTGCCCTGGTTCAAACAGTTACTTCTGAGCTAATAACTTTTCTGTATTTTTTGTAAAGCTGCTTCTGGCTTACCTGCCCTGTTGACGTTAGAGCCAGTGATGACTGGCTTCCAGCACAAACTTTCCGTATGAACATTCCCTGTAGGGCTTCTATAACTTTGGGTTTATATACTCTGTTGGTGTCACCATGGCCAAGTTTGCCTGTTGGGATCACACACAAGGGAACAACATCAGAGGAAATTTTAAATACATCTTAAATACATCTCAGGATAGGAACTCTTAGAACGTTGTGTTTTACATATTAAAGAGACAATCCACAAATCTAAACAGCTCTCACAAGCATTCCCAGAGGCCGGTAAACTCAGAGGACACCAGCCACCTCAGCACCAGCGGGAGAGGAAGCCACCAGGCCAGCCCTAAGCAGGAAGCCACAATGCAGTAAACAAGGGAAGAATATTCTAGCGGAGTTGTTCACCCACCAACCTCCTTGTGCTTTGCTTCCCATCAAGTCACATAAAGACCATTCCAGCTCAGCCATATATGCACCATCAAATGGCACAGCAACAATGGTGCCTGAAGACTTGGCTGAGCACCAGGCCCACGTGCTCCTCCCCGCCCCTGGCTTGCATTACGCCAGAGTTATCTCTTGCATCCAGAGCTGAAAAATGCAGAACCCTCCCTTGCCCATGGTGGGAATCTCTGGCTTAATAAAACAGAATAACTGTTGTAAGCTGCCCAGAGTGCTTCAGCTACTGGGAGGCACAGAAATGCAATGAATAAAATAGTAAGTAAATACAGTACATAAATGAATGAGGCACAGTCTGATTCTGGTGACATCAAGGCAGAGACCCGACTTTGGCAAACCTGAGCATACTAAGGAACCTTGTCTTAAGGTAAGCCAGGACCTCCATGCCAAAGTCAGCAAGCACCAAAGCGGGGGGGGGGGGGGGAGCATGCAACTGAAGCAGGATCAGGCCTGGCCTGGAAAGATGCAGACCATCCATACGCATCTTCAGGCTTTTCCTGAGCTTTAAAGCAAGGCAGAAGGGCAGAACTAGATTCCCTTGTTCATTCCCAACAGACAAAACTCAGTACAGTCACAGTACAGCGCCATTACCATTATCTCCTCCTCCAAATGACCAAACGGTTCGCCCATCTTTGGATAAAGCTATGGTATGCGAGCTGCCACAGGAAACCTCTCCAACATTGCTAATATCTTTTACTAAAGTTGGAATGTTACGGCTGTTGCTATCACCGTGACCTAAGAAAAGTAAATACAGTTATGTTGAAGGTTTCCTTCGCATCTTTGTTCCTTGTACTTAATGCAAAACTATCCTAAAAATCGGATTTGTAGATCTGCTATAAATCAATACATTCCTCCCTTCTACTGCCATGGAACCTTTGGGTGGGCAGAGGAAGTACATTTCTCGAATACTGCAAGTCAGCAAAGGTTAAAGTATCATGCTTCAAATAGTCCAGCAAACATTTGAGTCAGTGCAAGTAAAACACACTATTTGCTGAATGGTTTTCTTAAACCGTGGCATAGTGTGCTGGGCAAACCCGCACAATGAATTGAGTTGAAATGACAGGAGAAGTAAGAGAAGGACAGATTAAGTATATCATTCGGATACATATTTCAAGCAATAATTTGAAAGAACACATACATGAAGTCTGAGATGGAGTTCCATTTAAACAGAACAAAGCTGATAACCAAGAATATTGGAATATAGGTGTTATCCAAGGAGGTTTTAACCCCAATGAAAACTGAACTAAGAATAAGAGTCCTAGAATAGATGGACTGCTTGGAGAATGAATGGATACTAAGGCAGATGACTTTCTATCACAATTATTGTAGTTAAAAGTAACCCACTAGCTGGTGAGCAGTTCAATATATTATTATATCAAAATGTGTTTTACTATTATGCAGTTTTGACAAATGGGTTGGTGAGAAGTTTACACTAAAGCTGAGTTGGTGCTATTTCAATCATTGCGTTTTCCTTTTAAGTTACACTTTCCTTCGATAAATTACTAACTGTATTTTTTTAAAGTGCCAGGACGGCGTTTCAGAACAGTGTTTAGGAAATAGCTTTCATTACCTAGTCTACCAAAATCTCCTTCTCCCCAAGTATACAGTTCACCATCTTCTGTCACAGCAGCGCTGTGACGGTATCCAGCTGATACGCACACCACCACCTGCAAGGCAGGCAAAGAGGAGATCAAGAGGAACAATGATCGTTCAACTGCTGTTGGAAAGGCAACTGCCAACAATGGATACACACGGAGACCTTCTTCGTTGCTCCCTTCCTCAGTGACCTCCACTGGCACCAAGGCACTCTTCACATGACAAGTACCACACACTCAGTGATGCTCACAGCACTATTTTCACTCAGTCCCACTACATGTTCAGTAACAAAGAAAGCAGCCGAGTCCCTCATAATTCTTTTTTTTTTTTTAATCCCACATCAATTTTTATTACCTGAGAATGACCTGAAATGACCTGAATGAAAGACTCGATTTTGCCATCTAATTCTTGTTTGGCTTAAACGCACACATTTGAAAAGGAAAAAAAAAACCCTACAAGTTACACTAGGTGAAGATGATATAGGAAATCAAATCAACTCTGAAATCAAATTCAGCAAAACCACCCTAAGCACAAAACCCTTATTTTGCGTAAAAGTCGCCAGACAGATTTCTGCATGATGCAGTCCGAGCAGCAGAACTCAACACGTGCCCTCACTCCTGTTCTTGGGGAACCAGAGCGCCACGGCAGAGCAAAACCTTCATAGCCACGGGTGGCACTGGCATTCCCAGCACCTGGGCCGTGCAACTGGCAAGTCTCATGTGCAAACATCTCATGCTACACTTCTCAGTTGCCCCCACAGCTACAAAGTCAGCAGTTTTACTTTGCATTTCTTGTCGTGCTCTGTAATTTGTGTAAATTACTTTGGAAGAGAGGGATGAAGAGCCATAAATAAATACTTTAAAAAATGAAATTAGTAAGACTGCAGCTTGGTTGAATGCAAAGGAAGCTCACTTCATGCCAAAAGGCTCTCCTGGACTTAGGCAGCCATTTCAACTATCCACCAAGGTAGAAGCTCTAGAAAGGTGGAAGTCGCTTTCTAACTCAGTCATGTCTTTCCATTAGAAAACAAAAAGTTTGTCTGATGGATGAAGAAGAGGGCATCCCAATGTCCTGAACCACCAGATGGAAAGCCAAAATACAGATTTTAAAAAAATAGGTCCATGAAGTCGCTTAGGCAAAAAGAGAGAGAGTCAGTACCTGTGTAGAACATACCTTTCCTTGCAAGGGGCCCTGGATAACTTTTGGGTATTTCTGTGTGGTGCTATTTCCATGACCCAGTTTCCCATAGTCTCCGTCACCCCAGCTGAAGACCTCTCCTTCCGTTGTAAACGCCAGCGTGTGGCCATCAGAGCCTTTTGAAGACGACACCTTCTTGATGGATCTGTGAGGCTCAAACGTCAGCTTTTTCAGAGTGGACTGATTGTTGGAATCGCCCAGCCCTAGCCTGCCATAGCTGTTTTTCCCACAAGCACGAACGGAGCCATCTGTAGATATTACGAAGGTACAGTACTGGCCAGCTTCAATCTATCGTTGGGAGAAGATTAAGGAAAATGAGACATTATTTAGAACTGACAATCAGTGCTTAAGGTAAGCACGAAAGACAGACCCTCACGCAGAGCAGGGTTCACAGGACTGCCAGGAGCATATTTTTAGTGGTTGAAGAAGATATTCAGAGGCATCCAAGACTGAGATCTTTCTCTTCTTTTCCCTGCACAGACTCCTCCCCGGCCCCGTAACACCCCCAAAACACTCACTGTCTGAGCATCAGAAAAGCTTGGGGCCAGCTTGGGCTGAAGGATTTTCTCCTGTGTCCCTTCCACAAGTTGGTGGCTGCTGTTGCTACCCCAAACATACGCTTCACACGTCTCAGAAACAAGAGGGGCATCCCCCGTCTGGATGCTGTCCGGACTTGCACATGTCCTGGAGTAGTCGGAGGCCATTCGACAAACCTAGCACAGTAAAGGGACAATTCAGCAACGGAAGAAGCAGCAGTCCACGGCAGTCTTGTTCTAGGTTTGTTATCAACTTAACCCCAGTTTGTAGTCAACATGCACAAATCCCAATCATAGAAGCAAAGTATCATGGTCCAGCAGGGTATCTTAAGGTGCTACTACAGGTATTGATGCCCAGCTTTCTGCTTCATACTTCCCGTTCATCAAATGGCATTTATCACTCCCCTTCACAGGATGTACATTACTATTATCATGCATTTTTAACCTGACTTTTCCCCCTCCTGTAGGGAACCCAGTGCAGTTTACATAGCTCCATTTTAACTAGGTAACAACCAGGCTGTGAGGCAGATCAGGCGGATTGTAATTGGCCCCAAATCCCCCAGAAGCTTCATGGCTGAGTGGATCTCCCAGGTCCCTGGTCTAACATGTTTACCACGTCACACTGTCATAATGTATGCCATTATTCTTTATTTCAGCCACTAACACATCACCTGAAGACAATTCTCCGACTGATCACCAAAACGAAACGGAAGAACTACAGAGAAGTGCTCTCTGGGGCTGCCCCTTAATCTCTGGAATTGATTTCTCTTCGAAGCCTTGCTTTTGTCTGGGCCATCAAAGTTAAGCTGATGCAGGGTCACTTTATGTATAGATACATGCTACCATCCATGCAGACACACACACACTTACTTCACTAGTGTGTATATTTTTATTCTATTTTTATTTATAAAATAAATAATTTTTCATTTTATTCTATTACTGTTCATCATTTTGAGTACTGGGAAAGGCAGGGAAGAAATTCAAGTGACTACCAAATTAAAATAACAGGATCAAAATACATGCAGTCCCTGGGGCAGCTTCAGAGTTGCTACTTTTATATTTCCAAATTAGTAAGAAATATATAACAAGAGGAACGCAAAACTATTTTTTTTTAAATGGTAACTGAAAAAAATGACTGGAGGGCCATACCTCCTCAAATAACCACAAAGCTGCCTCATAAAGAGAGCACAAGCCGTCAGATGTCCTTGTTGGTTCCCTCCATTGGCTTCGATCAGCAGACGATCCCTGTAAGGAAAAGCATTACAGAGGAAGCAATCATTGCAACAGAACTGGCCACACTTTAAGTATATAAAAAAGATTTCACCCTCCATGAAATCAAGTTTTTCCCTCAATCAAAACAAAAGTTTATTTTCCTCAAAATACCAGCCAAACAAAGTATTTATATAGCACTCAACTAATTCTATGTACAGCCTCACAGTCATCCCTTAAGGTCAGTCTCAAGCAGAAAGGCCACCCTCAAGCCACTCCAGGAGGTTGTGGCTAAACTGGGATTTTTTCGATTATTCCTTCATGCCCCACAGCTCCCAAGCCCAGCACTATGTGCCTATTATCACCTAGTGCAGGGATCGGCAACCTGCAGCTCCGGAGCCGTACGTGGCTCTTGAACCCCTCTGCTGCTGATCTGCCCGACACTCCACTCCACTCCGGACGCAGCGCTAGCTAGCTAAGTAAATCAGCTAGTTAAGTAAATCGCTCCATTCCCCTGCTAAACAAGCTTCCTGCAGGCTCTCATGTTACACGAAAAGCTGCTGAAAATATTCTCTTTGTCCCAGTGTAATCTCCTTCCTCTGAATGTTAAAAGCTGCGCTTGGGACCTGTCACAATTCACAGCACTTGACTGTTTATCTGCTGATCAGTCACTAAACACACCTATATCTCCGGCACAAGGCTGCCAGCAGGGATTTAGTGAGCTCCCCCCATGCCCCGTAGACCAACCATGGATAAATCAAAGAAAAGTTTCTGAAGAAAACCAAATGTTTAATGATACGTGGGTAAATTCATTTGCTTTTACTGCTGATGAACTTATGGGGTTTGCTGTTTAATGCATGCAGCCCTTTAGCACTGACTTTGACTCTTCACGAAGCTGTTCTCCTATTCAAAATATATGAAAGGAGTCCTACTAGTTTATAATGTAAGATTAAAAATAACAGTTTTTAGTGACTGAACAGAGCTGCAGCTAAATCATAATGATATACATAACATTAAGGTAAAAAATGATATATGCAGTGTTATCTTCATTTTAGATGTCAAAAGGGTTTTGTGGCTCCCGGTGTTTTCTTTTGTGTGGGAAAGGGGTCCAAATGGCTCTTTGAGTGTTAAAGGTTGCCGACCCCTGACCTAGTGACTTTACTTTCTGCAGGTTGAGCTCAGTGTGCGCAGAAAGGCAATGGACAGATAGGGGCGCCCAATTTTGTATAAAGCCTGCAGTAAGGGCAAAGTATGTGAAAACTGTGACACAGAAACATACCTTGGTTCGATCAGGGTAGTTTAAAAATAATAAAATGTTGGGTGTGATTGTTGGGGCATTCTCATTCTTTGGTTTACAACCAGCAACACTTCATTACAACTTCATCAAGATGGTTAAGAACAAGTACTATGAGCTACCCAGGTACAATTTCACAGCTCACTCTACCTGCCTACCCAATGCCTACACCTGCCCACGCACTGGCAGTGAAACTGAAGTCAGGGTTATTTCCAGCAAGGACCCTAGAAAGGCCGGGATCTGGGGGGAAAGTGCTGAGTGATCTGGCAGATGTGGGTGATCACGCTCCCTGCTTCATCACACACACAAGGCCTGCATGAGCTGCTCCCAGCCAGTATCTCATAGAAAAGATACAGAAACGCAGGGCTTGCAAGTTGCTGTCTCCTGCCTTTCCAAGCAAGAAAAATCCAACATAAAACATTATTATTATTATTACATTTTTATACTGCCCATAGCCAAAGCTCTCTAGGCAGTTGACAGCAATAATCATAGAATCACACACTCAAGTCACCCATCCCACTTCTGCCCAGGCCTGCCCCTGCTTAGCTTCCAAGATTAGGCAGGATCAGGCACTTCAGGCTACACGGAAGCATAAACCGAGCCCCCACTACTTTCATTTTTACATTAAGATTCATTTTGCTAGATGTTGAAAACACATCATGACAAGAACAGCAAGCACAAATGGACAAGTATACTTTTTGCAATAAAATGAAGTATGTCTACCTTCATTTTTTCCTTGAAATGAGGTAAAACAGAACTGATGGGCAGAAATGTCACTAAAAAAAACTTGCAAGCAGGTAACTTTTTAAAGCTCTTGAAACCTCCCATTACTGAATTACAGTATCTCTCTGGCACTTTTTATTTAAGCTGAATAATTATAAATATCTGGCACAGTTACAAGCTGTTGTTGACATAGCTTTATCAAATCAGAATTATTGAAATCAGAGCTAAAACAATCATTCAAATACACGTCATCTTTAGCTCAGGACAACCAAACTCTCTCAAATGTTTCTGATACTGTTCTAATATTCCTGGGGTGGCAAATATAATTCACCATTTACCAAGCAGAGAGAATGAAAAATTTCTACTAATGTCAGTGACACCTGCAACAGTAATTAACACTGGCAATCCTTAGACCATTAAGAAATTCATTTCAAATACACATGCTGCATACATACCAATGATCGCCTCATTTGCATCAATATATTCATGAAACAATCAAAACTGATCATCCCCTCTTGAGTTTGCAGCATTTTGTTTTTCTCCATTGAGTTGACCATGGCTGAAGCGCTTAGTGCCATCTCAATCCATTCTAGGAGGTATCGCAGCGAGCCCCGCTGAGCAGCCAGCCCAAGCAGCAGCTCAGAAGCTAGCCTTCGTCCAAGCGTATCTGCTCCGGAGTTGGGAATCGTTACTCCTTTGAGAAATGTGGTTACCTGAGACAGGCAGTCCAGTCCCATGGGAGGGATTTTGCTTTCATTGGCTAGAGACAGAGGTGGCAAGGAGCTCACGACCTCTATTGCCGTGTGAATGACATCATTGCAAAGGCTAAGCCCAGTTCCTGAAGTAGGCATCATCCAGCTTTGCCGCAGCAATGCAAACAGCAAGCTCAGTCCCGTCCGGACCCCCATTTCTATAAGCGCATCTGTGCTCGACCTTGGCCGCTCGCTGACGGAATGGATGTCTGTTGACCCAGAACTGCTTTCTGGAGAATGTTGCTGCTGCTTCACTTTGCCTTTATCATGGTATTTATTAGAAAGTGCGTAAAAAATCCTCTGTAGCACAAGCAAACGTTTGCGAAGTGCTCCAGCGAATGGAGAGTCTGAGCAAACCATCTTAGCCAGAGCCAGCTGGCTGCTAAGAAGGGCATCCAGGTAGTGGTCCTGCTCATCACTTGATAAGGACTCACGCTCAAAATCTGGCAGCTGGGGCCCTTTGAGACAGAGAACTTGTTGAGGCAATGGTACAACTTCTTTATTACTGACTAATTTAGCATACAAGACTGCAACTCCCTCTCTAGTGGCAATGGATTCACTATCTTCCGTGATCCAAGAGCTGTTTAAGTGTTCAAGCCATTTCAGTTTCACTGGTGGAACCATGGTGGCCATGTTTGCTTATTCATCCGCCATTAGTCCTAGAAAATGAAAAGAAAGGGAGAAATATGACAAAAGCCTGTACAAAAAAATCAAGTTTAAGAAGATACACACTGGACTCAGGCCCAGAAATTGTGAATTACTGCTGATTTGAAGTTCAGTTTAAAAAAGAGTACATTAAATCTCTTCTTTACTGATCTCTTGGCATTCCAAAGAATTGATGTTTGGAGCTAGACTCATATGGACACCATCCATGTTTTTGGGAGAATCTGCTGATTCCACCCATTTTGACAGTGTATGTGGACTGACCCAAAGCCACTTCCATAAACACTCCAAAATCAACCAGCCCCCCTACTAATATTCACACTTTTTTAAGGCATTGCACTGTTAAGGAGAGCAGGCATGGTGTCAGAATACTTACCAATAAGGGCAGCTTTCATAAGTTAGAGGAGTTTTCATAAGCTTCAGCCACAAATAGCACCACATGAATAAAGTTCTTCCTATATAAGTTGAAGTATCCCTTACACTCATCAAGAGCTAACCTTAAGGGTACAGCTTTTTTTCATCAGAGGAAATTATATTAGTCTAGGTATATGAAACTTCCAGACCGCTATGTTTACCTAGTTAAGCCACCCATATTTCTTTTTCCTGCCATGCCCAGGAAGATTTCATCTCATCTATTACATTTTTATGCCACCCAATAGACAAGCATGAGAAAACAGGCAATAAAAACTTTGCTCCTCAGAGCTTTAAACCCATTTACAAACAAGTCAGAAACAACTGACAGTAAAAGCACTGATAAAAGCGAAAATGCTACTATTGCCCCTCAGCGGATGCCAAGTGAGCATAAGGGCTACTGGTGGCTGCCAGGGAGCTTCCCAAAGAACGCCACCCATCAGAGGACAAGGTGCAGCAGTTCTACCTTTTTTTCTGAATGGGTTTTCTGCTATAAGAAAAAGGATGGAAGAAGCAGTGGGGAAACATAGGAGGACTCTGAACAGAAAACAGGGATGCCAGGGCTCACCATAAAATTTTGCAAATCAGGCACTATAAAAGCCTTGGCAGAGCTGTAGGCTGACGCCAAGATCCACAGCAGCATGAACCTGAATGCTGGTTGCTGCTGACAACAGCTTGCAAGAGCTGATGTCCCCACGTCCTGCCTGCCCAGGGCCACCAGCTGGCCACTGCGAGAAAGAGGATGCTGGACTGAATAGGCCTTTGGCTGACCTGGCAGAACCCTTTAAAGGGGCCTTAACAGACCCCATCGAGCCTGTTTCACAGTTCTTATTCTCTAGCGTGAAAAGGCAACTCCCTCCCTTCATGGATTCAGTGCACAGAAGACAGTGGGCATTTCAACACTGCAACTTCACAGGTTTTTTGGGAAAGGCATTTAAAGTGTAATTATATACATTTACATGCGTACGTATGGCGATGACATGAGGCAGGGGAAGCAGTTATAGTGGGAAATGGTCCTGGAGAAACGTTCGTGCTACAGTCGCTAACATTATTCCTTCGCCTGTTTGTGTGTGTCCTGCATACTTGCCATGAGACGCTTACTGCAGGATGAACCACAGTCACATATACATTGCTATAGCAACGCTGCAGTAAGAAATCTGCAATTCAGTCCTCAAAAGGCTCAGCCAGGACAAGCTCCATTACCTCATTTTTGTCTTGTGAGATGGAGGGTGGGGATGACAATCCACAGGAGAGAAAATACTGCAGGAAAATATTACAGCTAAAATACTGGCTTTGGTACCATCATCAATTATTGGGGCATAAGACTCAGTACCATCCGTATTGTTTTGTCTAGTTTACATGATGTTTGCCTAATAAATATGGAATTAATATTTTAACGCACAGTTTTAGAGGTGACGGAGATCTCTTTAAAATATCCATGTATCAAATAGCTGCTGTAAATCAGGATCATGTAACAAAAAGTGTCTGATCCTGTCTAATCTTTGAAGCTAAGCAGGGTCAGGCCAGCTGGATAGACAACTTAATGTTGTGAACCACCCAGAGAACTTCAGCTACAGGCAGGCGTTATAGAAATGTAATGGATGATGATGATGGTGATGATGGTGATGATCATGATATTGCAATACAGTCTTGGGCTTCATTGTGCTAGAAATTGCCCACAGAATTACAAGGAGTAAAAACAAAAATGAAAAACCCGGCATGCAAAAACCGGAGAACACAACTACTCTAAACACTGAAAAGGAAGCAAGGGGAGTCTTCTGTTCCATACAGTGACAAGCAACTGTTTTTCTTAGAATGACAGGTTTATAAGTGAAATGTGAGGCCTTTCTCCAAGCTTAGAGCATCTCACTTACAGAGCTTGAAACATGTACCTGAAAGAAGTGAAGGGGGGGCACCATAGGTTCCTGATTAATGCAGTACATGCGTTCCTTTTGCTGGCAAAGGAAAGAGACTTCTCAAATTGTACGCTGATCCAGTCCTTATATCTGACATGCCTGGTGCACCAGGCTGTATTCAATGGTTTGCTCTAATCAAAGCCCTTGTGGGGACAAGGAACAAAGACATTCCACGGCTCCACTTGATCTATGCTCATGAAAAACAGCAACACAGCAAAAGCCAAGTGGTAGTCTCCGGGTTCAGCATCAGGCTTGTGAATGCTTCTGTAAGTTAGGCAGAGGTTGCTCTTCAACATATTCTGGGTAACAGACTACATGTATAGACAACCACAGTTTTCTAAGCAACATTCTCGGATTATCAGAGAAGTCACACAGTAAACACAGTGCCCATCCTTGAAATACTGATCACAGAGCGCCCCCCCCGCCCCGCGTTTCAGGGTTCACACATTTGGACAAAATTTGGAAGAATCTTATAAAATTACAAAGTGGTGTGGCACCAGAACCATTTTAGATGCTGTTAATTGCAGCTTTGTGTATTTTTATTTAGGGTTCAAAATAGCTCAAAGCAAGAAGATTAGGACTGTAGCACCCCATCACCACCAGGGAAACAAACACATATTCAGAATCCCACATACAGATAAGCTGCCAAAAGGGTCTGACACTTCTCTGGAGGGTTAGAAAATAAATTTCCCGGAGACATGAAAATCAGACAGAAAGATTATGCTTTGATGGGTGCTACAGAAATCAACACAACTTTATTTTATTTATTTATTTATTATTAAAACATTTTTATGCCGCCCCATTCGCCGAAGCCTCGGGGCGGCTTACATCACTATTTAAATTATGTAGTTTGTCTTTCTCTCTCTCACACACACATGCATCTGTAACCAAGACTGAAGAAAAAGTTAAGCATAGCCCTGATCTATTTATTGCTTTATAACTTGTTACACATTTTTCCTGTCTCTTTCATAACTGTTTTATTTTAACTGGATAACATTGTAGAGCACTGTATAATTTAGATAATTTAAGATACAGATAATACAATTTCATAGATACAGGAACAAAATAAATTGAATGAATGAATGAATGAAATTTAACAGTCACTCATTCAGTGACAGAATACTCAAAATTATTAAGGCACTTCTTCCTCAGTGAAAATGCTGAAAAAAAACGGCAGCCAACATAGGACAAACCAAGGCACAAAGCAGGTGAGACAGTGGGCTAATTTTCATGATCTAGTAGCCCACCGTGGCACATGCAGCAGCCTTTCTGAAGAACAGACCGGGGCAGGCAAGATTATTTAACCCTTGCAGGAGCCCCACTGCTGGGGTCTGGCTAGTCTTACTTACTGCCTAGTCTTATTTACTGAAGGAAGGACAACCCGGAGTTAAATCATGGCTTAACTGTCACATTCACAATATTCCAGACTTTTTCTTAATGCTGGGTTATTATTATATGCAAGCTAGGCCATATTTTCAAGCTGAAGATTTACTTTTCATATCTAACCAGCTTTCAGCATGACAGGCATCATTCATTTTCCACCCAAATGTGATACATGGCTTTAGGATCCTTCAAGGCAATCCTACATGACATGGTTTCTCAGACACCTCTTGGATTTATGTAATGCTAATTTACACGCTCAACATAAAGCGCATCCCAAATGTCAAGCTACCCAGCAAAGGCAACAGATTGTGCCACAAGCACAAAACAAACATGGGCCCTGTGGACTCTTTAAATATGACTGTACATCATCTCCAATGTTCCAGAAAGGAACACTCTTACTAGAGTTGCCTGGAAACATTCCAACTGGCCTGATGACATTGGATCAGTCACAAGAGGCAGTCATGGAAGAGGCACTGCAATTGGCTAGTTCCCAGGCTTCAGGCGGTCCTTCCACTGGGCAGCCAACACCACAGCTTTCGGGTTCAAGGACAGAAACCTTTCATCTTCTGCCATCACCCCAAACAGTTACTATGTTTACCTAGGCACTCTCTGTACAGTCTCCAGTCAGTCATGAGAGCTGCACTCAATGACACTCGGGAAAAAGAAACAGCCTGCCTTCTGGAGACCAGAACGCTCTTCACACACATGCATTTTCACCACCTGAGGACTGCAAAGTGGAGTGATGACTTGCACCGCAGATTGAGGTTTCACATCACGTTAGTGATTCTGAATGGAGCGAATGCACAAACCCACCAACTGTTATGACAGGCTACCAAATGACAAGCATGCATGCACAATCCAGGCCCGATAAAAACAATCCAGACTGGTACCTCAGAGCTTGACCACAGACTGCATGCACAGTACTCGACTGTACACAGAAGAAAAGCTGACCGAGTGCCCCAGAAACAACATAAGTCTCCAGTTGGATGTATTGAGCAATTATATAGTTACACAGGAGCCAATCTGTTTATTAAATCTACTACATACATCATAAAATAAATCTCCCAAGGTATTTTACAATAACAGCTAAAAGTTAGCCAACCAGCCTATATCTAAATTAAGTATTTCACTAACATGCTTTTTTAATTCTCTGGAAGAACAGGAATAACTACAAGTCTAGAAATACATAAATCAAGTTGCAATGTTACTTTTGTGCCCTTATAAGAATAGATAAAGTATAGGAATAACAACATTTGTGGAGAGTGGAAACATCAGAGGCGACTTACACCAACGGCATTCACAAGGATGAAACTGTAAACATTTATTTCTTTATTTGGTTCATACACTGCTGAAAAATTGCCACCAAGGCAGCTTACACAATTAAAATCGCTTAAAATCATATCACAGTCGTATCAATAAATCCAAGACACCAAGATCATATGCACATTTGCAGGGCAGAACGGTCCCCTGAATTCAATGGTGCACTTAGCCACTCCTCCTAAGTTGGATATGGAAATTAGCCAAACACACCACAAAGACTGCTCCATTAAGGTAGCTGGAACCCTGCCTAAGGTCATCTGAGGAGAGGAAAAATCCAGGTGGTCATTCGTCCTGGTTCCTACAGATCTGACGCTGGTACACAGGAAGGGACAACACCTGTACCTACCCTAATTTCTGATGTTAGTTCCTAAATATCTGACACCAGCACCTTGGGGACTGAAAGTATTTTCCTGCTTCCAACAACTGATAAAAGCCTATGTTACAAAAAGGCTTGGAAGTACCAAATAGCCAGCAAGCAAGCAAGCTTTAATACATTAAAAAGGCAGTGATACATGCACCTTGTGAATAAGTTTAAGAGAATTAAGGCTGCTGCAAACTTGATAGGAATGCAAAGGGCAATGTTAGGGAATGTGCAAGGAAAATAACACTTGCCCAGTTCTGACACCAAAATTATAGTTGCGGCTTTTGGCTGGTTAACTGTTGTCTCTGAGAAAAGTAAGTACATAAGGGTCAGTAATGCTTACTGAAAAAAGTGAAGAGTGGCATGTGATGACAGTGTCAAAAATAAATGAAGGACAGTGAATCCAACAGACATGAAGAATTCCGAATAAGAAAACAAAAGAAAAAGAAATGCATTCAAAGACCCACCTGGTTGCCCTCTGTGACTTCGTGGTTTAACCACACAGATCTTTTGCAACTGGGGCAAAGTCACAATCTCTGATTTGGGGTATTTCAGTACCTTTCTATGAACCCAGCATTACAGAAATCCTGTAACTACGGCAGAGAAGTAACAACACAGAGGGTATGCCTATTATATGGGAAAGGCCAACACGTCTGGATCCACTGAATGGGAGGCACTCACTTCTTAGACTGGGAGCCTGGGGACCTAAGTATACTGGTCAACAGCAGATCCTTCTCAATCATTTCAACACATTTTGGGGGATGTAGTGCTGATACAACTTTGTATTTACTGTGGCACTGCAGTCCAAATTTAGACACAGCAATAATAATAGTAAATACCAAGTTTGAGGTGTGATACACACAAAGCCTCATGACCAGGCAGCTGCCTTCCCCCAGCCCAGATGGCACCCTGCACACAAAACAACCAGGCTGTCTGAATCACCCCACACAAGTAGAACCCGCAGAGCAACGTGCCCCCCTTCATTTATGCTGCTTGGGCTTATGCAGAAACACACCAAGCGTCTCTTTTTGCGTGCTGCGGCTGATTCAGGCCATCCATGAGCTCCTGGCAGCCAAAGAAAGCAAGCAGCAAACCCATGCGCGGTGATGCAAACTGCCCTTCCAGATGGGAAGCAAGGCAGGGCTTCCCCCGCTGAGAAAGCAGAACTGAGGAACGGGTCGCTCGCTGCGTGGGTTCCGCCGGTCCCTTCCGCACATTTCCAGATCAGCCGATTTCGCACTGGGCGCCCCTCGGGGGCAGAGACACTCCCACCTAGGACTCGCCAGGGAAGCCGCAGACACCACCCGTCGCCCGGCAGCTCCTCCAGTGGCCTGTCCTCACGTGGCGGCTGCTGTTCCCCAGCAAGGATCACGGGCGCGGCAGGCCGCCTAGCGCTGGGGAGGGGGGCGGCCGCAGCTCCTCGCCCACCGAGGGCGCCCGCAGGGCCGAGGCGCTCGAGGTGCTGCCCGTCGGCATCGCCGCACAGGGAGCCTACCGGTTCTCCCAGCGCCGCCGGACACGTCCGGGGCACGCGAACGGAGGCTCGGCCCCTCGCAGAATCTGCCCTCGATCCCCGCCCCGCCGGCGCCCCCCCGGCTTCGGGGACCCGGGCAGCTCCAGCGGCGGCCACGCCCGCGAGGAGGCGCCCCAGCCCCGCGCCGGCGCCCCTCCCCCTCCGCCCGCGGTTCGGCCCCGCAGGCCTGCCGGGCCGCCCGGCTTGGCCTGGGCGCGGGCGCCGCCGGAAGACGGCACCGGTCCCCACTTACCGCGGTCCGGGCGGGCGAGGGGGTGACGCGGGCGGGCGGGCAGCGCGCCGCCGTCCTTCCCCTTCCTTTCTTCGGCGGCGGCTTGTCAGAGCGCAGGAAGCATCGCGACGCCGAGGGAGGGCGGCGGCGGCGGCGAAGAGATCTCGCGAGAGGCCGGTCTCGCGAGATCCTGCGCCGCGACGGGGAGGCGCGTCCCCCCGCCGGGTGGGCGGGGCCTCCTTGCCGGCCTCTGGCGCCGGGCGCGGGAGAGCGGCGCTGCAGCGCCCTCTGCAGGCGGGCGGCGGCACCGCGCGGAGCGGCCCGCGGGCGACCGGTCCTGAGCCCGGGGCTGCGGGCCGCCGCATCGTGGCCCGCCGGCGGCAGTGCGAGCCCGGCCGCAGCTGCGTCAGCCAGCGAGTGGTTGCGGTGGCTGCAGCTTCCCCGCACCGGCTTTGCAGGGAGCGCGGCCAGGGGTCTCGCACTCCGTCTCCCATCATCCGCAGGCAGTTTGGCCATGGGAGCTCTAGTGTGTCACCGCTGAAGAAAACCATCTGGGGAACGCTGTTGTGTCGTTTCATTCCAGATGCAGTTCCTCAGTGCAAATCAGTTGATTAACTTCAGTATAAACTCCAATGAGGACCACTTGTATTCATATTAAGATTAGAAATCTTGTTTGCTTCACCGTTGTCATAGTATTATCATCAGTAGGACATTATGGGCACTATTAATGCAATGTAAGTCCTGTAAAAATGGCTTGGTTGTCATTACGATTTGGCTGTCTGCCAGTGGCAGAGCTGCTGTCCAGATGCTGAGAGCCGGAGGAGGGAGCAGCTCGCCACCCGCCTGCAGGCTGGCCAGCCAAGCGCAGCCTTCGCGGCCGGGCCCGCTTCCTCCGGCGCAAAGGAGTGCCCTGGCCAGGGGGAGCTGTCCAGCGGCCAGCCAGAGTGCCCGGGGGCCTGCAGCGGGTTGAAGCCACGGAGCGCAAGGCCCTTCCGAGAGAAAAACCAGAGACATAGCAGAGGACTACTGTAAGTCTGCCATACCCCTTGCACTAACTCGGGTTGCTCTGAGGAACTGATGGGGACCACCCAGGGAGCTTTGGCTATGGAAATGGAATTATCCTTCTCAAGGACCGTGATGAAAACAGAACGACCGGTGGTGTTGGGCCCAGAACGTGGCTTCCTGCTGGAGAATGTGGCGGTGTGTGGTCCAAGCTCCGAGAGTCAGCTCCCCTCTTTGACCGTGGCCAGAAAGGATCTCACGCAGATCACACGCAGGTCACGAAGACAAGGGGCTCTCCCGTTAGTGGCCCCGGGGCAGCCGTACTCCCTGAGCAACACCTCTAAGAGGTGCCTTTGACACCTCTAAAGGGGTGGAAAGGTGAAGTGAAGGCAAGAAGCAGGGCCAGCAACATGCATCCTGCAATGAGGCAGCCAGCCCCTTCCCCCAAGTCCACCATCCAAGCAAACACAGAGAGGGAAGGTGAGGAAAGGGGCACCCCGCCTGGGACATTGCTGAGCGCTGCAGAGATCAGATCTCCTTTGCGGTGCAGATCACGTGGAACTGGTGCAGGCCGTGGCCGAGCGCTGGATGCCTCCTCTGCCGCCCAGCCCTCGCAATGCAGCTCGACCACGCGGCCAGTGCAAGAGATCACGGCCAGGAGTGTGTGTTCCTGCCCCAGGACCTCTCAGCGAACTTCCTGCCTTCACTGAACATCCCACTCCCTGGACTCTCCTTCCTTTGTTCTTAGGTTCTCCTTCAAGTGTTTTTGCAGATCCACGGTGATACAACAGTTTTAGATGCACCAAAACAGCTGCTTCAGCAGGATTCCATGGAGCAAAGTGGCAGACGAGCTGCACAATCCCCAGTGTGTGCTCTAACACCTACAAAGCAAAAGACTTCCATACTTTTTCCGTGTGTCCTGCAATTCTAATCCCCAAATACATATAGTGTTGAGAAGTAGCAGACTTATGATTCTAATAAAATTGTTGGACTTATTACAAACTCAGATGTATAACTCTTTTATTTTGAAGAATACTCTGAAGGATTAGCGATACAGATAAGGGACCACACAGAGAAAAAATGAGGCGAAGTACAGATGGGGAAGACATCGTGCTGCGACTTGAGGTGCAGGGAGTACCCGAAAGAGTGGTTCTTGGAAAAAGGGAATGGCAGAAAGGAAAGCAGAGAAAGGGAAGAAATAAGAGAAGGAAGAAATGAGACGCAGAAGAAGAAAAAAGCAGAGAAGGGTGAAGATAACAGAAACGGGAGAAAGTGTTCTTCGGACAAAAATGGTGACCTCAGAATGGAAAAGTGGAGGAGGAGTATGCTTTTGGCTAAATTGTGCTGCACTGCTGTCAATGCTTATTTAAAAGTAAGCCTCATCGAAAACAATAGGTTTTACTTCTGAGTAGACCCACATAGGATTGCATTGTCACATACTATTAATCGGACTGTATTAGCATTGCTTCTAAATGCTGGAGAGAGCGGAATTTAACCTGTACTTGTTTCCCACTCACACCTCTTGGCAAATCTGTTCTCTAAAATATTTAAAAACCTCTCAGACATTCATTTGTCGTTATTTCTGGGTGTGTGCACATATGCCTTTCAATCTCTTTAGAGTTTGCAATTAGAGGAACTCTCAGCAAATTTATCTCCCAATGCACAAGGATTTAAAAAAAACATGACTTTCAACAAACACATGAGCAAAACATTGTCCATACTGGAGGTGGATGAATATGTGAAATCAGGAAATCTGGGAAAGGAAAAAAAGAATGGCAAGGAACTACCAGCGCAGAGGAGTTTTAACACAATGCAATTATGCAACAGTATAATATCCTTCCAAAGTTATGCTGATGGAAATACTTGGTATGGCTAAGCATTCACTCGCAGTCACGTAGCTGCAGTTCACCCTTTGTATCATCAGTCCTCTAAAACGGCAAGGAAATGGTGGCTTTGGTTCAGGCACACGAGCGCGGGAAATAAGCAGCCCAGGCCTGAAAAAGGTATTGCAACCAAATGGTTCTCCCACTGGGATGCCCTCCAAGTCCGCTGGGAGACAACCCATCCCCTCCAGCCGCATGGCTGGGGCTGATGGAAGGTGGAGTTCAGTGCAGCAGGAGGACCAGGGCTGAGAAAGCCCCTCTCCCAGTGGGGCTCAGGCAGGGGAAGCGCACGGACTCACGGCGGAATGGCACGAAGGCTGGGCAGAGGGCCCCAGATTCACGGCATGGGTTACTCAGAGAAGCCCCCCTCCAGGTGCGCGAGGCTTGCTTCCTCCTTCATAAAAGTGCGGTCCTCAATATGTCTACTCAGAAAAAAGTCCCTGACTTGCTCCCAGGTAAGTGTGGATAGGAGTGCCTCTTTGTGGTGCCTGGCCAAAGAGAAGCCCCTGGCAATCTGAAGCAGCCAAGAGAGTTTTTCCACGGCCTGGCAAAGGAGCTGCCTTCTCGCTGGTGAAACGAGGGAGGGTGCCTGAGCGCGGTGGCCGTTCCACAGGCCGCCAGTCAGTCCAGGGGTTGTGCTGTTCGCCACCGGTCCACAGCCTGCCGCACACAACCTTAATGTTAGGACAGTGCAATCCTGACTCGCAGAAGAGAAGCCCGGGAGGTCCCAGGGTACCTCTTCCCTCCAGTGTGAAGATCCCCCGACACCGTAAAATGGGTGGTGTACAGACTCCTTCCTGCCTCTCCCCTGAGTAAGTTTTTTGGTTGATGCTGGTTAAAGGAAAATGCCCAGAGGGACAGAGGCTGACGGGTCGTGAGCCGAGCTCTTTGGCCTTCCGCAGTTCAGTCTGATGCCCGTTTCTCTTGGCTGGAAGCCAGTTAGGAGATGCTGCTACTCCTCCGCAGGAGACGAGAAGACGCAGCCCGTTGGGCCGCAAGCTCGTCCTCGTGGTCACTTTCGCAGTTGCGCTGGAACAAAAGAAGCCCTGTGACCTTCCGGACAGTGACCCAACCCCGGGGCGCCCTGCCTCTAGAGCCTCCCGAAAGCATCCCTGTTCCAAGAAGCACAGGGCAGCCACGTTCACACAACAACTGACGAGTGACTCATCCGCCGGCTTGCCAGGTGGCGTGGACCCAGTCTCCAACTGGCCACTTCCCTTGGCTCAGAGGACTTACCAAACTTTCCTCTTGCAGCAGGTGAACTTTCCTCACCAGCGACCGGGATAAATGATTGCAGAGAGCGACGATGCTGTAAGTGAGCTGGGGAGAAAAACGGACTCGGATCACCCACTGAAAGTACATTTCCTTCCTGTTCTTAGTGCAACCCAAGGAGAGGTGCAGGTACCGACCGGTGCTCAAAATTCTCTGCCTGGCCAGATTCAGAAGCAACATCCGGGAGGATCTCTTAAAATGTGCATGACAGATGTATCAAGCCAACAAGCCCAAGGAAATACAAGAGATAGACAGACATATAGGTATAGGTCCACAAACACATCCACATACAGACGTCCTGTATTTTCCTACACATACTTGAAAGAACTCAATTGGTGTTGGTTCATCAAATTATTGCTTGCTTTTAAAATGAAAGCAAAGGAAGCTTACACAAATAAGACACGGTGCCTTATACATGAATTTATGTATTCTTACTGAAAGACTGTTGCATTCTGCATAGGATAAGAATTGATACCATGGCTGTGTTCTCACTCAGAATTTATGACCAAAGTTTGGCAGGAGTGTGGCTGTCTGAGCATCTCCAGTGAGCTGGTCCAGGCCCCAGTGATCTCGGGGAACGTGGCTGCCCCATGCACATCACCCCCCAGCCCTTGGGGTCTTCCTACGAGAGCCTGTTGCAGATTCCCTCTTTCCGGAAGCAGGTCTAACCTAACTGCAGTTATCACAGACTCTTCCCCCTTCATCACTGCTGCCATTTTCTTCCCTCCCTCTGTTGGTTCCTTCTGCCTGTTTTTGATTTGAAGCCAGCAGGGGCAGGGAGCTGCCAGAGGTGCTTTGCTGGGAGAACTGCCATCTTGTTACAATGGTGCTCTACGGAAAGATGCCTAAAAAGCAGTCCTGAAGGCTAAGAACGGGCACGACATCCCACGAGCAGAGCCTCCAGGGCCGTGGCGCGCAGACCACGGTCCTGTCCCTGCACCGAGCCACGTGCTGGCCACTGCTGCCACGACGACCACGCTCCAAGCGCTGCCCACCCGCCCGTGCCAGGCGGCTCAGCTCACCCCTTCTTTCAGAAAGGGGCGACTGCGAGCCCCTCTGTGTCACTTGGAAGTGAGGGAAAGGAACACGCGGGAAGCTTCTCTCCCCGCACACCACAAATGCTGACAGGGGAGGCCTCTGGTTTACACCTCCAAGTTGCTCCGTGCCACCGGATGGCGGGAGCCCTGGCCCCCTGCCCGCCCGCCCATCAGACCACTCCCCAGTGCGTTACCTTCCACCGGCGCCGGGCGTACTGCTTCCTGAAGTTCTCCAGGTTGACCACCGACTCCCTCCTCACCATGGCTTGCCGCTTGTCCGTCGGCTGGGAGGCAAGAGGCGAGACAGTCAGCATTTTGAATTCCTGGGAGCGTCACGCAGACGAAAACTGGATCGAGGCTGGGCAAATCACTATTTCTTCTGCGGGCAGCTGGAGAGGGGCAGCACACAACACCTGCCCTACAGCTTGGGCCCCCAAGACCCACGTGCCAGTTCAGAGGCCACATCCTGCGCGCACATTGCTGAAGCTGCTTTGGCGTTTTGTAGGTGAAGGATTTTATGTTACGGTTTTGTCTTGCATTTGCGGTTGCAATTTTTGTGAGCCGCCCCGGCAGCTCTAACCCCAGGGAGAGAAAAACATCCAACACGGAGAACTTCGGGTCGGCAGATACCACTGCTGCCCGATCTGGCATTTAGCACCCCTGGGGAGGGACCGGGCACTGGGAGAAGTGCCCCAGACGGTGGGTCAGGGAGCCAGGAGGGCTTGCAGTGCCGGAGAGAATCAGCTTAAGACATAAGCAACACTCCAGTTGAATAGCAAGCCCTGTTGTTTTTCTTAAGGGAAAGAAATTTGTCATTTGTTTTTCGGCGCCAGGCTAAGACCTTTTTATTTAAACAATATTTTAATAATGTTTAATATTAACTATAGGTTTTAATTTGTAGCCGGAATGAATCGGGTTTTTAATTTGTATACTCTGTAATTTTTTTTGTACTATGTTTGTTTGTTTATGTAAGCCATCCCAAGGCATTAAGCGATGGCATGGCATACAAAAACTCTAAATAAATAAATGAGTGAGTGAGTGAGTGCCAGAATAGACACAGAAGCTTTACAACTAACTTGACAGCGAAACCATAAAGCGTTGAAAAGAGCAGCAACCTGCACAGCATCCCTCTGGGAAGGAGGAAAGACCTGTGGGCAGAGCGGAGGCTCCGTTCTCTTGGGTGCTCCGCCGTTGAGGGAGAGGGAAGCAAAGAGATTCCGAGATGGACGCACAGACTGTCAGGACCTGTGAGGGCCCCAAGCGCCTTCTCCCCTCCCGCTGCCCATTCACGAATGCTTAACCAAAGTTCAGGTCCCTGTGCTGCAGGGCCTTCTGCTCCCCCCCACCCGCCCAGATGCATACAGTGCCAGGAATCAGGACCCAAGCAAACCCCCCCCCCCTTTTCATTTCAGCCCTCGATCCCAGGAGCACTGAAAGAAAGAACCGTTCCCCTGGGCAAGGGCAGAGAGCAGCTTCCCCCACTGCCTAATCACAGCCCCCACTTAGGAAGTCGTTTATTTATTTGATCAGGGGAATGGTCTTCAGGACTGCGCCAAATATCGCGTGGGAAGTAACCCCCTGAAGCATCTTGCTCGCCACATCTCTTCCTTCTTCGACAGAGACTGGCAGTTCAGGGCAAAGAGGAAGAGGACACAGCAGGTGCATGAAGTCTCAGTGAAGCCCCAGATGCTGGCCAGCATCAACACACGCACGCAGTTTGCCGCCTACCTTCTTGGATCGTTTAGGTGAACACATTTCAAGACCTTTCTGTGCAACCCAAGCCCTGCCCCAGCTCTTCTCCAACCTGGCGCACTCCAGACATGGGCGACCCCTCCCAGAATCCCCCAGGCTGCTGGAGAACACTAGGCAGAGGTGGGGAAGGCAGCCCTACTGTAACACAACCTCTGCTAAGTATATGTAGCAATTCCCTCCCCTTTGTTCTTTCCCCTGTGTTGAATCTTAGATTGTAAACTCTTTGGGGCAGAGACCTATGGGTCTGTATAAAGCCCCACCAAGACTGGTGACATTTCCTGGAAATATAATGCTCTAATAACAGAAGGGGTGTAACTTCTGTCCATCGTATTTTTATTTCCTTCTTAGAGCAATTCTGCATTTTTTGTCAAAAAGGCCTTCAATCACAGAGAGAGAGCTGCCAATATGACCGGGTGCCACGTAATTTACCAGATAACCAAGAAGCTACAGGGGAGTCATAGCCAGCCTTTCATGTCACACAAGGACAGATGGTGCTCCTGGAAACCGCGCTGTACGAAACAAATATTTATTGGCTCTTTCAGTGTGAGATCAGTTACAAATCTGGGAAAATGCTGCCGAGGCAAAGCTCTTCTCCTTCAAAGACAGGGGCAGAAAAATGCACGACTGGACGATAATGCCCTTCTCCTTTTTCCCTCTGCCCAGTAGCGTGTGCCCACCACCCCCCCGTTCTCCAGCAGTACTCCTCCACGTTGCTTTCATCCCTCACAGCAGCATTTGCTCGGTTCGTTCCCACTCAGGTCATCCTTTTCAGTCCAGGGGCGGGAGAATCATCCAGCGTCTCCACAGTGACTTCACATACCAAGATACGGATGCTCGCAAACTTCTCCGGCACTCTCCTGTTATTCTATGTGGCGGCTGTACCCTGCCTTTCGCCCAAAAGGCCCGCTGCTATTTTAAACAGATGTGGTCCAGATCACAGAGTATTTTGGGCAGCAAGATGTTGTACATCTGAGCCTGCCATTATTAAAAGTGCTTTCATAGACAGTTGCAAAGTAAAAGAGAAAAAAATCAATGCGTTGTTATCGCTTGACTCTTTTATAGGACAGCAAGAAACGCTTTTAGGTATACTTAACTATCAACCATCAAGTGTTCAAGAGGTATTTCAAGGTAACAATGAACTGGTGCTGCCTTCCAAAGTCCAGTGGCAATGGAGGATTTCGTGTTTCGATGTAAAGTATGTATATGTACAAAACGGGTATTACAACTGAGTTTCAATGAATTTCATAACCCACCAGCTCAGAAGGGCTTTTCTACTGGATAAAATGAGGGCAGAGTCTCTGTGCGGAGGTCTCTCTTCCACGGAGTTAAAAATCCAGCTGCAGGAAGTGAATGCCCGTTTGCTCACAAACAAACAAGGTGAACCAGCAGGTTCGGTAAGCAGCGTGTAGAAATCTTGAGGCGGTGGCAAAGCCGCATCAAGATCATTCCTTCTCGTTTTACATCAGACCGGCAACACAAAGGCATTCATCTAAAAACGCAACTTAGACTGTGCTATTGACTTGACTTGGCAACTCCCAGGTTCAAGGCGGCTAGGAATTCTTCACAGCAGGATCTGTTTAACAGCTCCATAAGAGAATCGTGGATGTCCTTGTTGATGATGGAGCCCACTTCTCCGGGCGTGTAGGCTTCGCTTACACCCTCTATGTGGCTGCTACCTGTTAAGTCTTGGATCCACCGGAGCTCTTCCGACAGCTCCTGGCTCAATGCCTCATACTGTGACTGCAGGTCAACGTACTTGCTGTTCACCCCCGCGAGGCCGGCCCCAACGTCTCGGAGGTCATCCTGCAAATGCTTCTTCAAAGACTCGATTTTACGGTACTCGTACTTCAGCTGGGAAAGCTCATGCCTGACATTCTCGTGTTCTTCCTTGTACCAGGCCTCCTTCTCATTGTAGATGGAAACCAAAGCATCGATGTCCTCTTGCAAAGAATCACGGGACTCGGCCAGAGCGCTGAAGCCCTGCTCCATCCCTGCGAGCTCTTCCATGACAGAGGCAAAGCGCTCGAAGTTGATGTACGTGTTGTTTGGCGGCATGCTGGAGTGGGACTTGATTGTGTATTCCTTCAGGCATTTGGTCTTCAGCTGCCTGTTCTCAGCCCTCTTGTTTTCTTGGACTTTTGTGTCTTCTTTAGACTGGTGAGTCTTCAGACAGAAGTAGGGGAGGTTAGTGTTATTTAGCTGAGGCAGCTTGGGGAGTGTTTCTACAGACACCACAACATCAACGACACCACACCAGGCAAAAGGGAAGCGACAACACCGCTGTCCACCATGCTGGGAGAAAACAAGGATCCTATTTTCCCTTCATGCATGTGATGTACGTTTTTAAAGCTCAGTGAAACATACCTATAAGGACTCTGCTGAATTGGATGCTGGCATTTGTGTATTTTACAGTCTCGAAAGTGTAGCAATTTTGCAAAACAAACGAGTGGAGAATGCACATTTGAGATATATAGATATATATACAGTCTTGAAGAGAATCTGGTACTCCCACACTTCATTTGCCAAGCCAAGACCAGCAAAATGTACTTTCCAGCTAGATAGGATTCCGTATCACAATTTTGTTTAACCTTTGGAGAATGTCGAGCTGCATTTATCACACAAACAATTCTAGACGAATTTCACAAATGCTACGTCCCTTCCTTTCGGATGTAAGTCTAATGAAAGCGGATCAATATAGGTAAGCAGCTGCTGACATTCACCAGCAGTTTTCCAAGCTGTCAATCATTCACAGACTTTATCTGGAATCTTCGAAACTCACACGGGAAATTTAGGGCACTCATTGCAACTTATACACAGCAAGCTATCACAAATACACACACAGGTACAATCCATCGGGAACTTTTCTTATACAATCACCCCTGAAATTTTGCAACTTTCTGCGAATTTCAAGGAGGACTGAACAAGCGCGCACAGCACGGGGGCCACAAAAAACTAAAATAGAGCTGATGTCTGTCCATGCAAACGGCAGGCAGGAGTGCAACCATCCCATAATACGTCCCAAGACAGAAGCCGGCATGCTGTCACTATGCACCTCAGCATCCAATGTTGACATCTTTCTCATGGCTTGCTTAAGGAAAATGAATTTTTTTAAAGCCAATTCTTGCATTATTTGACTGGGTGCCTTTCTTTCATGGATTCTGAAAATGTCCCACCAGACCAGATCTCCTCCAAGGAAGTTATGGATGGTGTAAACTGAAGTACACACAATGCAGAAGTCATTCTCATACTGCTGGGTTAACATCAGACATCGAAAAGTCAATGAGAAAGAGGACTAGCAACATTCAGATGCCAAGTTCAAAGTTCAGCCTGACTTCAGTGAGAAATAAACATTCCTCCCAGGCAAGGTTCACCTGCCCTGCGTCGGGACTTACTGTGATCCAGGGATGGGTGAGAGCCTCTTGGATGGTGAGACGCTTCCTGCAAAGCGGGAAACACAATAGTGAACACGACCGCTATTGTGTGCATTGCACATTTGGCAATATCTCAAAACTACAACGAAATGGCCCAAAATACAGACTGAAGGTGCAGAGGGTGGGAAGATGAGATGCATCTTGCGCCTGAGGAGGCGCCTGAAGGGGAGACCACCTGGATCTTGAACTGCGGGGGGGGCCACAGGCACCCCAGGCGAAACGCACACGCACGTTTCACGCCTCACCTTTGGGCGGCTCCTCTGCAGCTGACTAAGATGCCGTTGAGCCGCTCCGGCTGTGCTGCCCAGAACGGCCTCCAGAGAGAAGCCGCTCTTCTGGCTCCCTTCGAGCCAAGCCAGCCCTTCTGCCTAGTCCACTGCTGCCGCTCGGCCTGGGCACGTGCAGCTGAAATCACCCAGCGGCACCGGCTGCCCTGCAGAGCCCGCCTGGACTGTTAAGTCTCTCACCGTCCTTAGCAGAGCTGGACCTTTCCCATCTCCTCCTGCATGACGCCTTCCACAGACCCTGCCTAGACCCAGACCCGGAACCGGGGCCTTCAGCTGGCAAAGCAGGGCCCTGCCCCTCCACTGCGGCCCGAAAGCAGCAGCCCTCCCCATGGCGCTGTGCCCGGGGTGGCAGCTTCAGGGAGGACCCTGGGCGAGTGCCAGGGACCCGTCTGCCTGCCCTGGACTCCTCCCGATGAAGGGCCGCTCGGGGCTTACCGTGTGTCCTTCACCAGAAGATTCCGGATGAAGTCTTTAGCCAGATCGCTGGTGTGGCTGAAGAACTCCTCGTCAAATTCGTAGTTCACAGCGGTGATGTTGGCCAGCGTCTCTTGCTTGGTCTCCCCAAGGAAGGGCGAGGCACCGCTGAGCCTAGAGGGAAAGCGTGCAAACCGGGGGGGGAGGAGAGTCGCTGTTAGAACAGTCCACAGGGGGAACAGGCAGCTAAGATCAAGGCAGTTAAGGTGGGAAGAAAGTAGGGCGGCTCCCCATGGATCATGCTGGCTGGAACTCTCTCCTGCTCTGACAACAGGAGGACATTGTCTCAGCTGGGAGCTAAAGCCAACTGCACAGGCTAACAAGAGGATAGTGCGGTCAGCTCCAGCCCTCCTGGAGAACTGTTAATTTTGTGTCCAGAGACATCTGCAAGGATCGGGAGATGATGGTTCATCCTTGGAGCTGGGGGGTAACGGCAGGGCTGTTCCCTTGCAATGAAGGCCCTGGCTAAGACGCCACCCACCCCATCGGGATCCCATGTGACGCAGCTAGTGGGGAAACCTTTGCTTACTGTCTTTTGGCCCGCTTGCCTAGACATTGCAATCAGGGCTGAATAAAAGGTTTCAGAAGGGCGTGAAGAAGCAGGCAGTCCCTGGAGTGGCAAAGCCAAATGAAGCTTTAAACTGGGTTTATAAATGTCATAAGTGTCATAAAAGGCAACAATGAGACAGAACCATCTCACTCGACGGGGCACAATCCACAACTACGTTTTCTTCTGCTTATGCCACTGAAATGAACAGCAGCTGTGTAGCCACACAGCAGAGCGTGAGTGGAAGAATCCCAGAAGATTGCAGCCGGAACTAATCAGCGGGAGGAAGCGCCCTCTGGAATTCTCATTTCAGGTCCCAAAATATCCCAGGCCATTCTCGTCCAAGGGTTTGTCAGAACGGAACCAAGAAAAGGAACACAAAACTTCCAGCAAAATCAGGCTTAAGGAGCCGCCGGAAAGCGATACTCCTGACAGTCCAGGGGCCTGGCTCCGATAGCAAAACTGGCATTCGGAGGGGCTGGCTTCTCTCTCAAACACCCTTCACTCGGATGGGCATCCTCTATTGACCTCCCAAAATAGAAAGATGTTGCTAAAGCAGTTTGTCAGTCCCCGAAGAAGGATGTGGAGCCATGAAATCAAGACACAGGGAGATGCGGCCTCTCCACCATGGACAGGGACTGCCTCCCCTTTTAAGGAGAACGAGCGCTGTGGCCACCCCTTGCGCCCTTGCAGCTCTGTTGCCAAATGCTTGGCATGAGAGATGGATGGTTTTGGGGGGAATGGCGGCTCAGGCTCGGAGGAAGGGGGGTGGATCATTGGCCCAGCAGTAGCTCAGAGTTCTCACTCTGATATTGGAGTTGTTGAGACTAGCGGGGCCCCGGCGGCCCAAACCCTCCCAGTGAGCCAGCCTGAGTCAGCTCTGGGTCAAAGCACTTCGAGGACAACCCCTGAGCCCCCTCCCACTCCTGGTTGTGGGGAAGAAACTGGCGGGGAACAGGCTGGGGAGGGGTTCTCGGGAGGAGAACGTGGCAGGCCTGGACACATGGGCGCCAGGGCCTGTCAATGCACTCGACCGATAGACCGATTAGGGGCTCAATGGGGAGAGCGTTGGAGCCGCTTCCATAGCGAAGTGAAGGGGGCCAGAGCGAGGGGTCAACATCCCACCTGCTGTCTGTGTTTTCAGGCTTGTGAATAGGTTGACTTCTGTAAGGAATAAAGTCTCTTCCAGTAACTGCCGAAGTGCCTGTCTCCTTTGGGAGGGGGTGCCTGGCTCACAACAGATGCATGCTTTGGCAGGCCTCCACAGAAAAGCCCCGGTGTGGAACGCGCAGGGCCACAGGCTCTGTCTTGGCAGCATCTCCCGTCCATTTGTGTTACGTTCTTCTTTCTGTCAGCCCATTTATAGAATCGTAGAAGAGCAGGGTTGGAAGGGGCCATGAAGGCCATCAGGTCGAAGCCCTGCTGCTGCAGGACACCAAGTCGCACCATCCCACTCAGGTGGCTGTCCAGCTTCTTCTTGAATGTCTCCAGTGTAGGGGAGCCCCCACCTCTCCGGGCTGCTGGTTCCACTGTTCTATTGCTCTGACAGTGAGGAAGCTTTTCCTGACGTCCAGCCTGAATCTGGGTTGTCGCAACTGGAATTGATTATTCTGTGTCCTTGACCTTCCTTTTTGTGACAGCCTTTGAGGCCCTTTTAGAGGGATATCATGTTCACCCTCAGCCTTCCCTTCTCAAGGCTGAACATGCCCAGTTCTTCCAGTCTCTCCTCTCAGGGCAGTGTTTCCACACCCTGGATCATTTTTGTTGCCCTCCGCTGGACCCTTTCCAACATGTATCTTTCTTAAATCTTGGTGCCCAGAACTGGACACAGGATTCATCAGACGCCAGCCTCTTCCCCACCCTCCAAGCCCTTTATGCTAATGCACATTAGGCAGCCCATAGTCCATCGGCCACATGGGCTGGGGGGACATAGTCCAACGCATCGGGAAGGCGCTGGGGTGCAGGAGCCATACCCAGGAGCCCGGGCACACAGGGCCACCCAGCCACGAAGCTCATGGAGCCGCCCCGTGCCTGTCGTATCGTCTCGGCCAACCGATTCCACCCCATCGCCGTGAGACTTAAATGCGGGGCAGGGGAAGGCGAAATAACATGCAGCTCCCAGGGAAACAGTGGGCTGCAAGGACAGCAAATGAAAGAACAACCCAGCCCAGCCCGGTACTTACAGGATGTAGGTGATAACGCCTATGCTCCTGTAAGAAAGAACAACGACACAGAGACGTTACTTAAAGGCAATCAAAATGTGCATCTCCAGGTGGAAAGCGGGAAGGAGAGCGAGGGAAGGCCATCTTTAGCCTTTTAAAAGAAGAGGCGGTCTAGAAAGCGTGTGCACGATAAAGAGAACCTGCACAGGCAGCACACAGAAGCTGGAGAACCAGGAGTGGGAAGGGCACAATACTCACCACATATCGGCCGCCAGCCCCAGAGGTTCGTAATTCACTATTTCAGGTGCTGGAAGGAACAACATTCACCTTCGCATCAGCGAGCGGACAAGGCATTTAGGCACTGCAAGGCCAGGAGCCTCCCAAACCGCCATCACTTTGCCGTCCTCCTCCTCTTCCCGCCCACATGCTCGGCCCTGCTCGGCCCATCCCCTTCTCCCAGAAAGCCAGGAGGTCTGGGAGCAGCACTGGCCCTGCATCCTTCTCCTCCGGAAGGAGGTGCCTGCAGGGTTCTGCAATGCTGCCAAAACGCAGGTTCAACCTAAGCTAAAGACGTGGTACTGAGAGCAACCCGTGAAGCAAGAAAGCCTTACCAACGAATTCTGGTGTTCCAAAGATATTTTTGAACTCAACACCGTCTTCTATTTCGTGAGCCAGGCCAAAATCAATCAGCTTTATGTGCGGGATCGGGATATTCTTGTCAAGCAGCATAATATTTTCGGGCTGAAGGAAGGGAAAGCGGGGGAAAGACACGGAGGCACAGGAAGAGAATGGTCACGCTGGGCTTGTGGAGGCCACCCGGAGTGCCGCAAGGGGGCCTGATCCGGTGGCGGCCCTCTGGGTGCTCCCAGGCAGGGGGGCGGGGCGGTGAATGTGGCAGGGCAAGCGCTGCCTGCTGGCCTTCCCCCAAGCCAGCACGTGCCACGTCCAGCCGGCGTTTAAGATGGGCGTCGTGTGTGCTGGGGAGCCAGCCGGACCCTTCCTGAGGAGCCGAGGTGAGGAACGGCAGTCTTTGTGGAAAGATGCTGCGCGCTCGGCCCGTGCCGGGGCCACAAACAGGAGGGCAGGGCAGCGGGTGGCAGCAGGTGCCCCAGGGGGGCGCGAGGGGCCTCTGCCCCCCCACCACCTGAATTGCTTCTGCCCCTCCCAGCCGCTGCGATAGATAGATCGAGGCGTGCCTCACAAGCTGGCCTCCCTCTTCCTGAAATGTGAAGCTGCTGTTGGACCAGGTGAGGAAATGCCAGCGGCGGGGGCCAGCTGGCCTCGCACCGGCAGCACCTGTTTTCTGCTTCCGGGAGAGCGCAGGGGCGTTGCACTGGGCGTGGGACGGGGGGTCCCTGAGAGCACGGAGGGCCTTCCCTCCCTGCATCCATCGGTGCAGAGCGGCTGAAGGGAGGCATCCGGTGCTCGAGGCCACACCCCAAGCAGCAGGTGCCAAAAGGGAATTCCAGCGCATGCAGCTGGGCACCTGCTGGGGTTCAGGCTGCCGCCCAGGTTCATGGTGGCCATGGGAGGGGAGTCAGACACTTTAAAGTCAGCCTTGGTTTCAAGTGCCTTCATTTGAAATGCAAAGTGCTTTCACTTGAAATGCATGGTCCCTTTGTTTGTCCTTCTACCCATAAACAATGACTCAAAACACACACTTTCTAAATATACTACTCCACACCCACGCAATATAAATAGATCACACAACCCACAGATGAAACCGTGCCAGCACAGGGCTCTGCAGCTCTCATTACCCCTTATCATCTTTCAATGCAATCTCTTCCTGCCTGCCGGCCTGTTTTCCATTTTCTGCCCAGATAATCTAGTTCGATGCAACCGAGCACCACCAAGCACCTCTGGAAAGACTAATTTCCCAGTTCTTAATCAAAGTTTCCAGGCAAGTGTTCAAAGGCCAAATTCTGCCTGCACCCTCCCGGAGAGCAACCGTGCCCTTTCAGATTCTGCTACACCTGGGCAGCGCTCCGCAGGGAGGGACCTTCCGGAGGACTGGCGAGGCTTGCAGGCGGCCGAGCTGGCTCGCAAACCACAAAGGATCCAGTCATGTGCTGGATGGAGGCTGTACATAACTCGACGTCCACTTGCCCCTCTGTGGACGGTCTGTGAACCTGTCAGCCACGACACCCGGAACCAGGGCTGCCTTTCTCAGGAAGCAACTCCCCTTGGCTTCGAAGAATTTCCTTTGCAAAGGGGCGATTCCCCTGACAAACCGGCATCCCTCTCAACGGGTTCACTCCCCAAGCTGCACGACATGATGTTGCGGCGTCCCTTCCCCACCTTGCCACCGCCGGGCAGGGGATCGGCTGCCCCGCCCCCCAGAGCCCAGCGAGACGCGGCGCCTCTCACCTTCAAGTCAAAATGGGCGATCTTCTTGGCATGCAAGTAGTTGACTCCTTCCAGGATCTGCTTAATGAACTGGGTGGCTTCCTCCTCGCTCAGGGACTCCTTCTGGGCCAGGAAGTCGAAGAGTTCTCCGCCAGATACTCTACAAGAACCGACAAGGTCACCTTGGGAGGCCTTCCTTTATTCTTTATTTCGTTCATGGGCAGCATTTCCCCAAGTCTGTTGGAGAAATGCTGCCCATTCGCAACCCCTGCAGCATCGCATCAGAATTTATTCACCCTCAGAACAGGGATGCAGGTCAAAGAGGGCCCAGAGCAGAAGGAACAGTGAATTAATGCCTGAATGGCATTTATTTGCTGTCTTCATTCAGTTCAATAAGACACACTTCCTGCATGGACGCCCCATCTTCCTTCTCTTCCCTGGATCAGGTGTTGGATATCTACTAACTGAGAGCTCTTCAAAGGGTCTCCAACTCCCTTAATTTCTACACTAAATGATTTAAGTTCTTTTGCAGCAAACTACTGCCACTGTAATCAGACGGCATACTAAAAAGCAGAGACATCACCCTGCCGACAAAAGTGTGTATAGTCAAGGCTATGGTTTTCCCAATTGCAATGTATGGCTGTGACAGCTGGACCATAAGGAAGGCTGAGTGCCGAAGGATTGAGTCCTTTGAATTGTGGTGCTGGAGGAGACTCCTGTGAGTCCCTTGGACCGCAAGGTGATCAAACCGGTCAGTCCTAGAGGAGATCAACCCTGACTGCTCTTTAGAAGGCCAGATCCTGAAGATGAAGCTCAAATACTTTGGCCACCTAATGAGAAGGAAGGACTCCCTGGAGAAGAGCCTAATGCTGGGAACAATAGATGGCAAAAGGAGAAGGGGACGGCAGAGGATGAGGTGGCTGGATGGAGTCACGGAAGCAGTCGGTGTGAGCTTAAGTGGACTCCAGGGGATGGCAGAGGACAGGAAGACCTGGAGGAGTGTTGTCCATGGGGACGCGATGGGTCGGACACGACTTCGCGACTAACAACAACAACAATTGCCACTGTTTTGGGGAACCATGGGGGATCTTGTCATTTATATAACAATTAAAGGAATTTCTAAGTTGACCCTATTCTCAGCCATAATGGACAGAATCTCCCAAATCCAGGGTAACACCTGAAAAAGATCTCCTAATGAATGTAGCCATCTTGCAAGCCAGTAATATATTTCCTCACAAGACATGGTGCTTGTGGAGAAGAATTGGGGGGAAATTTGCAACCCTGCTCAATCACAGTGAATAATATTTAAATGTATACACATACTGTATCAAGAAAGGAACATTCATTTCAATAATTTATTTCCCTCACGTTCTGTCCTATACGGGATCTTGAGAGCAGCGATCAGTCAGGAGGATCCCAAAACCACGGAGCCAGTTTCTGTGCTACAGGGGTTCCTGGCATGTGCATCCAAACAGGTTATCGGGGGGCGGGGGGGGGGGGCTTGAGCTGGCAACCTGCCAACCATTTGTGCCGCTCTGATCTGAGTTAGGTTTTTATCAGCTTGTTTAGACAAATAAACCATTCTGCTATAACTCCCTACTGTTCACTTTGAGCTCCTATGATCTGGCCTAACAGTAACTCGACGTGCATAAGTGGATACTTTACTGCCCTGAATAATGGGCCAGGAATGAGGCAAGTGACACACAACCCCGATCCCAAACCATTTACATTTGCACATTCATTACAAAAAACCGGATGCTTCCTCAGCACAAGCCCCTGAACGCTGAAACTTAGCTGGGACCTTCCGGGCGCCACCCAGGTCCTCCACAGGGTGGCACTCAGCACCGCCACAGCGACCCCACACGCATCTCGCTGGGGACGTGTGAGGCTCCGAAAGCGGGCGAAGTCCAACAGATCTTTTCTGCTCCCCGTCCCGCCAAACCTGCAGCGGCCCTGCCTTGATCCAGCACACTTGTGCAAATTGCATGCATTGTGCAAAGGGTGGAGCGTGAGAAGGGGCGAAATGTGCACTGACCGGAAATCAGGTGCTGGAGCATTTGGGGTGGTCGAGGAGCAGCCTGGGCGGGCAGAGCGCTCGGGGTCTTACACACTACGGCGAGGACGGCAGCAGCTTCAGGTTCGCACAAATATTTTGAGCGATTCTGTGGGGCCGGAAAGCCCGGCCCAACACAGCTTACGTTTTGGCTGTTGGGCTGCACATGCCTTGAAAGTACTTTGAGCTCAAACGGAGCAGGTTTTCTGGCCCTGCATCCCCTGCCTCTCAGAGCTGATCCAACACCTACTTCTACAGAACCCAGAATTCTGCATCTAAAGGACCCGCATTTTGCAAAAGGAAACGCTGTGCAAACTGCATCACTTTGCAGCCATGAACATCATTTGCACTCAGCGCTCGGGATACCACTCTTGGCTTCAACTGGGAGAGGCGTTCTATGTTGAACCAAGTGTGTAATTCATTTGTCCACAGGACCCAGGAAAGATGGATGGAGTTTCTGGAAGTTCATGTTATGTCGTATCAGCAATAAGTAGTGACCTTCGTGCACCTGGTATTGTTCTGCGGAAACAGTGGGTCATTAGACAAAACTGTGAGCAATGCTGAACAGTCATTAGCCCAATCCTTGCCTGTGGCAAGAAGCCCCAGGCAGAGGTGGGGTTCAATTTATGTTTATGCTCCATTAGAGGGGTTCCAGAATTACATCACGGTCAGAAAGTTTTCCAGAGGGCCACTTTTTTCCGCTGCCATTACATACTTTCAAACCTATCTTGAGGACTAGCAACTTTATTTTTTAAACAACAGAAGAATATTCTTGTGACACTGCAGCGTATCACTCTTACTCACAGCTCAAGGATAAGGACTACATCCGTCTTGTTCTCATAGATGTCGTGCAGCTGGATGATGTTGGTGTGAAGGATCTGTTGCAGAATGTTCACCTCCCGCTCGATCTCCTCTCGCCTCACTCCGCGGCGGCTGGCACGGCTCTGGCGCTTCTTGATGAATTTGGCGGCATATTCCACCCCTGTGGACTTTTCCCGGCATCTTTTCACTATAGCAAATTGGCCGCTGCAAAGGAAACCGTGTTAACGGAAGGTGTTAACCCAGAGTGGATGGTGTTAACCCAGAATACGAAAATGGGCAGCTTCCACATTTTGGGAGCTTTTGAGAGTTTTCCACCCCTTCTAGAGCACTGATGAGATTGCAAGACTTGGGTTCAAATCTTTCTGTTGTTCAGAGTTGCTCTTGAGCCAATCACTTCAAGGCAGATCTAAATAAAATCAAATTATTTTAGATGGGGACATTCCCAAGCAGAGGGTTTCTTTGACAGGGTCAAGTTAAAGATGTGAAATGTAATGCAAATAGACAATGCCCTTACAGGCCAAGCAATCTTCCAGGAGGTGTAAAGATGCAGCTGGATTCTGTGCAAACTTTCTGCTGGCTTCAATCACCTGCCCTCTCTTGCTGGACTTCCTTCACTTTGTGCTTAGAAAGTTCCCTTGGCAAGGTCAGACTCCGTCCATCTAGCCCAGGCCAGACAGCTCTGACTGGCAGCTGCAATCCAGGGACTGCAACTCAGACAAAGTTCTCTCCCTTTACCTGCTCTCTGAGATCGTCTGACCTGCTGGGGACCTTCCCCTTGCAAGCTGGGGGGGGGGATTAACTTTTGGAGGGAGTGTGGAGAAGCTCCTACACAGCTGCAACAGCCCCACTGCGTGTGAGCCTTGGGGGACCCCATGTTTATCCAATACTGAAAGAGGAACAGAGACCGGCACCTTCCGCTTCCCCCTAGAACGGCTTGTCGGAAACCACGATCAGAATAAAGCAACAGCCCTTTTTGAGCTTTCTGGTCCCCAGCCATGCTGGGACGATGGCACAGGTTGGCGAGACAGCCTTGCCTCTTATTGACTGGGCATCTTGCACAGCCCCCCATCAGAGCGGAGGACTGAACCACTTTCCTTAAGCTCCAGTTCCTTCCTGGAGATTCCTCCCATTCCGGATCCCAAAGAGGGGCTCCTGACAGACCAGGCCCCCAGGCCCCCAACCTGGGGAACACCCAGACAGGTGGCAGTTCCTCCTGGAACTTGGAGCACTCTAAAGGCAGGCTCAGAACTCAAGTTCTGATGCACCGTCTTAGCCCGTGTTGTCCAGAGCAGACACACGCCTCGCGCATCGCTAGTGGGCCACAAGCCCCGCCTGGGGGGCTCACGAGAGGCAAGGCTGCTGCAGCAACATCCCCGGCCCCACAGCTGTCCTCCACATCTTGGGAAGAGACGACTGCTCAGAGGGCAGAGCCCCTGCTTGGCGGGCAGACGGCCCCCGTTTGAACCCCGGCATTTCCAACTAAACAGCTCATCTCCCGGCAAAGGACTTAAAAAAGGAAATCTCCCAGGCCGTTAGTGTGCTGACCTGTAGAAATGTGTGCGGAATCCAGTGGGAATCCATCAGAGTTCCCCAGCTCCGGTCCCCAAGCAAAGGCCCACTTTTCTCTCTGCCCTAAGTCTGCCTGGCATCAGCCGTTGGTGAGGAATCGAGTCCATGGGGCCGCCTTGGGCACATGCCAGCCATGGCCCTGTGGAATTCCACACATCTGACGGGATTTTGCACACGTGCTTGGCACCAAGAAGGGGTCTGCTCGCATTCCCAAGCATTTAGGCACTTGATCTTGGGGTCACTTCCTAGCAAGGGTTGAGCATGGGAACGAAGGCCAGAGAAGGATTCCCGTCAGATCTTCACATCCCAATTCTTAAACTATTGGAATATGGAGCTTAACCTTCTTTTTGTTGTTGTCACTCTAGCTTTATTTTGTATTTTATTGTATCATATTCTGCTACTGGAAACAGCCCTGGAAATAGAGTTGAAGGGAAGTATGGACATTTTAAAACAAACAAATGAATTAATTCAATATCTTAATGGGCTACTGATCCCCCACCCCCGCTGCCATCGATGACGAAGCAGGAACTGCATGGTTCTATGCCCTGCAGATGCATTTTTCAAAGCCCTAGGAGGGATCATGCAACCTAGCAAAGCATCTCTGTCTAAAGAAATCATGAGAATTATTTGAGCTTTCTGCAAACGGTTACATTAGAAATTGCCCTTTACTGCTGGCCAAACTGACCCAACCGCAGCTGCTTGATTTTAAGGTTGCTTTTCAGTCACTTATTTTGCGGCTTCCGCCAGAACTCAGACAAAGGAAATCCTCCATCAAAATATCAAGCACGGAGCCCTCAATGATCAGTGCTTCCTTTCAAACTAAATGATGCAAGTCTTCAGATCCAGGTGCGAAGTAACTTGCCCGCCCAGGAAGGAAACGGAGAATTCCCCATCCCTGACCGTGCCGCTGAGGTCACTTTGCAGCTCGCGGCCTTCCTCTCGATGCAACAATAGCGTGGACGGGGGAGAATAACAGGTAACAAGACGTCCTACTTGATAGAGGGTAGTCCTCTATCGGAAGGCATTCTCTGTTCAAAGCCTGCACTTGGTTTAACATCAAAGAACTGCACGGGCAGAGAAGCAGCCGCAGCCTGGACACCACCCACCCAGAGCAGACACTCAAGTCACCCCCGCAGACTTCTCCACTAGTCTTGTATTTCTGGTTATATTCTAGCAATCTGCATTTGCGGTTATACATATGCATTCGCATATGTGCACACTTGGCAAGGCCACCTCCTTTGTGGTGACTTCCTCTTGTACGGGGAAGGAGACACGTCTGGGGCCAGGCCACCGCAGCGGTGGAAGGTGACAGTGCTGAGAATCCCGGCCAGGATCCTTTCCCAGCACTGTACAGACGTGAGGTGGAGAAGGGGGAATATCTGCATGATGCTTTTATGCTGTCACGTGTGATTTATCCAGGGGAACGTCAGCAAAGAGAGAAGGCAGCGTGGCAGCGGGGAGGACCTGGCGAAAGGGAAGAGGTTCCAGTCCAGAGACACCTGGTGCAGAGAAGGAACTGTTTCCCCGGCTGGGAAGCTTCCACCCACCCCTCCCCTCTGAATTCCCTCTTCCCTCTGGGCTCAGCCAAATCCGGGGAGGGGGTAATTTTCCCAGCAACCATATATTGTTACCCGGAGCACTGAAAGGCATTTTATGGTGGTTTGGTCCTGAACGGACCATTCGGACCTTTTTCCTGGCAGAGATGAAGCTGCCGGCTTGGTTGGCTGCTAACAGACTCATTTGGGGGCTGCGGGCATCCTCCCGCACCTCAATACTTTCCGGGATAACACAGGATACAAATGGGAGGGAGGACGAAGGTTTACGCCCAAGGCTTTCTGAAAGGGATTGGTCTGGAGGGAAGACCTGGAAGAGAATGCGGTGGGACGGCACAGGCATTCCTGGACGGTTCCAGACAGTCCCACCCCAAGGGAGAAATCCCTTTTCTCCCTCCCTGTCTGCAACCTGAATCAGGAGCCATCTTCACGCCGCAGACATTTCTCGCCTCCCTGCACCAGGGGCATCAGGCTAGTAAGGGGGCAGCATGGTGTGCCTGGACTGGCCCTCTGGCACAACCTGGCCCCTGAATACCTCTGTGTGGGGGGCCACTGCCTCACTCTGCCCAACGGGAGGGCCGGCCGGCACGGCCCAGCCCCACGGGCCATCTAGCTCTTCGCTGCCCGCACAGAGGGGCAGGAACTCTGCAGGCCCCCAGGGACAGGTTCAGCCCGGGAAAGCTGCAACTGACACCCCCCCCCCACTGGAATCCCTTCCACCAAGCCAGATAATTACAGACCGCAAGGCGGACAAAACCGGATTCAGCTGCAACATTCCTTATCCAAATTAGACGTGGGGAAGCATGCGAGGCATTCAGATAATCAGAGGGAGCGGGAAGGGGCAGCTGCTGCCCTGGTCCCACTGCCCGTGCCCAGGACGGAACCGGGAGGGAGGTGTTTCGGGATCTGCCCCGAGGGGGCGCCACGGCCCGGCCTGGTGCCTTTGGAAGCAGCTGCTCAAAATGGACGGGCCGAGAAGGGCGTGAGTGCCCAGCCGTGCGCTCTTAAGGGCAGGCTCCGACACATGCTTAAACAGAAGGAGGGCCAACAACCCCTGCTGGCCGAGGCCGTGGGTTTGGGGCTGCCTCCCATTCTGAGCGTCCAGAGGGTCCCACCCTTAAGAACGTTTGCTTTCGTATGCTCAGCCGGGGCGCAAGAGAAGCGACGGGCAGGACCTGCCACGACTGGCTCCATGCCTCCTTCGCCCACATTTGGGAAAAGTCCGGGCCCCATGGGAGCTCCCGGCGGCCTGCCACGTGGGTAGCTCCCTGGCACTCACAGCTCGCGACGTCATGGGTATTGCATGCCCATGTCTCAGCCCGCAGCCACAGGGCAGACCATGGATGGATTCCACGAGTGCTTTCGTGCACTACAAGATGGCCTCTGTGGCCGGAGAGAAGGGCTTTAACGGCCGGATGCTCGGGGGCGCCTCGCCGTGGGCTCGGAGGCCGGAGGAAAGGCGCATTTGTTTATTTTTCCAATTTATATCCTGCCTTTTTCCCACAAAGGGCTCAAGGCAGCAGACATCATTCTCCTCCTCCATCTTATCCCCACAACAACAACCCTGTGAGGTAGGTTGGGCTGAGAGTCTGTGAGTGGCCCAAAGTCGCCCAGTTGGCTCCATGGCTGAGCGGGGTCTTGAACCCGGATCGTCTGAGTCCCAGTCCCACGCTCTTCACCACTGGGCCACCCTGGCATTTCAGAGACTCACCTGCACAGTTCTGTGCACCGCCTTGTGCTGAAAAAGTCACCCGGAAAGTTCCATCTGGCTCGGGGAAAGAGCGAGCCCCCCATTATTCTGAGGCCGGAACCAACAGAGTGCCTTGCCCCAGCAGTCCTCGGTGCTGGGCTGGCCAGGCCACCCCCACTCGGCCCAGGTGTTTCCACTCAGTGGAACAACGCAGCTGCTTCTGGGGGCCAGAAATGGGCATAAAATTGACATTTAATACATTAACGTACTTTCTATTAATAGAAAGTGCTCAGTGAGGTTTTCTGCTCCAGGTGCCAGATAATACGTACAACATAGCTTGACTTGGATAGTTTGCTATAGAAGTATTATTATTTATTATGTCTATTATATCT